CATTGACAGATCATCAACATACAAATTAAATAAAACAGGAGACAAAATTCCACCCTGCCTAACACCATAACACCAAATGGTGCAGAGATGCTGCCACCCCATTTAACCTGCATCATCAGATACCATACCATACCATACCATCTTTATTTATAAAGCACATTTAAAAACGGCATGGCAGCCGACCAAAGTGCTGTACAGAATAAAAAGTAAAAACACAATATAAAACAATACACGGTCAACAATAAAATGCACAACAAGGCAGATAATTACAGTCAATAAAAAGACACATAATAACATAATAAAAGTCAGGGATTTAAAAATGCCTGGTCGTAAAAGTGAGCCTTCAGCAGCGATTTGAACCGGAGGAGGGATGGTGCCAGCCTCACCGAAAGAGGAAGTGCATTCCATAGTGTCGGAGCAGCATAGACAAAAGCACGCTGCCCCCGCGTTTTGTGTTTCATTGATGGAACACGAAGCAGCAGGCAATCAGCAGACCTCAACGCCCGGTTTGGCACATATCTAGTGACAAGATCCGACAGGTAATCCGGTGCCAGACCGTTCAGGGCCTTAAAAACAAAAATCAGGATTTTAAACTTGACCCTAAAGTTTACGGGTAGCCAGTGGAGCCGCGCCAGTACAGGTGTGATATGTTCTCTCCTAGGAGTGTTTGTTAAAAACCTGGCTGCCGCGTTCTGTACGACTTGAAGCCTGTTAAGAGCGGAGGCAGGTAAACCAATTAAAATGGAATTTGCATAATCCAGTCGAGAGATGATAAAAGCATGGATTACGGATTCCAGGTGTGCTCGTTTCAGGATCGGTTTTAAGCGAACTAGTCTGCGTAGCTGATAAAAACACGATCTGACCACTGCGTTAATCTGAGGGCCCATGGAAAACTGTGTATCAAATTTCACCCCAAGGTTGGTAACACACTGCTTGAGGTCAAAAGGGAGAGTGGCCAAATCAGAAGATACTTGTGTTGTTTGGTTAGGGGTCATCAGGAGTGCCTCAGACTTAGAATCATTTAGCTTAAGGAAATTATTGGCAAGCCAAACCCTCACTTCAGCCAAACATTGGTCCAGAAGAGTCTGGTTTTTTCAAAGCCAGGTAGATCTGGCAATCATCTGCATAAATATGATAGCCCAGGCCATATTTCCTCAGGATGAAACCCAGGGAAAGGATGTAAATTGAAAACAGGAGAGGCCCAAGAACAGATCCCTGCGGGACTCCCCATGGAAGTGGGAGGAATGCAGAGGAACAATTACCCAACTGGACCTTGAAAACTCTGTTTGACAGATATGAGCAGAACCACTGAAGTGAGGTACCCCTTAGCCCTACCCATGACTCAAGTCTATCCAGCAAAATATCGTGGTCAACGGAATCAAATGCTGCAGAAAGATCTAATAGCAGGAGCAAAACAGGCGACTCAGAGTCAGAAGCCACCAGGATGTCATTGGTCACGCGAAGAAGGGCTGATTCGGTACTGTGAAGTGAGCATACCAGTAAGACAGGATTCTCACAATAAACCCAGGGACCCCTCGTTGCTTTAACTTAATAAAAAGTTTTCTGTGGTTTACACAGAATGCCTTAGAAGCATCAATAAAACACATAAGGACAGAAGAATTTCTATTTCTATACCAGGTTACCATTTCTTTAAGTGTGTATATACACATGTCAGTACCATATTTTGGCTTAAAGCCAAACTGATTATCCAAGGAACTGAAGTACTCAGTGATTCTATCAAATATGATTCTTTCTAAAACTTTAGATAAAACACTGGCTAATGCAATCAGCCTATAATTATCCATACTGGTCACCTTCCCAGATTTGTTCTTAATCACTGGGACAAGCAGAATTGCCATCATTGAGTCTGGTAGTATGCCATGAATCATAAACCCTGTAAAACAAAGAGCTAAAAGGGGAGCTAGTCATTGGCTAGCATATTTCAAATGTTCCGCACTAATGTGATCCAGACCACAAGCCTTATTATCAGCTAGTTTGTGAATAGCATCATGCACCTCATGGGTCGTTACACATATAGATTCATCATTAATTACAGAGCCATCCTCATGCTGGTCACTTTTTAAACAATTAAACAATGCATAATAGTGATGTCTCCATAATGCTGCAATATTATCTTCCCCAGAAACACCTTCAACAATACCTGGTAGAGATGATTTGCAATTATTGTTTTTACATCTTTCCACAAACCTTTGACATCATTACTCATAAATTTCCTGGCCATAGAATCTGCCCTCATGATCTGCTCATTTTTTGATATAAAACGAACAGCATACTTATATCTGGCATTTGCACATTTTTTCTGTTCAAATTCCAGATCTTGCTTAGGTCTCCCAATCATATCCCAAAGTTTAAAAGCTACACGTGCTTCATCTTGATACATGACAACATGTTATTTCCAGCCAGGCCTGATATGAAATGGCTTACCACTTTCATACAAAGCGTCCACTATATCATCATACATAGAGCAGAGTTCACTTTTATGTTCAAGATTCTTACAATTGACATCTTTACACAGGATAGCCTCTTTAGCCACAGAGATATTGTTTAGATATTGATCTGTATTAGGGCTGCACAATATATCAAAAAATTATCGTCATCGCGATAACAGGACGTGTGATAGGCCCATCGCAAAAACAGCGATAAATGTTTGTTCCAAAGCACTGCCACTCCTCCTGATATTCTGCCTCTGACTATAGCTGTGCTGAGATCAGTAGTTGACTACCCCACTCCGAAAATTTTGGAATTGGAAGTGGTTAAGTTTGTCTAGGTCTTGTTTAGGCAGAAAAGTCTCTTGTAAACATAATAGTTCACATTCTTCAAGCAAACTGTCCACAACAATACGTCGAGCTCTATCCCCTGCATCCTGGCCCAGACGCAGGCCACAAGAGTTATAGGACAGCACCCGAAGATACATGCTTATGCTGAGGTGTTAGGACCAGGGGGAACCTCCCCTGCTGGAGTCACATTAGTAGAGCGGAGAGAGTGGGGGTTCCGAGGTTCATAATACCGCCAGACCAGAGCCCCTTCAGGCCAAAGTTCAGGGTTGTACATTTCACCGATGTCATCACCTTAAAAGAGCCAAGCCTGCTCCATAAATTAACAATTTTCAGACAGGTGACGTCTATGTTAAGTTTCTCTTTAAGATACAATGTGTTTCTGCATCAACTTCTGGGGCAAATTTAGTGGCAAACACACTCACTAATTTTGTCTTTACAGTTTTTATACTACTCACAGTTCCAGTGCCAATAATAGATACGGCTCCAGGCCTCTTGTTGTCTCTAGTCGTGGAAGGAACATGCATCCCTGCAGCAACCTTCTCCAGCTTCTGACGAGGCCTGCCCTTCTTCACGACTGTTCTCCACTGTGGGGACCGTGTGAGAGGCTCCAGTTCCACCATATTAATTTCAATGTAGTCGTAGTAGTCTGTGTTAAAACCAGAGGCCGCTAACAGAGTCCGATCTTCACCACTCCGTGAAGTCACAGAGGCACATACTTCCACAGGACCCATCCCAATCCTCTGGTCAGCCAAAATTCCAACTCCCTGCTTCTCGGCCAGGCCGCCATTACTCCCCGGCAGCTCCTCAGAGTTATTACTCGGATGAGAAAAAGGACCCGTCCTTGGTCCCTGCTCGTTTAGAATAGTAGAACCAGCCAGGTCGCCTGACTGACGCTCCAGAAGAATGTAACAGGTGGTAAATCCTCCAAGTGATGAGATACAAATCTAGGGATATTTTCCCCACACTCATTTAGCACTTTAAGGCAGAGCTTCATATTATTGGCGTCTTTATGCTGCCTTTTATAGCCAACGCACCACTGTGAAGTACTAGGGCAGAGCTCAAACAAAACTTTTTTTGAGGCTTCAATCCCTTCAGATTCAAATGTGTTTGTGGCTAACAACACAATTTCATCCTGGCTCAATGTTTTCATTTTAACAGCAAGGAAATTAAGAAGTTCATCCTCCACAATAACCTTGCCATCTGTCGTCCTATACACCTCTGGTTTCAGTTGAGATATTTTAGAAATTGGACCAGGAGCTGATGCCACGCTGCTTGCTACATCCACCATCTTGGATCAGTCCAGTCCAGTGTATTTATTTATTTATTATTTATTTATTATTTATTTATTTTTGTATCATCATAACAGGTCTTTGGGCTGCACTGTCTCTGATCCCTCAACTAAGACTTGTCTGCCATGGGCAATCCTACCAACTATATGCATGTGTATCCTGCAAACATTCTCCAATTACTGTTGTTTATGATGATGCAGTGTAAGAATAACTGGAAGCAGAATTATTGTTAATGCTGCCAGTGCTTGTGCTGGCCCTTTTTTCTAAGCAAGGATTTAAAAAGGTTCAGAACAACAGCTGCAGAAGGCCCCCTTCCTCTGTTTGCTGTGGGCCCCAGAACTGCTGCTGTCTGTCTAATAAGCACATAGATATGTAATTTGGTATTTGTGTATTAAAAAACAACACACCTGTTTTTGTTGTTGTTGTTGTTGTTTTTTGTTACTGAAAACCATCCATTCAATCATCTTAATTTATTTTCACATTTTCTAACTGACAATCTTGTACTGCTGTAACATGCAAAGTTCAATGGCTGAGGATCAGTAATGTCCCATCTTATCTTTAATTAAATTTTTGTCTGTCTGAATGATCCACACTTCCACGCTATCTGAAAGCTACAGCACATACATCTTGAGTAGTCAAAGTCAGGAAATGATAAGGGCACACCAACATTTCTCCGTCTAGGTGTTTTAGGCTTTCCATGATTAGTGTGTTTTGAAAATGAAACCTATTGGTTATTTTAAAAAAAAGAACACATGCTGGTGTGTTTTTGTCTAAAGGGGCAAAATTAAACCATGTGTTCCCAACTCAACATTGTGCTGCAGACCTAAATCATTGCAATTGTGGTCTTTTTTTTATTAGCACTAGATGGAACTACATCTTTGTGTGTGATGCTATGCGTGATGGTTGTACTTACTCGTACACAGGGAGGGCACAGCCAAGCATGAGGAACATCAGGCCGATGGCCCCTCCAAAGGAAAGGCTGATGAGAGCTGCAAAGGCAGAGAAGTAGTCAGTCACATCATCCTCCAAGAGCCTCCAAAGAACAAACACCATATCCGGGAGGCAGCAGGGCTCCAGACAGGCCAGGCTTGTCATGTGATAACCCGGCAGATTTCACGTGGATCGGCTAGTGAGAGTCCCTCCGTGATGTAGCTGCTGAGTTAATCCGAGCAGCTCAATTAGCAACAGCAACTGCAGGGTGAGGCTAATGGGCTAATGTTAGCATTCGTGGTAATAACTACTTACTACACAATCAATAAACAGCAACTGTTACAGAAACGAGAAAATGTGACAAATGGTTTATTTGTGTGTCTTTAAACCACTGCGTTATTGAGTTAGCTTCTGTTAATAACAGGACTGGCCCAGCTGCTGACACATTCCGTTAGCTCGGTGGTATTACAAACGTGTCTCTCCTACACATCTTGACTTTATCACAGAATCAGAACAGACATTCAGAAGCTTTCTTGTGAAACAGAAACGCGTTTTACCTTTAATCCCGGCCATTTCTCCAAGACAAAAGCTCGACACACACTGCCCTGACTGATGTCAACAGTACCTCCTCCTCAGAAGAAGAGCATCGAGCCTGTGGCGTTCACGTGCTGCAGAGGAAGTCGGAATCTCTAACACTTAACATACAAGCAAGATTATAATTCATGTCTATTATTACTGTAAAAGTAAGTTGTATAGTTGAACAAAAGCTAGTCGTGGAGGTGGAAAAAATCCAAGATTTCTTTTCAGCATCTGTTGTTGCCTAATGCCAAAAATCACAAGGTGCTTCAACCCTGCCATTTCAAATTATTGGATCTAGAAAATCTATTTTTAAAAAAAACTATAATTATAATCGGAACATTGTATAATAGGCAGTTCTAACGTAATATTTTAATGGTAAATGGTCTGTATTTACCAAAACATGATTTGATATGATTTATTTATGTAGCTCCTGCTATTGTTCCACAAAACTACCAGTCCCTTTGACCACACCATGCAGGTTGAAGCTATACAGCATGAGATATTGGAGGTGTGGAGTGAGAGCAAGTGAAGAGGGTCAAATGTGTGTGTCTCATGCTCAATGCGTGAGAGTTGGCAGCCCTTCTAATGTCCTGCTGATCTCCAACTGTGGAGCATAAGCAGATGTGAAAGGCCACAGCGCCTGCCTACAATCGCAACGGTCAGAGATTCTGCTTGACATTTGACAGTCCCAGTCCATATTAGATCTCCACAGGCGACCAATATGACTACAGCCTTACACGAGAGAGAGGCGGCCATGTGGGTGGGCTACCACAGTCCCTGGAGCCCCCGCTTAGCTTCTCGACCTAGCTGAGTTACCTAGTAACTACATTGGTTCATTTGTTCCAACCAGCGGCAGATTTAGCAATTTGGGGGCCCAAGGTGAACACAGACATGGGGCCCTCTTACACTAAATTTTCAACAATCTTTAGGCCCTAGGCCTTTTTTCTTTGGGCCCTGGCACCTTCCAATTGGGGGCCTTTGGAGTTTCATGTCCCAAGTGTCAGTGATTATTTGCATTCCCCGAGCACAGCTATAGCTACAATCAAAACAGTTTAGATTGTAAACAAAGCAATTTTTGGTTTTTGATACATTAAGATAAAATAATATTTGAACTTTATTTTAGAAGAGCAGCCCTGTGTGAAAGTGCTGACAGGTTGGAGGTTGTGAGTTCAAATTCCATTTAGGAAATTTAGTCAATTGTTTTATTTATTTCAGGGGTCCTCAACTAAATGTATTCAAGGGTGTTTTTTTCCAGCAGACACCAGTGAAGTTCCAATGCTCTTGTAAATTAAAGTTCAAATATTATTGTGTCTTACTTTATTACAATTTAAAATGGCCTTGTTTCCCATCTGGGCTCTTTGATTGTGGTTTTAGTTGTGTTTGGAGAATGTGGACAGTTGTAGATGTTTGGGACATGAAACTGTAGAGGCCACCAATTGGGGGCGTTAGGGTTAAACAGGTTAACTGGATTTGCGAAACTTTACCCTCTTCTGACATGAGTTATTTTCACTTTTATTAGTCCTCCTCTTTTTTCCTGTCTTTTTCAGTGCTTCTGTGCTTTTGCCTTTCTTTTTTGTTCTTCTATTTTCCATTTTGGTCTATGTTTTCCTCCCTTTAAACATTTTCCATTGTCTTTCCTTTTTTGCTTCCTTTTGATGTTTACATTGAAAAACGATGTCACTTTCGGAAGTGAAGATAAAAGCTTTTTTAAAGCAAGCTGCTTCTTTCTCTTATTGGAGCCACTAGGATAACTCCATTTCATGCTTACTGTTTTGACTAATGTTTTGAGTTTGTTATGAACGCTCCCGCCTCTCTTCTTCTTTTTCTATTTTCTCTTCTTTTTCTTCTTATTTGTGGTCTTATGGCACTTGGCAAACAACAATTTGGTGCATTACTGCCACCAACTGGATTGGACTGGAATACTACCAATCACTTCCTGTTTGTGCATCGGACTTCTTAGAGGAATTGTCCATTGTGGCATTAACAGAGGTGTGCCAGCAGGCAGGGCAAGGGGTCCCCAACATAAGGTGGCCCCAGGCAGCTTATATATTTATAAAAATCAATTTAATACTATATTTCTACTACTAGAATGATGCAGATCAAATGATTATAAATGATGAGTTATGGTGAAATCAATCGAGCCATTAAATGAGCAATGATGAAATAAAAGCTTAGATGTTATGTTAGGGGGTTAGGTCCTAAGGTCCTAACTTAATTGTCTTAGAAAATTGTGATGTCTGAGTTGTAAAATAAGACTGGCTGAATGTTTAGTGAGGTTTAACAAATTATCAAATTACTAAAACCATCCTGATGCCAGGTGTGAGTATAGTAGCTATGTGATGAGGCTTCAGCAATGCTGCTGGCCACAAAGTCTGCGAGTAGTTTGAAGGAATATATAAAAGTATTGTTTAACCCGGAAGTTAACATCTTCAGCTTCCGTTCCACCACCTACCTGTTGGTTCATTCAGCAAACATGGCGAGCGGCGGAGGTGTTGCAGTAGCTTCCTTGTGGACCGAAGTGAACCGCTGCGGCCAAAGCGGAGACTACACACGCGCTCTGAAAGCTCTCACAAAGAGTATGTGTTTTTGTTTTACAAGGCGGACATTAACGCATCAAACTGAGGCGGTGGCTGCAGCGAGAGTGTGAACTGCATGGAGCTACCGTCAGCTGTTAGCATGTGGCTAAGCTAACGGTGATCAGGCGGCTGTAGACTCTAAAAACACGAAATTTAGCGTTGTGTGACTAACAACTTTAACGCGTTCAATTCACATTAAAGAAGCTAAAGGATGCATACATCATGTTTGCTTTGAGGACACTACTGGGGCAATTGTACTCAAGTCATTTTTACTACTGACGTGTCCTTAGCCTGATCTTACAGCAGAAGGACGCTGTTTGTCATAGTTATTGATAATGGTAAAAATTACTCGCACTTGTATATCAGAGGACTCCCGAGCGATTTACATTCATACAACCATTATTCTGTTACTCTGTCAAGTCAGTGTATGGTTGGCATTATTATTATTACGAATTCTGTTTTTTCTCTGCGTTTCTGTGGCACAGTTTTACACGAGAACAGGGATGATGTGACGGCCCTTCACTGTAAAGTAGTGTGCCTTGTTCAGACAGGAAGCTTCAAAGAGGCGCTGAATGTGATGAACACTCACTCTAAATCGCTCGGCAGGTAAGCAGTTTATTGTTTACTCGTGTTCGTAGTAAAAATGTCTCCCTATCTCAACTGGCTTAAAGGTGTGGAACAGTGAAAAGTACTGTTTTACTTATTATTTCTGATTATAATCAGCCACTCTGGTGTTTTTCATGAAGACTGAACTTTAAAATAGTCTACTACACCTACCACCTGCATTAGCTTCTGATAGACTGTGAAACGCTAGAATTTGAAAAGCCCATCAGATCTATGTCACACTGTCTCGGCTAGCAGAAGCTAATTGTTGGTATTAGAAACCCCACCACACAACAGAACTTCTTCAGGTCTGTGTTATATGTGGAGATAAAACAGTGTTGCAAAGCAAGCTGAGTCGGTGGTAGAGTTGCTGTTATCCAATCCGATAGGATGTGTCCAAACATCAGGAAAATAGACTCCAAACTCTGCCACATTGAGCTCTTCTCTGATGTGGCATTCAGCTATTTCCCTCAAGTAAGACTTTCAAGACACTCATTACTAATAGAGACCACTGCAAATGTATTGATTAAAATAAAATATCCAGGTTTCACATGTTGACATCTGGGTTCTGTACCTGGCCTATGATGTGTATTTATTTCCAGATCCATAAGCAGTGCAGTGCAAGTCTGTTAAAATGTTACTGTCTACCAATCAAATAATTAGTCATTGTTAACTCCTAGTTTGTTTGGCCAAGTTTAAGTAAAACTGTACCCTACTTAATGTAATCAATTCGGGGAGAAGTTCCTGAAATCAAAATATAGATGTTTGTCATTTATTTTTAAAGGAATATTTTAAATTCCAGCTGCTTATTATTGCAGTTTTTCTTTTATTAGGCACAAATCTTGCAGCTGTGGCTCAAGAAGAATGTAATTTGGAAAAAGTTGATATTTACTGACTTGGTCTTTAGCATGGAATGGAAGCCCCCAATACATTTATTTGTGTGTCTGTGTCGTATAGAGAAAGTGTTTGTGTTGGCATAATTATTGAATTTCAAAAAGAACCGAAGCCAGTGAAACTTTTTGGTCTTTCCATATAAACTCGTAATACACCTGGTTGCAGGTGAAACTACAGAAAAGAGCAGATGTTGAACCTGGTTTCACTGTAATGGTAAAATCAGCTGCCTGGTCATTAATTCAGAGCCAAATCCTTGGAATACGTAACTAGCTGGAACCTGTTGTTGGAAATCCTAAGTACCTCAAGTGTATTTTCTGATATCACACACTTTGTTTTTTCCTTTTAGTGATGTTGTGTTTGAGAAGGCGTACTGTGAGTACCGGCTAAACCGAGTGGAAAGCTCCCTGAAGACCATAGAAAGTGCTCCTGAACAGACGGACAAGCTGAAGGAGCTTTACGGTCAAGTGGTGAGATGGTTTGACAGAGTCATATTACTACTCTTCAGCTGTAGATTGTAGATTACACCATTTACCATTTGGGTGGAGGAAGGCTGTCATATTAAATCTGCACTTATCTGTATCTGTAGAAGTCGTTACTCTAATCAATTCACGGTGCTAATGCAATCGGGAGCAACATTATGAGCCAACAGATTCAGACAAGTCGCATCAGTTTTATTCAGAAGGAAAGACTCAGGGTCCCTGTTTCATCAGCATTTAGATTTACTGCACAGTGAAGCCTAATTTATACCTCTCCATCAGCTCCATGAGGAAGAGACTCGCATGGACGGAGATGTTTTGCCTTCAGACTTCTCCGTCTCCTGGAGAGTGTTGCAAAGCAGTTCCCCGCCAGGACAACAGAGGGCGTAGCGCTGTTCTGTGGTATCCTGTCATGTATCCGGTCCAAAATATTGAATTTAATATTGTGTTTTTTTTTTATTTCAGTTACTATTTAGCATGGACAAATTAGTCCCTCATTCTCTTCCACCTCTTCATGCGCTCGCCACCTCTAAACCAACGTTTCCCGTTATTTCCGTCCACAAATAAAACACTTGCTGCATATCTTTTCACTCCTCCTGTCACGGAGGAATTAAACATTCATAATTTTAGAGTTTTTCCATGAGGGATTGTTCAAGCTGCTCCATGTCTACCACTAGTTATCTTTGACTCTGTGTTTTCCAGGACGCCATGGCGGCGTCCTGACCAATCACAAGCTTGCGTTCTCATTCTTGTTGGACGGATGTTTAGAAAAGAGAGCTTGACTCCGCACGTCCTTGCGAGGGCTCTTCAGCAGACTCGCAGTGATGGATAATGGCGTTGCATGCGTCCATCCCGATGCAGACGGAGAAGTATGAATTAGGCTTTAGATTTGATCAGTTGTCTGAATGAAGGCCTTAATGGATTTAACACAGTTAAAGCTTTTTATGAACATTTATGTTTCTTACACTTTAAGTCAGTCTGCTGTAGCTCACAAACAATATATTTAGTATTATTTTGTTTTTACAGCTATGAGCTTTGAGGTCCCCTTTTTATGTATTTTGCAGAATATTTGGTCTCAAAGTGACTATCCAATGAGGTTATAACAGTGCAGCTATCATCATGGCTACCTATAAGCTAATTAGTCAGGGGAGCGCCAGTCAGGCTTCGTCAGAGGTGTAGTTACAGGTGCTGGTCATAAAAATGTAACATCATGACTAAGTTTTTTTATTTCATTAATTCCATTCAAAAAGTGAAACGTTTATATTAGATTCATTCATTACACACAGACTGATATATATCAACTGTTCTTTAATTTTGATGATTATAACTGACAGCTAATGAAAATCACAAATGCTGTATCTCAGAATGTTGTGTGCCACACTCTAATCAAATAACTACTAAAACCTGGAAAAGCCTTTAAATGGTCTCTCAGTCTAGTTCTGTAGGCTACACAATCACGGGGAAGTCTGCTGACTTGACATTTGTCCAAAAGACGACCACTGACACCTTACTCAAGCAGGGCAAGACACAAACAGTCATTGCTAAAGAGGCTGGCTGTTCACAGAGCTCTGTGTCCAAGCACATTAATAGAGAGATGAAGGGAAGGACAAGATGTGGCAGAAAAGTGTTCAACAACAGAGATAACAGCACCCTGGAGAGGATTGGGAAACAAAACCTGTTCAAAACTGTAGGGGAGATTCACAAAGAGTTGACCGGAGCTGGAGTCAGTGCTTCAAGAACCACCATGCACAAGAACCACCATACACAAGAACCACCATACACAAGAACCACCATACACAAGAACCACCATGCACAAGAACCACCATGCACAAGAACCACCATACACAAGAACCACCATGCACAAGAACCACCATGCACAAGAACCACCATACACAAGAACCACCATGCACAAGAACCACCATACACAAGAACCACCATACACAAGAACCACCATACACAAGAACCACCATACACAGACGAATGAGAGACATGTTTCAGCTGTTGCTTTCCTTGTGTCAAGCCACTCTTGAACAAGAGACAGCATCAGAAGCATCTCTCCTGGGATAAAGACAAAAAGGACTGGGTTGCTGCTGAGTGGTCCAAAGTCTTGTTCTCTGATCAAAGTAAATTTTGATCAGAGAACATTTATGGGTCTTCTGAAGAAAGAGAGGAGAGGCGCAGAATCCATGTTGATTGAGGTCCAGTGTAAAGTTTCCACAGTCAGTGATGGTTTGGGTTTCCATGCCAGCAGCTGGCGTTGGTCCATTGTGTTTTCTGAGGTCCAAGGTCAACGCAGCCACCTACAAGGAAGTTTTAGAGCCCTTCATGCTTACAGCTGCTGACCAACTTTATGAAGATGCAGATTTGATTTTCCAACAGGACCTGGCACCGGCACACAGTGCCAAAGGAAGAGCTGAAGGCCGTTATCAGAGTAACACTGGCTCTAAAACCACCTGAGCAGTGCCACAGACTGATGGACTCCATGCCAAAACATTTGAAATATATCAGCCTCTGTAATAAATGATTCTCATATACAAGTTTCACTTGAATGGAATTACATGAAAATGAGGAAAGGGAAAAGAAAATGAACAATAAAAGGCAATCAGTGGATCCTGGGAAAAGCAGAATCAGCAGAAAGAGCAGAACAAAGCTAACTCAAGTGTTTGCTAACAATCACAATTGTTGGTGCTTTCCATATAACCTATGAGAATCCACCCAATTGGGTGAGGAGCTTTATTTGATTTGTTAAAAAAAACCATCATGCTTCCGTTTGATTGCCAGAATGCATTATGTGTAGCAAACGTGTAGCAAACATTTGAGCTGACCATTCATTACGATATTTATCTGTTCTTTGCAAGATGCATATTGTGCATACAGATATCGCGATTACGATATATGTGCGATGTATTGTGCAGCCCATGCGGCCAGTCCACTTTCTTGCACTTCCACCCTTGTGCTCTTCAGTTGCGTGTTCCCGGCCAGGGGTGTGAGCGTGTAGGGTGTCCAGATTCTCAAGTGCGGAGGGGGACTACGCCCATTTTGCACCCTTGAACAGCACTTTGCCCAAGTTTGTATCGATGCAGAATTTTGCAAGGTTGTTACCCACAATCCATTGGTGGGTGGGAAATTTGGGAAGAAGGTGGAGCAATGGCTCGAGTGCCTTTTCTGAAAATGTTTTCAAGTGAAAGAAGTTCATTTTAAGATGATTAATAATATTTATTCTTGCTCTGAATGTTTTAGACAAATATTTAATGTTGACAGCAATGAATGTAAATTTAGTCTAATTATTTGAAAGTTGAAAGATTTTTTAGAAAGTAGCACAAACAGCAACTGGCGTCCCAGGATGCATCGCTTTTGACGACGCGGCACACTTGTGTACTACACACTCAAAGCCTTACTGTGCACCTCCTCTTAAGTGCATTTCACAGAAGGCTGTAGGGCGCATTGTGAGTATTGGGATTGGGCCAATGACAGAAGAAGAGTCTGGATTGACTGGAGCATGGTGAAGGTACTGCTAACCGACAATCCTGTGATGGCTGGACTGACTGAGTCGAGGCAATAGTCTTTGCAAGAGAACCTGGGTAGATGGATACTGTTCTAAGATAAGAACACTTTCACAGTTTTGTAGGCTAACATGTACAGATATGAGGATAAATAAACATAAAATCAACAGTTAAAAGGGCTCAGCACTTCTTTCAATAAGAAAATGAATGTCTACTGATTTTAAGTCCAATTGTCTAGTTGTACAGACTGGAGCGCTATGAGGAGTGCAGGTCAGTCTACACGGATCTGATCAGGAATTCCCAGGATGAGTACGAGGAGGAGAGAAAGACCAACCTTGCTGCTGTAGTTGCTGCAATGAGTCAGTGGGAGAAGGCATCAATGGTAACTCTTATCTTCATTGGCTGTTTACCTTTAAACAAAGTGGAAAGCAGACTCCTCTTTTTTAACAGGAGGATCTTGGACTTCCTGAGTCTACGTATGAGCTGTGTTACAACACAGCCTGCGCTCTGATTGGCCAAGGACAGCTGACTGAAGCTTTCAATAAGTTACGGCAAGCAGAAGGTCTGTTTGTTTATGTTCAGTTACTGAAATTTACTTGCATGTTCTTCCTTTTGATTAATGTTTTTCTTTATTTGACAGAGCTTTGCAGAGTCTCACTGGCCGACGATTCTGTAAGTGCTGTTTTTTTTTAGAAAATTTTCAACCAAAAGAATATGAAAAAAGCTTTAGAGTAGTATTCTTAAAACTTGTAAATTATTACATTATTATGAGAATAAAAGATGGGATTAGACTCTAGGAAAATGTGCAGATACTGATGAAGAGCTTTACCTCAATCACACAAAATGTGAGAAAAACATTGGGATGTTTTGACTTGTGCAGAATACGACCAAGAGAGTTGTGAACCAACAGTTCTTTTGTTGCGTTGTTGTTACAGTGTCTTAGTTATATCTCAGTGTTTGCAACTCATTCTCATTTTATTTGTCAATACCTCCAAAATGTGTCCCAGCACTCATATCAAATACAGGCCATTTACCAGGGGTAGACAGATATATCGGCCAATATTTACCATTTTTTATGTACCGTCATCAGCTGACAACTCCCTAGTTAAACCGATTTAAAGTCAGGCACATCCCTAGGTAGCCCGGTGCTGCTGCAGAATTTAATTTAAATATATATTTGCATTCCTTAATAAATGCTTGAAAAATATTTTCTAAAGAAATTTCTTATGCCAGTGTTGAATATTTAATACTTGGTCAGTTTCCTAATTTGTTTGATTGACTTTAGGTAGATGACTGATTTTTAACACAGCGGTGCACAAAATTCAGATTTCACAGCTGGTCACATTCAGTGTTAAAAAAACAGGAGTTGTGTGAATCAACCGATGCTATTAGTGACATTTTAGCATGAAATTTGGCCCAAAATATCTGCAGCACAAATCAGTCATCGGCTGATCGTGACTTTTACCTATCGGCATTGGTATTGGCAAAATCGGTCGACCTCTACTTTGAAAACTAGCTCTTTGTTGGTCATGATGGGAGTTGAAGCCGTTCTTTGTTAGAATTACTTGTTTATGTCTACAGCTGTAAAGGTGGGTTGCTTTTCCTCTGATAATCCAGCGCTTTGTTTGTCCACTTTGGGCATGGGAAAGCGCTTTTATAAATAAAGTTGATTTGATTTCATCTCTTTTTCTTCCAGGATGTAACTGAAGAGGACATAGAGTCAGAGCTTGCTATCATCCACTCTCAGATGGCATACATTATGCAGTTACAGGGTCGAACAGATGAAGCTCTGCAGCTCTACAATCAGGTCATCAAGCTCAAGTAAGTCGAGCTAGCGTCCTCCACGTTTGTCTGAATGTGAGCTCTTCAGATGTTTAAGCGAGGATCTAATCTGATTTCAGACCTTCTGATGTGGGCCTGCTGGCCGTGACGGCCAACAATATCATCACGATAAACAAGGTGGGTGGAAAGCTCGTCAACCTAAAGGTGAACTTCATCCTTCAATCTCAGCCGAGACGTACCTGTTAGCTTTATTTTGTTTTCTTTTCAGGACCAAAATGTGTTTGACTCAAAGAAAAAAGTGAAACTGACAAACGCAGAAGGTGTTGAGTACAAGCTGGCAAGGAAGCAGCTGCAGGCCATCGAGTTCAACAAAGCCCTGCTGGCCATGTACACTAACCAGGTACCCGTGTGTGGAAGAGCTGCTGTGAGCTCTGATTTTACACACATTTACATGTTATACCAATGTGTCTGTGTTTTCATGCAATCAGGCTGACCAGTGCAGGAAACTGTCCTCCAGTCTTCACTCTCAGAATCCATCTCACCCGCGGCCGGTCCTAATCCAGGCAGCTCAGCTGTGCAGAGAGAAGCAGCACAGCAGAGCCATAGAGCTCCTACAGGTGAATGCCACATGATCCTCCACCTCTGATCTGATTCAACAGGATCCAAAAGTCCAAACAATAAAATGATACTTCATTTATTTCAGATTTCTGATGGCTTTTTGCTCCTGGTCTCACAGAAAATGATAAATTTATTTATGATAACTCGACATCTGTGCTCTGCCCTGCTGTGAAATGCCTGATTAGATTTCACCACAGCTAACATGGGTGTAATGGAGTACAGCCTGATTCAAATCCCATCTAATGCTTAATAATTTAGTTCTTAATTCATTCCTTTTAAATGTTTGAGAGTCTGATCATGTTTTTTTTTTATTTTGCAGCAATTTTCCGATCAGAACCCAGAGAGTGCATCTTGTATCAAGCTAACAATGGCGCAGCTGTATTTAGTACAAGGTAGACCCTCTTTCCTCAGCTCCACCAGAGCTTTTAAACCGTTCTCTTCTCTTAAATACAAAGACACGTTTGTCTTCTGAATTAATACGTTTAACCTTCAAACTGAACTTCAGCATTGATATTTTATTTTTGCCTTTTAGGTCACGTTACCAAAGCCTGTGATGTTCTGAGGTCCATTGAGGCGTTTAGGCACAAAGCAGGAATGGTGATGCTTAATAATTAAAGTACTATGTTTTAGCAGAGTGTTGTAGACTTTGTAACGTGTTCTAATTGTTTTGTCACAAACATTAATCTCAATCTCTAATTCAGGTTTCAGCTTTGGTGGCGTTGTATTCTCATGAAGAAGACATCGACGGCGCTATCGATGTCTTCAAGCAAGCTATTGAGCATTTTCAGTCTGAACAGGTTTGAGTTCACTGCTCTGTTGGTCTTCTTGAAGGAAACATGAACAGAAACCAGTTATAAAAGCAGAGAAGAGCCACTACGGTCACCCGGCTGTCCCATAATAGCTTTTGTCAGTTACATTAGTGTTGTGATCATTTGGAGCCAAATTTGAAAAAACAAACTCCTGCAAACGCTAGTTTCTTACTTATGTAATCCTTCGTCCCTCACAGCCCGGATCTGCTGCACACTTGGCTCTGGTGAGAGAAGCTGCAAATTTCAAACTGAAGCATGGACGGAAAAAAGAAGCCATCAGTGACCTGGAGCAGCTGTGGAAGTGAGTCTTATTCCTGCTGAGTATTGTAGAGGAAAAATGATCTTAAATCTACCTGCGTGGCAGTTGCTACACACATAGGGCTTTTAAAAAGTTGCTGCAGCATATTTTAAATAACCTCATTTATTATTTAGTATTTTCCATGAAGAAACCCTGATCTTTGTGTTTGTCCACAGACAAAACACAAAGGATGTTCACACCCTGGCACAACTCATCTCTGCTTATTCACTGGTGGACACCAATAAAGCCAAATCGTATCCTTTTACATGAATAAAGGCTAAAACTGTAAACTGAGTTTTGGTCTTGGCCATTACTTTTACATTAAATGTTTATTTTAGCAGCTTAGTGTGGTGGTTTGTTGATTCTATCTTAAAGGAAGTGATGTTTTCCTGTTGAATTTTTATCAAAGGGAAACCTTTTTCAGATTTTGTATTTATTTACAACTTAAAAAATGATGAGTTGTCAGCCTGTGTAGTAGAAACCGTTTCCTTAGCAGGCCCCTGCAGCCTCAGTAAACACCTTCCGTCTGCAGAAACCATGTCCTTCAACGTGGACGTGGACGAGCTGGAGAACTCCCACGGCGCCACATTTGTCAGGAAAAAGGCCGGTAAAGTGGTGGGTGAAAGCCTTCCCAAAGAGCCAGGGTGAGTTTTGGTTGTTTACCGTTTGTCTGCTGCTCACATTTATTTATTTATTTTTAATAGAACATGACCGAGAGATTTCAATGCCACATATTTAGTTCTGTTTGCTTATTTCTGTAGCCAAGTAGAGCTCAAGAAGAAGAAGAAGAAAAAGAAAGGTAGGCCACTGAATAAATATGTTATGTTATATTATTACAGGTTTACATCGGAACAAGCCACAGAATGTTTCCTGTAAAGATTCTAGTTTTCAAAGAGCTCAGATTGCACAATCTTCCTTTTAGGCAAGCTGCCCAAGAACTATGACCCCAATGTGACCCCTGACCCCGAGAGGTGGCTTCCTATGAGGGAGCGCTCCTACTACAGAGGGAAGAAGAAGGGCAAGAAGAAGGAGCAGATAGGAAAAGGAACACAGGGAGCAATGGCAGGAGCTTCAGCTGAGCTGTGAGTCAACTGCAGACACATTAGGAAGAACGTCGCGTTCAATTACAGGAAATTGGGTTCTTTAAAGAGACAATGTGTAGTTTTTTTTTTACCAATAATTTCTGGAAATATCTGCCAAAATGTTGTTGAAAATGAATGAAATGATGCCCAGTTGTTGAAAAATATTGGCGGCTTTGTAACATATAACCATAAAAATCTGGTCTAAAATACATGGGAACGGGTCTAAGTCTCTGGGCAACGCCATATTAGATGCCATGTGTTCTTCTACAGGAGCCCATGAGGACAAAATGCATTTACTGATTTGTAACAAACGGTTAAAAAACTTTCATTCATAAATGTTGCTGTTTTACACATTTACCTCATTGCCACTGATGAAAGGGAGTCTGATGTGCTTGTTATTTTGTTAAAGTTTGCACTCCCCAGCCTTTTTTGACCCTAATGGGCATCTGTTGGTAAAGTCTTACTCCAGCTCAAATATACTGCTTGCTTGCAGTGATTTAGGTATGTACTGCCCCGTATTCCTAGGAAAAATACACACTGTCACTTAGGGCTGCAGCTATCGAATATTTTAGTATTTGAGTATTCTTTCAAATCTTCCTTTGATTTGAGTATTCTATTTGATGACGTTTCAAGTGAAACGAGATTATGGTCTGCTGCTAAAAATACAAAACAAAAAAGCTAAATTATAAAAGGCTCAATAATATATTAAACTGGTGTTGTCTAGTTCCCTCTTTCCCAGCAGATATTTATAGTTAAAAAATATTTTATGGAACATTTGACTTACATTTCATTCACTATTTAGGTTTGTATTGACCTCATCCTAGTCAAAATAACATATCTAAAAAATATTCACATATAATGAGTAGTATTTAATTATTTCATTAACATGTTCAGTAGTACGCTACTAGAAATGCTAACATTTAATTTCTACTTGTAGCAATGTACTTGTGGTATTTATTTTATTATGTACGGGTTGGCAACATAATCTAGTCTAAATTGTTCTGGAATATAAAAGTGTTTGTGAATTATATGCTACAACAGCTTGCCATACACTTATGTGGTGGATGGAGCACACTCGGTGCAACAACGTTGGTTACCTTTCTAACCCCAGATTCTATGAGTATGGCGGAGCCCTTTAAGCCTCGCCTATTGGGAGTTAGTCCCCGACAACGACCAATGACTGAAGAGCTTTAATGTACACCCGCCTATCAGGTGGGCCCTGGTCCTATAAATAGGTATGAGGACCAAGGATCGTCTCCAAAAGGTAAAAGAACCTCAGAACCAGTGGGCCAGATGCTTAAAGGGCTCCACCATACTCATAGAATTTGGGGTTACAAAGGTAACCAACGTCCTATTTCGTATGGCTCCGCCCTTTAAGCCTCACCTATTGGGTTAAAGGTGGAGCATGATGTAGTAAACGCCCACTGGTTAACAACAAGTAATAAATAGGACCCCAACACCCTAACGCCGGGGACACACCGGCCGCGGAAGCGCCGAGAAGCGAATCGCTCACGAAATTCGGCCGCTGCTCGCCGCTCCTCAGTTCAGATCAGACGCGCCCCAGTCGAGGCGCGCCTCGGCTCAGCTGTAGTTTTTCTTTTAAAACACTTGGTGTCCTCCATTTCCTCTCTGCCTTTTCTCAGCTATTTTCCTCTACGTGTGTGTGCGCGCGTGTGTGTGTGTGTGTGTGTGTGTGTGTGTGTGTGTGTGTGTGTGTGTGTGTGTGTGTGTGTGTGTGTGTGTGTGTGTGTGTGTGTGTGTGTGTGTGTGTGTGTGTGTGTGTGTGTGTGTGAACCTATGGTATGAGTTGTTTCTGCCAGTTGAATCTCTTGGAACCCGCTCCAATTCTGCAGCTGTATCCTAGCAGTTTCTTCCGAAATGGGTACGTAAATAATCATGTTTTTCTGGGGTCGTACAGCTCCTTGTGTTTCTCAACTTCCATAATTCATTTAAAGTCATCCATCTTAACTGCTTGCCTCAAACTTTCTACCTCTCTGTCCTGTTTGCTCCGGTGAAAAGACACCCAAAACCACACACCCCTTCACGTGGTCACACACGCACACAAGTTCGATGTGTGTGTGTGTGTTCGTGTGGTTTTTCTGCAGTGTCTGATTACGAACACATTTGACTATTGCGGAATTTTATTTTGAAATGCTTTATTTTGTTAACTTTACCGGCCTGCCTCTTATGTCTAGGTTTGACTTCCTGCCAGAATTGACGCGATTCACCCGCGGCTCGCGAAAAAAATAGAGCCGACGCCGAAATGATCGCTGCACGGCGCGGGCTGGGGCGCCGGCGCGAGGCGATTCGCGGCGCTTCGGCGGCCCATGTGGTCTATAGAATAGCTTAACAAGGGCGCCGAATGAAGGCGGCCCCATTTTCGCGGCGCTTCCGCGGCCAGTGTGTCCCCGGCGTAACACGGCTGCAGCGGGCGGAAGATGAGATGAGCAGCTGTGAGGGAAGACTGCGTGGGGGAGGGTGGGTTTATCCCAAGGTCACCTGGCAGCGAGTCAGAGAACAATGGGAAGAAGAATCAACACCATAACAATAGGTGGAGAACAGCAGGGTTAATTGAGGAAGGCACAATAACATCTCTCTGACCCCGCAGAGCAACGGGTGATGATAACAACAGGGGATAAGGGGAACACATTAACACAGCCCTGCCCATGGCAGCAGCACGTGTGAGAAGGGAGGCGCATGCCGAATCGATGACACCAGCAGATAGAATCGAACTGATACATTACCAAGCACTGCGCTGGAAGCATAGGTGCTGGACATGTCTTTCAGGTAGAACCTCACGAAGGAGCAGGGTGAGGCCCATGAAGCCGCTAAACAGATGTCAGAAACAGACATTCCTCCTTGGAGCGCCACAGAAGACGATACGCTTCTCGTCGAGTGAGCCTTCAGCTTTTCCGGTGGATCCAACCCCGAAGAGACATATGTGAGCGAGATGGCATCACATAATCAATGAGAAAGGCGCTGTGAAGACAGAGGCTGGCCAAGGGAGCTCTCTCTATAGTGCACAAACAGACCTATCCCCGAACCCTTGGTGGCAAGAAGAAACAGTGGCCGCATAGGATTTAACAGTGCTGAAGGCCAGGCCATCTGTAAAAATGACAACACCCTGGCCAAGGGACACGACAGCGGGTCGACCTGTTGGTCCTGGCACCAATGCTGAAAAGCATCCCATTTCGCAGAATAAGAAGCTACAGTGGAGGGGGCGAGAGAAGATCGAATGGTTCGAGCCACATCGGAAGTTAAGCCCGATGCTTCCAGATGAGACCGTTCAGTGGCTAAACCCACAGGTGCTGGCCCAGGACCGGGGGTGCATTAGTCCCCCCCACCCCCGCCTGCAAGAGCGTGTCGATCCTCCATGAGATCTTCCAAGGACGCGCCGCCAACAATGCCTGCAAATCTGGAAACCAGGACGCTGAGGTGCGACAGGGAGCCACCCAGATAACCAAGAGTTTTTCTGATCTGGTTCAGAAGTTGGGGGATCAGAGGGGCTGGAGGAAAAGCGTAGAGTAAGAGTTTGGGCCAGGGTTTGTGAGCAAAGGCGTCCACCCCCAGCAGTGGAAGGTCTCGTGGTCTGAGAGAAAACCACAGGGGTCATTGTGTGTTCTTGCGAGACGCAAACAGGTCCACAGCCGCCCATCCGAACTTGGTCCAGACCTGAGATATCAGGTCGGGATGGAGCCGCCACTCCGAGTGACGTGGGCCCCCCTGGACATGATGTCCGCACCTACATTCAGGATTCCCGGAATGTACACAGCTCTGATTGACATGAGGTTGGCGTGAGCCCAGCACAATAACTTCCTGGCTACACTCAGGCGTGAGGCTGATCGAGTCCCGCCCTGGCGATTTATGTAGGCTGCGGCGACTTGGTTGTCCGTGTGGATCAGGACATGCTGGTCCCGGAGGAGGGAGAGCGAAATGTAGGGCCACATTCAGCACCGACATGAGCTCCAGAACGTTTATGTGGACATTCGTGTGTGGGGGGGCCACCAATCGCCCACAGAATGGGATAAGCACGTGCCCCCCCACCCCGACAGGGATGCATCCGTGAACACACACGTGTGACGTCACTTGCCCGAGAGGAATGACCGATGCTGTAGGTCCCCCTTCACTGAAGTGGGGACGAGTATCATGCACCTTTTGTGGCATATGGGGTCCACATTGAGGCAATTGAACCAGCGTTGAATGCACCTCATGTGTAATAAACCGAGCAGCACCACAACATGGGCCGCCGCCATTATGCCTCAATCATGTCTCATTACTGACAGCGCCGTGACTGTGCGCTGGATTAGGGCAATCAAGTCTGTCATTCTCTCCCGGAAGAGACGGGCTGTCATGGAGCTGGAGTCCAGGGCCACGCCCAGGAACACGATGGACTGGGACGGGATCACGGAGCTCTTCTCCCAGTTTATGGAAAAGCCCAGAGTGATCAGATGCAGTGCCAGCGTCCTCGTTTGTGACTCCGCTTCCGTCTGGGAATGGGCTAGGAGGAGCAGGTCGTCTAAATTGAACTGGATCCTCAAGCCTGCCGTGCGTAACGGCTGCAGCGCCGTCGCCAGGCACTTGGAGAAGGTGCGTGGGGCTAGGGAGTATCCGAACGGGAGCCTGATGTACTGATACTGAGTCCCACTGACTAAGAAGCACAGGAATTTCCGGTATTTCAGAACAATCGGAACGTGGAAGTATGCGTTCCTCAGGTCTATGGGCGTAAACCAATCGTCTGGGCGCACGTACTCCAACACCTGTTTGATCGTGAGCATGCGGAAATGCTTCACTGCTATGAAGGTGTTGAACAGAGACAGATCGAGGATCGGTCTGGAGCCACCATTTTTCTTCGGAACCAGGAAATAACGGGAGTAGAAACCTGTGTTCTCCTCCCCTGGCGAAACCTCTGAGATGGCCTCCTTCAACAGGAGTTCCCTCAACTCCGCCTCGAGGGCGGCAGCGTGAGAGGCTGATGTCAGTGTCGTCTCCACAATCCCTGAGAATGGGGGTGGGAGGGACTGAAACTGCAGCCTGTGGCCGCTGCGAATGATGTCCTGAATCCACTTGGTCATGTGGCACATGCGGCTCCAGTCGTGGTCGCACTCTGACAGTGGGCACAGCGCCTGGGCCTGCAACGCATCCAAAATCCAGGTCCAGGCAACTACCGCCGTCGCTTGACCCGAAGGAATATCGGGAGCAACCCATGGGGGGCCGGCTGGGAAAGGGCCGGTCGCGGAGTTGTGTCTCAGTCAACGTCGGTTCTCTCACAAACGGACAAAGTCGTTTGTGCGGTGCCGGAGAGCGCTGCCGCACGTCTGGCGCATGTGGAGGAAACCCAGTGCGTGAGCGTGGGAAAAGCTCCGAAGCGCGCGCAGACAGGCGGTGATCATAGATGACAGCCCGTTTTGGTGGTTGTAATGAATGCAGCAAATTGTCATTGTGCAGATTTGCAGCAGTCACAGCGGGGAGAAGGTGCCATTTGGAGGCAGAGCGCATGTTCGCTGAGCTCTCTGAGCCGCCGCGTAACGACGAAGTCCTCACCGCTGGTTGGCCCCCTCTCTCGCGCCAAGAAGGCGGTGCGGAGGGGATTGGTAGCGACTCTACCCTAGCCCGTGACAGGTGTGTGAGGGGAAAGGTTGTGCTTGACGTGGGAAACATGTGTGAGAGAACAGCAGATGGTGCGTTAGAACTTTCTGTACAAGGTTGTGACAGGATGTTGCTCTTTAACTGATTAAAATGTTTTATTTCAAAACACAAATCGTCACAATCAAAAACACTCACATTTCCCCCAAGGAGTCATTTCCTCGGATTCTTCTTGCGACTGTCCTGAGGCTGCCAAGTCCAGGTAGGGGCAAGCGGTCTGGTTGGTCTGGAGCACTGCGCCGGTGGCTGGCGAACCGGAGGTTCCGGGTCCGCCGCCGGCAGCTGACCCTGCGTTGGTCTGGAGCTGGATCGGGAAGCGCGGCGTCTCTTAGCACCCCGGTGGTCTTCCCAGGATCTGGTTGAGGCACGGTGCTGGTGACCGGGCCGGGGTCAGACTAGGCTGTGCACAGTGGCGGAGAGGTCAGCCGACCTCTGAGCCCTCTCGACAGCATCTCTGAAGTTGGACCCAAACAGCACGTCCGAGCTGATTGGGCCCTCCAGCATCTCTTTGTGGAGCTGCTCCGGGATGGACGAAAGAGCTCCAAGTCATAGGAGCCAGTGGATGAGGGTCTGCCAGGTGGAGATGCGAGCTGCACAGATCAGGTTGGCGGCACACAAGTTCAAAATGGCGTCAGCCGACTTGCAGATGAGGTCCTTGGGTCCCTCAGGCAGGTCACATGTCTCCGCTGCCTTGGAGATGCCGTAGGCAAGTAGCGCCACGTTGTTCGAGGCCGCGCTGATCTGCGCAGTGCACTGGTGGGAACGGTCAGCAAACCGTGCCAGCTGCTGGTCGTTCCTGGAAGCGGGAACCGCTCGCCTGTCCATCATTTTAACCTTGGGTCCGAGCAGGGAAGCCAAGTCAGCCTCCAAGGGTGGAACCGCCGGGAAGCCATGCTCTGTGAGGTTCTCCACCTTAGTGATAGACGTGTAAGAGGACACAGGAGCCCTGAGCCAGGTGGGCTCGGCTCTGGAGCCGTTCCAGTACTCCATGGCTGCTGGGAACTGCGGGAACACTGGGTCAGGGCAGAGAGTCGGTTTCGCGCCAAACCTGCCCGCCAAGTCATCCAACTTAGCAGGGGCGGGGGCGGGAACCGTTAGTCCTTTGAAGCTCGCCGCTGCCGAGATGATGGCGGGCAGCTCCTGGAGCAACGCTCGGATGGGAGGGAGCGGTGTGTGGGTGTCCTGGAGGTGTGGGTTCGGGTCCCATTCGGGAGCCTGAAGGTCCGCAGCCTCCGAGTACAAGTGTGAGGATCCCGCGCAGCTAAGCTGCTCCGTGTCAGAGCAGCTAGCTAGTGTGGGTCCAGCTGGTTCCAGACCAGCGTCAAAAAAGTCCGTGGCCTCCTCCAGTGGGACAGTGTTGGGCGCCCTCAGAGCCTTCGGAGATGGCGGTGAAATAATCCACGTGCCGGAGTTTCTCGGCCGCCGGCAGGAGCTGGCAGAAGTGGCAGGCCGCCTGGGGTGTAATGGCGAAGCCGGCGTGTCTAAACCCGAGGCAGATGTCACATCTGGCATGGAGGTCGCCTGGCATAATGAATGCCGCATTGCAGGACTGGCACAGTCGGATTGCTTTGCTCGTCATGGTTGTAGAGAGATGGTTGAAGATGGCTCAGTTGCAGTCAGGTCTAGTTGAAGAACTAAAAGGAGACGATCCTTGGTCCTCATACCTATTTATAGGACCAGGGCCCACCTGATAGGCAGGCGTACATTAAAGCTCTTCAGTCATTGGTCGTTGTCGGGGACTAACGCCCAATAGGCGAGGCTTAATGGGCGGAGCCATACGAAATAGAACCAGACGGTAGCTGTAGCAGCTCTGCCCAACACCACTGCAGAGACCCACAAATAAACGGGATGGTGGTGATTTTCCTTCAGCTTGTGGAGTTTAGTCGTTCACAATCATCACGTTTTTTTCTTAAACACACTTGCCCCTGAGAATGCTACCCACTAGCTTAGCCTTAGCAATTCTGCTCTTAGTTTAACTCTTGGTCTTTGGACCGTGTCTGCCTTTTACAATGATTTCTCCATTTTCCTCCCCAGCACATAGATTACAACATGGTACGCCAGTAAAATGTGTTCGCACATTTCCACAAAATGTGGAGCACACATTTAACGAAGTTTCAAACCAGTGAAAAATGAATTGAGGAATTAAATGAAATCGAACCATTGAATCATTCGATTATTTGTTTCAGCCTACTGCCACTTTAACCAAAATTAACTCTTTTTTTTTTCTACAAATGAACGCAGATTGAAAAAATAAACATGATTCTTCAAAGGAATGCATGTCAACCACTGCCTTTCATGGCACATGTTTAATCTAGAGAAATTATAGCCAATTTAGTAATCTTTAAATTTATGTTATATATGATTTAATATATTGCAGATCTGGATGTTGGTAGTCTGCCAGGTATGAGTCTCACCTGTTGAAACATGCCAGCTCAGCATCTGTAACGATTGTAAGCTGTTGGCATTTTTGTTTGCTGAGGACAGTTAGCTGTAGCATCCATCTTGAATTAGACTCCACAGTTTGCAGGAAGTTGAGAAAAAGTAAAATGAGAAGGAAAAAATGTTTAAGATTAAGAAGTGAAAAGTTGAGGCTGTTCATTCAGATGTAGAACAAGTTTGGATTAGATTATTTTGAATATTCAGTTGGAGGTAAGGAAGATCCTGCAGATTATTTTGAATTATTTTACTGAAAAAATTTAAAACAGCTTACTGAGGTGCAAAAACAATCAACATCAAAACTTCCATGCTTGAAATCAGTTGTGACTTTTTGTCTGTCGTCTTTTCAGCGACGCCAGTAAGACTGCTAGCAGCCCCCCCACCTCCCCGAGACCAGGCTCTGCTTCTGGATCGTCCACCGCTCCCAGCAGCAGTGGAGTGGTCCCACCTCGACAGCAGAAACCTTCGTCCTCTGGAGCCACCCGCAAGAAAGCACCACAGAAGAAGAAGAAGGGGGGCAAAGGGGGCTGGTAGTAGCAACCTCTGATTGGCTGAGATGTTTTGTTTCAACCTTTGCCTTTTTTCCCCCTCTGTTCAGATAATTTATTCAGACATAAAACAATGCTCTTTGCTTTTCTCTAACTAAATCTTTTTGGTACCAAATAAAATAACAGGTGAATATTTAAAGGGCAGTTCCACTCAAATGTGCTTTATGTTGTTCCATTTAAACAGTGTTAATGCTTTTATTCGCTTGTGACCTTTTGAGGTCTCTGATCAAGAGCACTACAAATGAAATCAGATATGTTTGCAGCCAGTGAAGTTCTACAGGTGTATTTTTCTATCTCTGTGACTGTTGTGTTGTACAGCTTCTGTAGAAGACATGTACTAGACAAGGTCAGATTAAATGATCATCTACTCAGTAAGAAGAAAAAAATCAAATCTTAAGTCATGGCAGTTATTCAGATCATTTTTAACTATCACAAACTTCGTATGTTATATTTAAAAAGGTTTCCTTCTAATCTGCAGATTTTTGATTGGCTGTGTAAGTACAGCTTTTTATTTCATAATGTCAAGTCTTCATTTTAGGGGATTGTCCTTTAGGATTTCAAAATCAACTCTTGTTTTTATGTTCTTGTACTTTTTTTTTTTTTATTTGTTTGCTGTTGGAAACGTTATTTTTGGAATTGGGGGGAAAAAACTGATTCCTTTTTTGGCCAAGCAGGTCACATTTGTTACATCTCAATAAAACTCTGAACAGTGACCAGTCTTCCATTAGTTCTGTTGGTTTTAGTCAAAGTAAAATGGAAAATTTAAATGTCACAAAATCACACACACACACACTCTCTTTAGTTTTATTTATTTTACCAATGATTTTAATGAAAAGAATACAAGTAGACTAAAAATGTCTGCTTCACGATAGAAGTGAGATCTTAAAACTTTCTTTTTGAAAGTCATTTTACCTGTTCATTCAATTAAATTAACTTATTACTATTATTATTACTTAGGCTAAATCAATTGGACCATAAAAATTACAAAGGTTCAGTACATAAATATGTATATGTTGAACCTGTTTAACTGCATTCACCTATTTTAGTTAAAAAGAGCAAACTATCATTTTCACTAACAAGATTTGCTCTGAACTTTTCTGAGCTGAAGCATTCCTTAATGGAAAATGAGGAATAAGTTACAAATAAGACGTTAAGCTGTGTCATGAGCAAATCTTTAGTCAATATCAAGTGTCTAACGATAACAAAAAGGTCTGAGTAGAAGAGAATAAAGCTTTATAGTGCAAGGAGCTAATGTCCGCATATGTGGGCGCAGGGACCTAGGACGTTAAATGTTGGTTCATTGCCTAAAAGTGTACCTGGTCTAGATCCTCCCCCGCCACCAGAGTTCGCTGTTGTCCGGTGATTAGTCCTTAATGAGATCCACCTGCTCCTCTCCCCGGCGGACTCCTAACGTGGACACCATGCCTCGTGTTCCGAGCATTTACACGGATTTCTTCTATGAGCCACTCACTGAGGATGTGGAGGAACTGCTGGCCCACTTCCAGCACACAGACTCGGTCAGGTATGAAGACTTTTCAGCCATCTGGAGGGACTTGGGCTTCTCCGACATTTTCATGGGCATCAACAACAGCAGTGAAATGAAGAGGTTTTCCAGGATAACTCTGGCCACTGCTATGAAGTTCTTCTTGCCTCCATACAGCTACCAGATCCGAGTGGGGGGGTTGTATCTGCTCTATGCCTTCTATCAAACACAGCTTGCCTCCCCAACGGTGAAGATCAGACTGGCTCTGAAGGACTGGACTCATGTTCAGGCCTTCCTCAGAGATTCTCTAAAGGGGGGGCATCATGATGTGGTTTACATCTATCAGAAGCTTGTTGTGACCAAAGCCTTCCACTACACAGCAATGCCTCATGTTCTGGCCTTCATGAAGCAGCAGAAACACAAAACGAGTGATCGCTGTCAAGAGTTTCTGAGCAGGTCTACAGTAGTGCATGAGCTCATGTCCTCCGACATCTTGGATGAGATGGCCAGCATCCAGAGCCATTATGAGAAGCTGAAAGGAGCCACCAAGGAGGTGAGTGGCACTTTCACCATGATCCACCAGGACTTCACCTCCCGCCTCACAGAGTGCATGTCAGAGTTCATCACATGGCAGCAGAAGACATTACCTTCTGAGGCCAACAAAGACAGCAAGACTGGAAGTGATATTGAGGAGGCAGCTGAAGAGTCCAGCAGTAGAGCCAAGCGCCTATCCTCCATCAAGCAGAGGAGCTACAGTAACTTAATGGGTGGGTCCAAGTCGAGGAGACACCGTAACATTCAGATGGTGGATGAGTTACCCTCCAGGCTTGAGCAGGTCCAGCGTGCTGAAGCTTCCCAGAAGAAGAGGCCGGTCTCTCTGCGAGCTAGGACACGGAAGAGCCTGGGCGTGACGGAGAAACGCTCCATCCAGGGCTGGCACCTGAGTGCGCCTGAGGAGCCAGCACTTAAATGATCAAATTCTATTTTCTGTTTATTAGTTACACAATTAAGTTGATATGTTCATTAAATATTTCTGGATCATTGCTGAGTTCCTCGTTTGTTTGTAGGAGTTGAATCAGTAATTTCAGTATTTAATGTTGATCATCTGGGAAAAGGGAGTTGAGCGCAGGCACAAGCAGTCTGAGTTTAAATGACAGCCAAGCTGGATGGGTAAGCTTAATTTAATGACTGCTCTAGACTCCAACATTCAGCTTCAGCTATGGCCTTGAGCTTTGGAGTAAGGACTAAAACAATAGCGATTGAATACAGAAAGCTGAAAATGTCTTCCGAGCAGGCTGGGCTCATCTCTTTGAAGTATGTGTTTGAATGCTGTACCAGCATTCTAGCTATTGTGATCCTGCTTCTCTTTATTCTTCTGCTTCCATGCTTTTTGAACCTTTTAAATTGAGTTAAATTTTCAGCTGTTTCAACAATTTAATATCAAAAAGGTTCAACTCGTTAAGCTCTTTTCCGAGCATTAATTTTGGCATTGACATCTTAATATTTTTGAGTTCAGTTTTCTGTGAAATTTTCCATTGAAATGAATAGGATTGGTTAATTTTCAGCAAAATTCTATCCTGATCTGAACGGCATTAAATTGGCCTCTGAGAACAAAGTAAAGAACCTTGGTGTTTTCCTTGACCAGGACATGTCAAATACTGGGTGTACATTTGTATGTCTGTGTCCCTTATGCTTTATAGTTCTGGAAACCCAAGTTTTCTTTTTGTTTTTATTTTGAAGGGTACCACAACACTCACAGATCAGCCCTCAAGATGTTATATGTAGTGAATATGACCAACCAGCATTAACGTGGGCAATGAGGCACAGAACCAGATCGCTTCAAAAAGATAATTAAAAATTGCTAAAGCTAAAAGTCCATGTAAAAGCTCAGTCGGCTGGTTGTGCCTACAAAACAGGACAGGGAAACCAGTTACTAGTGCAGGGGTGGGGCCTGGTCCATCGAGGCCCGCTAAACAGCATATTTTTGTTTCAACCCTGCTTCAACACACCTGATTTCAATCAGCGGGTGATTAACAGGCTTGCAGAGACTAATGAGCTGCTGAACAGGTGAATCAACCACTGAATCAGAAGTCTTGGAGCAAAGGATACCGTGTTCTGACTATCTGTGCTTCCTCGTCGAATTTTCCTACCAATGCACATTTCAACAGCTGATTCAGTATGTCCAGGTTTACTGAAAATCGGTAGCTACTGTTAATTTCTTTTATGAAAAAAGTGGATAGTAAACAACAGTTTAGTCATTTCGTAAAAATTAACCCCTTAGTTGCTAAAAACATTTGAATATTCTCAGAACAATGACGATTTACCAACTACTTTCACCCATGTCGAGAAAGTGATTCATAAAAATGGAGATTTGTAAGACGTTAGCTCTTACTGTTCTATTTCTCTACCTAATCCTTTATTAGACAAATTAATCCACATAGAACAAACATGCTTTTCCTCAATACTTATAGTTATTTGTTTGAATGTATAATTTTGGAGATTATTATACAACTATGATAAATTTATTATGTGTATAATTTAAAACTTTTGGATAATAGTTTGGGACTCTTTCAGAATGACTGTAAACAATGAGAGAAATTTCTTGTTTACATAACGATATTTTAGAAGCCATAAGCTAACGGTCAGGTAAACATACAGCAAGCAGTAATTTAATAAAACAACTTAAAGAGCAAGTAACGTCTAAATTAACTTTTTTTGCTGAGAAACTGTATAAATGAGTGTCTAATAGTGTTTTAAATGTGTGTATTCATTATTTTAGCATTTTGGTGCATTTTCTTTAAAAATTAAAAATTCTGCCTAAATTCCACAGTATAGCGCCACCTTCAGCTTAAAACATAGAGTTTGAGTCATTTTGAATACACTTTAGCCAATGGCTAAAGAGAAAGATACTACGTAAACCAGTAGAGTACTACATAGCAGCTCTGTGTCAAAGTTATAAAAGCATCGAGAGTCTCGGCCACGCCTTGTGGCGAGTTGGGAGTTGGATTTGCAAGCGAGTGTAGGATGGTTAGCGGTAGTTCAGCATTAGTATATAGCATTAGCATATCCTAATCTTTAGCATAGCTTTTAGTGTACATACTTATTTAGTGTTAGCTTGGCTGTTGGATATTGTCGTTTAGTTAGTGTTTAGCTGTTAGTGTTATTAGGAAGAATGTATAAGAATGTATAAGAAGTTCGGGTTTAGTGTTCCATATGGTGTTAGTATGGTGAGAAGGTGTAGTGTAGTGGGTTCAGTGGCTCTGTGGGGTTGCACTCCTTTCCGCTGGACTTAGAAATTAGGCGCCAGTGATTGCGCGCAATCAGTGTACTGGAAAACAGTCAGCTCCTGCCAGGTGCTGTAGTTTGCAACCTGCATTTTACCCGCGATTCCTTCGCCAACATGATGGAGTTTGAACTGGGTTATTCTGCACGTCTCCGTTTGAAGAGGGAGGCCGTGCTCACCGTGGTTCTTCCGCGATTTAGAGGCAGCCTACCGACTCTGCTCCCCCACCATGATGGGCTCCAGTCTGAGGTGAGTAAGCTAAATAAAAGTTTTAACATCTTCTAAAGACAATTCCCTACCTAAATGCAAAGTTTGAGAGACATGGTTCACTTCTGCACTGCCTTCGGGCTAATTTATCAAGTTCACAAAATGTGGAACGGGATGTAAGGTTAGAATCAGAATCGGAACATATCTCGAAGCCCTAGCCGACGAAACGGTCCACATGACTATTACTGTCAGGCTCGGAGAAAATTTGGGTTGTTTTTGTGTCAGTCGGTAATAATGCAACAGTGGCTCTAACTAATGCAGCACTAGCTGACAGACAGCATTACAGCGTGAAATCCAGCACAGCGTGACCCGGTTCTGTAAGGAATTCTGTTCAGGAGGTCGCATTTCAGGCTCTCTTCACATCATATGTGACTGACTTTTACGTTATAATCTATATAATATATAGGACAGTTTCTTTTGTATATTATCTATGACTTTATAAACTCCAACAACAATGTGCTTCTATTTTTTTTTTCAGGCTAAATCTACCCAAGACATTGGCTGTCAGACTGATTTAGTAGTCTGCAAGAATGCAATTGTCCAGGCTGACGTGAAGCCTTACCGGCGTAGCAAAGGTGAATTACCGTAAATCCTCTAATATTAGCCTGTATTTAATTAACTGCCAGGTATCATATTTTGGCCGGTGTCGGAGTCGGCGGGCCGGTATTGTATTGTGGCCGGGTGGAATGTGGTAACAAGCAAGTACGGGGGCAGTTGTGTCATCCGTCTCACTTTTGATTTGCCAGTGATAGACCGCGAGGGTAACTTTAACCATGCGGAGACGAAGAGGAGGCAAAAATTTGATATCAAGTTCAAAGAGAACGTGCTGATTATGCTGCAGAATGGGGAGCAATAGGGGTTGTATGAACTAGTCGACTTCACTATAGTGACTTTTTATGCCTGTCATTGACTAGTCGCTGTCACGTGATAATGACCGGCAAGATGCAGTCCACGGAAAAGACAGCAGCCTGCTGTCAGCAGGTGACAAGCTCCTGCGTATCGGGAGGCAACGCGCTGTGCCAGAGCGTCGGTACTGACACCCGCCGTAAAACGGACATTTAACCAAATTTTGACGTTTACCCTCTTGCAATTTAACCTTCCCTTCACCCCCATCCTAACCTTAACCAGCGTGCACATGCAAAGCTCTGATTGTTGACGCGCTCCAGACATCTGCGTCCTGAGCACGGCCACAGTAACATTATCAAATCAGGTGTCGCCCCCTCAAAAACTAATTTAACACACGATTGTTCATGTCGGCTCATTTTCTTTTATGTTTTCTGTCCTTTATTCTTTTATTTGTGCCTGATGCGTTTCGCTGCCGTGGAGCGGGGCGCATCACCTGTTTTGCCCTCGGTGACGCACCTACCTGATGTGGCCGCCAAGCAGCGAGCACTCCGCTGTTTTTGCGGTCGGTTGATCTTTTTGCAGTTCAAAGGTAACTCATAAGGTGAATATATATGAACCCAGGTAGCAGTTTTTCTTTAGGATTGAGAGGAGATGCAGGAAGATAATAAACAGGCAGGACAGAAAAATTGTCAAATAAAAACAAGTTAGTTTTTGTACCTGGTGGTTGCAACAAACATACACCATTGAAGGTAATCAGAAGTGAGGAACAGAAAATGAAATAATTATTTTAATGTTTAGAGCAGCAGGAACTCCAAGAGGCTGCAGGCGCATCAGTGAGTTTGCAGCCGCTGTGCAGGGGGAGGGGGGAGATGGCTGAAGCAGAAACTACCGTTGTTAAAAGAAATGTGTTTAACTTTGAAAATATGGGCGCAATTTTAATTGTCAAAAACTCCAGCGAACCATTAGTTCATTTTGCTCAAATAGAAATTGAGGCCTGTGAAACTCCAACGTGTTTCTAATATAAACATTCAGGGAAAACAGTGACCTCTGGCGGCCATTCAGTGCATCAATTACTTACTCTATCTCGTGGCCAGTGCTAGAAGTGCATCCAGAGTGCAGCGCTTTTCATCCGGATAAAGCATGGAGAAGTTCACCCGGAGCTTCCTGTAACACTAATCCACTTGTTGAGAAGGAGGGGGATCGCGCAGCCCAGCTTTTACTTTCTAATAACTGCATTCTAACAGTATAATGGATTGAAAGCAGACCGAGTCTCCACCATGTTCGGGCTGAGAGAAGCAGGAGTTATCGGTGCCTCCGTGGCTCTTGCCGGAGGAATAGCTTACGTTATCTGGAACCGTGTTTCCTCCCCCCAGCAGAAGAAGCTCGACAGTCGGCCTGAGAAAGGTGGTAAAAACAGCGACAAGGAGGAGGAAGAGGAGGAGACCGAGGCCGTTGTTTCTGCTAAAGTCCAGAAAACATATACGGTAAAGTTAATTGTTCTGTAAACAATGTTTTTGTGGTGTTTGAGAATTTAGGGCGAACTCTTAGTTGTGTGTTGGTCTATTCAGGTCATGTTTGAACTCTTTAATGTCTAACTTTGGCTAAATAAGGTGTGTTTGAATTACCATAACACAAAACACGTTTAGACGGTTTAGACATGTTCTCTAACTGCTAACGTGAAATGCATGTTGGGAAATGTAGGCCGTTAACTTGTGATCTGCTCACCCTTCTCACCAAACACTAAGGTTAAAGTTCCATAGTTGTCACACACACTTGTGTGTGGGGAGTGGTGAGCTGCAGCTGTGGCTGCGCTCGGGAACTACATGGAGGTGATGGTCAGCTACTTTGTAGCCACATCTGCCCTGGGGCGGTCTGACAGAGGCGAGGCTGCCATTTGGCGCCGTCGGCCCCTCTGACTACCACCAACACAGGCAAGTTGGGTGAAGTGTCTTGCCCAAGGACACACCAGCAGAATACCCCTGGCGGGAGCTGGAATTGTTCCCATGACCCTCCAAACATGAGGCAACCCGCTCTACCTCCTGGGCTACTGCTGCCCCTTCTACTGATAAGAGGAGAATTCAGTTAAATTCAAGTGTATTTATATAGCGCCAAATCACGACAAGAGCCATCTCAAGGCACATCACACAGTAAACATTCCAATACAGGTCAATTCATTAAGCCAATCAAAAAAAAAGTTTCCTATAAAAGGAACCCAGCAAATTGCATCGAGTCACTGACTAGTGTCAGTGACTTTACAGTAATCCTTATACTATGCAAGCATGCAGCCACAGTGGAGAGGAAAACTCCCTTTTAACAGGAAGAAACCTCCAGAGAATCCTGGCTCAGTATAAGCAGCCATCCTCCACGACTCACTGGGGATCGAGAAGACAGAGCAGACACACACGCACGCACGCACACACACACACACACACACACACACACACACACACACATACCAAGTAATGTTTCTGTGATTACTTTGTGATTTCCTAGTAAATATACTGTTTGGTGAGAGTTCAAATTTATTGTATTGATCCTAGTGAATCTATAATTAAATGGGTAAACTAGTAGTAGCACACTGAATGTCAAGGAACGTAAAGTGTTATTATCAGGAGAGGGAGAATGATTAAATGGTTAGCAACAGTGTTCAAGATGATGGCCCCCTCCATGAGACTACTACAGCTCAGCAGAACACCATTGTAGCTTCCTCTGGGGAGAAAAACACTGAGAGGAAAAAATAAAGTTAACAGCTGAAATTGCAGGAAATAATACAGTTAAAGAGCAGGTTGTAGAAGAAAGTAGTAGAGTGTGAAAAGTGGTCATTGTGCCCTCCAGCAGTCTAAGCCTATGGCAGTATAACTACAGAGATAACTCTGGATAACCTAGCCTTTAAGATGGAGGCGGGGCAAGGGAGAGCCGTCTTTACCGACTACACTCCACCTCCCTGTACTCCCCCACTTATCCAGATCTAGGCTAACATCAGATTTTAACCATAGGCCCTATTAAATAAAAATGTTTTAAGCCTAGTCTTAAAAGTAAATGATAAATGAGCCGCACTTGTATAGCGCCTCTCAGAGTAAGGACTCCAAAGCGCTTTACACTACAGTGTATCATTCATCCATTCACACACTCATTCGCACACTGATGGTGATGAGCTACGATGTAGCCACAGCTGCCCTGGGGCGCACTGACAGAGGCGAGGCTGCCGAGCACAGGCGCCACCGGTCCCTCCGACCACCACCAGCAGGCAAGGTGGGTTAAGTGTCTTGCCCAAGGACACAACAGCAGAATTCTCTGGGATCGAACCTGCAACCTTCCGATTACTGGACAACCCGCTCAACCTGTTGAGCTACTGCTGCCCCTAAGACAAGGTGTTTGCCTCACGGACTAAAGCTGGGAGTTGGTTCCACAAGAGAGGAGCCTGATAACTAAAAGATCTGCCTCCCATCCTATTTTTAGATATTCTGGGAACCACCAGTAGACCTGCAGTCTGAGAGCGAAGTGCTCGGTTAGGAAGATATTGAACAATGAGGTCACTGATGTATGATAGAGCTTGATTGTTAAGAGCTTTTTATGTGAGAAGAAGGATCTTAAAATCTATTCTGAATTTAACAGGTAGCCAATGTAGGGAAGCTAAGACAGGAGAGATATGATCTCTCTTTTTAATTCTCATCAGAACTCTAGCTGCAGCATTTTGGACAAGCTGAAGACTTTTAACTACATTCTGTGGACTTCCTGAGAGTAATGAATTACAGTAATCCAGTCTTGATGTAATAAATGCATGAACTTGTTTTTCAGCATCACTCCTGGAAAGGATGCATCTAATCTTAGCAATATTCCAAAGGTGGAAAAAGCAAATCCTACAAACCTGTTTAACGTGGGATTTGAATGACATGTCCTGGTCAAAGATAACACCAAGGTACCTTACTTTGTTCTCTGAGACTAATTTAATGTCATTCAGGTAAGGTGATTGACTAAGCAATTTCCATTTCTGAATTTCAGGTCCAAAGATGAGAACTTAAGTCTTGTCTTGATTTAAAAGCATAAAGTTTTGTGTCATCAATTTGTCTTCAAAACAAGCCTGTAATCTTAACTAACCGATTAGGTTCATCAGGGTTAATGGATAGATATAACTGAGTATCGTCAGCATAACAGTGGAAGTTTATCCCATGCTGTCTAATGATTTTACCAATTGGGAGCATATATATAGTAAAAAGAATTGTTCCAAGCACTGAACCCTGTGGTACTCCGCAAGTAACCCTGGAGTATGAAGACAGTTTGTCATGTACATTTATAAAATGATATCTATCAGACAGGTAGGATTTAAACCAGCCTAGCGCTGTTGCTTTGATCCCTACAACATGTTCAAGCATTTCTAAAAGAAAGAAGCCAAGGGAACCAACTTCCTGTCCCTAATTACCTTCTCTTTTAAAGGGGCAACATCATCTAATGCCACACGTAAAGAGGAAGTAACGTAATGAACTAAAGCATCAATTTGTGAAGGGCTAGAAATAAAAATTTTGCCCTCTGCTACATGCCTCTGAGATCCTGACGATAGTAAAGATGGAACAGTTGATTTAAAAGATGCAACTGCGTTGTCAGATAGAGACCGACTATAGTGAAATTTACTTTCATGTCTCGAGAACTCAGTTATAAAAAACTCAAAGTTTATCAAAAAGTGGTCAGAGAGGACTGGATTATGTGGAAATATTGTTATTTCCTCACACTCTATGCCATAAGTCAGCACAAGTTCTAATGTATGATGGCAGGAGTGGGTGGAGCTATGTATTTGGGTAAAACCAGTTGAGTCTAAGATATTACTAAAGGCTACATTGAGGCTATCATTTTCAATGTCCACATGAATGTTAAAATCCCCCACTACAATGACCTTATCAGTATTTAGCACCAAATCAGATAAAAAAATCAGAGATCTGATCCAAAACTCAGAGAAAGACAAACAAGAGTGGTTTTACAGTTTTGCAATCTGGATTAGGAAAACTAAGAATAAGATGTTCAAAAGAATTGTAACTATTAATTGGTAAGGGATTGATTAATAGGTCTGAATGAAAAATGGTTGCTACTCCTTCTCGCCCTGTACTTCAAGCAATATGATGATTTAAATAATTTGAAGGTTTCGACTCATTTAAGCTAACATAGTCCTCTTGCTGCAGCCAGGATTCTGAGAGAGAGAGAGCAAAGAGATCTGATTATCACAAATCAAGTCATTAACTAACAAAGTCTTAGAAAAAATAGACCTTATGTTCAAGAACCCACATTTAATTTTTCTAATTTTCTGCTCAGTTGAATTTGTTCTAATATTTATGAGATTTCCATGATTTGCTTTATTAAGCCTGATATTTAATCTGTGTGATTTTGACCGTGGGCAGGACACTGTCTCTATGGGATAGTGGGTGGATAACAGTACAGAAGCTGCAGAGGGGTGTGTTAAACTATGACTCTGCTTCCTGGTCTGGACCCTGGGTTGTCATGGAGGACTAATAAAACTGGTCATGTTCCTAGAAAGAAGAGCTGCACCATCCAAAGAGGGATGGATGCTGTCTCTCCGCATCAGACCAGGTTTTCCCCAAAAAGTTTTCCAATTATCAATGTAGCCCACGTTGTTTTCAGGACACCACCTAGACAGCCAGCGGTTGAAGGACAGCATTCGGCTAAACATGTCACTGGTCCGATCAGGCAGGGGGCCAGAAAAAATTACGGAGTCCGACATTGTTTTGGCAAGCTTACACACCGAAGCAACATTAATTTTAGTGACCTCCGATTGGTGTAACCGGGTGTCGTTACCGCCAGCAGGAATAACAATCTTACTGTATTTACGCTTATCCTTAGCCAGCAGTTTCAGGTTAGATTTAATGTTGCCCGCTCTGGCCCCAGGTAAACATTTAACTATGGTTGCTGGAGTCTCTAATGCCACGTTTCTGACTATGGAGCTGCCAATGATCAGAGTCGGCTTGTCAGTGGGTGCGTCACTGAGCGGGTAAAATCTGTTAGAAACGATATCGATATTACTTGCGATGAATGAACAAATACTAAAGTATGCAGTGTTGATGTCGTCTGGCGTGTGATGTCTGCTCTGGGTTCAAAGCAAACAAAAACTAATGCATGAATTCCATTACAACATAACATTTTTATTGCAAAAATATGCAGCTGCACCTGCTACTGTATTAGCAGCAAAACAACAAACTGCATGCATGCAGTTTCTCAGTGACTTTAAAACATCACCTCCACCATAAAACTTTTTCTGATGCTCCAAATGCAGAAAAACATCCCTTACCAGGTTTTTTTGAATAAAAAAATAAAAAAATCTGAAAATAAGTTTAAATGTTAAATAATAGTTAACATCACTTAAATGCAACAGCAAATTCTCTCATTGCTACTGAACATTTTCTCCACTTATGTGGTTATGATATAAGGCTGTTGCTGTAATTGGAAAGTGAACTGTGCTGGGCCAAACTAGGAGAATATTAAGATTTTTTTTGAGGGAAAGAGAAAAACAATTGTCTACCTTTCAGAAGAGGAACTGGCAAAAAAAACTACATGGAAAATATGTGAAAACGTTTGCTTTTAACCCCAAATTGAACAAGTTTACCTAGATCTTAAAAAGCAGCTCAGATGATGAAACTGCAACTATGATTCTGATAACAAGCTAACAAATTGAACTAGCTCCTCTAAGACAACCGGCTAGCAGAGCTTCTGACTGACAGTTTATGTGCAGCAGCAAATCAACTATCCTGATTAACAAGTTTATAAAAGCTCATAAATGAAAAATCACTTTGATGTGTGGGGGAACTTTTCCAGGCCCTCTTTAGTAGGGTGGGACTGGGAGGAGAGTGCTGTAGCCTTTTAGCTGGAAGCTAACCGGAGCCTGGGGCTAACATCACCACCCGGTGGAACACTAGCGACATGAAGGTGGGTTGGTTCACTGGCACGTGTCAGAGTCAGCCCGGTAAAAATGATTAACGACACCGAGCGGACTCACGTTCACGTTTGAAAGCAGCGCTGAATCCAGAAACCTCAGCACAAAGTGCGTTCGTTGCTCTGAGCCAGCATGACGAACAAGGGAACGGCGCCGCTAACTCAGTTCGGGTGTTGCTTTCCATCCTAAGGGTCTACGTAGGGGGCGGGCGTATTACGTGAATGGATCCATCTGATTGGCCGCATATCAGAAAGGCTACATTTGATTGGTCAAATAATACTTCCGCGTAAAAAACAGAGCTGGTTTACAAAAAGTTGATGTATGACACGGATGGAAATGTTGAACCAAACATTTATCGCCGTTTTTGACGTGCTTTGCGATGGGCCTATCGCACGTCCTGTTATCCCGATGACGATAATTTTTCGATATATTGTGCAGCCCTAGTCATGACCATATGTGAGGGTTGGGATGTAGATCGACCTGTAAATCAAGAGCCTTGCCTTGTGGCTCAGCTCCTTCACCATGACAGACTGGTTCAGCGGCCGCATCGCTGCAGAGGCTGCCCCAACTCACCTGTCCATTTCCCACTCCCCTCTTCCCTCCCTCATGAAAAATACTTGAATTCCACCACTTGAGGCAGGACTTCTCTCCCGGCCCGGAGTTGGCAAGCTGCCCTTTCCGGTCAAGAACCATAAAAGGGTGGCTTGTCAACTCCGGACCGGTAGAGAGGTCCTAAATAAAAGAAGTTAGAGAGCTAAGTACTATCGTCATCATCCAATTGGCTGGACTTTTTAGGGCCTAATCTGATGTGGTCTTTGTTTCAGTCTCATCCAGTGAAGTCAGAGGGCACTCAGATTCTGGTTCTGGGTCTAGATGGTGCTGGGAAGACGAGCCTGCTCCACTGTTTCTCCAGCGGTGTTCTGGAGCAGGACGTGGAGCCAACTCATGGCTCTAATGCCGTCTCGGTTAGCAGAGACGACCTGCACATCGAGTTTTTAGAAAGTAAGCCTCAACTTGTTCTCATTAATGTGAGAGATTCAGGACAACCCACAGGAACAGAGAAATGTGCTCGTATATGTTCTTTACAAATTCTATTATATTTTAAGGATATTGTTTTCATCAGACTTACCTTTATGTTTGCATGAATAATAACTGAAACTTGCTGTCTGAGTTTGGTTTCTCCCTTTAATCTCTAACAAAGTGGCGCCATATCTGATGTTTAAGATGCATTTGTATCTTTTTCAGTTGGAGGTAAGGAGGATCTGCGGCCGCACTGGCAGAGGTACACGTCCAAAGCTCTGCTGCTGGTGTTTGTGGTTGACTCGTCCAACTCACAATTATTTCCAGTTGCAAAGAAACATTTACATGAGCTGCTGGCCCCCTGCCCCAGCCTACCTGTGATGGTACTGGCCAACAAACAGGTGAGGGTGATGCAAGTATTAACAAAAGTACTGAGAGGAGGAATGTCTAACGGTCAACTGTAATGAAAAAGTTTTTTACATTTGTTTTTTGGTGAATTAAGTTCTAAAAGTAGCTTTTTCTTTTAGGAATCAAGCATCACAAATTAACTCAATTTTCACCAATACATCTGTTGGTTTATTTTATTAGTCATGAATGTCATCTGGTTTCAGGATCTTCCAGGTTCCTGCAGCATCACAGACCTCCATGAAGCTCTGTCCCTGTCTGAGGTCGGCGACCGCCAGATGTTCCTCATCGGTACCTACGTGAGGAGAGGTGAGGCAGACCTGAGCTCAGGTGTCCAGGATGCTCGCGACCTCATTATCTCCATGGTTTGTGATGGCAAATGAGATAAATGTGCAGTTTTGTCCAGATTCATAAACTCTTGCCTGAAACTACTTTATTTGTTACAGTTGGAAAAACTTGATTTTTAAAATTTTATTTGCCTTTTTCCCCAAAACTCAGTTTTATCACTGAGTGTGATAGATTGGACTAAACATTTGTATTTTCAAGCTTTAAAAATAAGAGTCATTCTCCAAAAGACATCTTTGCATGTTTTGACTTAGCAAACTTTTAGGAAATCAATTTAAAAGTAAAACACAAAATAAAAGTATCAGTTTATTTTGGTGAACAATCAGGCTGTTTGGTTTAATATTCAGTTAGATCTGTTTGCCACAAGGAGCCACTAAAGAGCTAACATCTGTTAAAGCTGCTGCACTGGTTACATAAACATTTCTAATGTCAAAGCAATCAACTGTTTTTTGTCTATAGTTACTTTTCTGAACACTAATCCTGCACAAGTGCTGCTCTTCGCTCTCTGTAGTTTCTTTTGTCTTTACAGATAATTTGTTTTATTTTTTTTTATCTCAATACTGTTTGGGGTTTGTTTGCTATTAAAATCAATAAAACATTTTCTTGTCTTTTTTTGGATGTCTAGGAATAAAATATTCACTATTTACACTAATGAGGAATAATAGTGTAAGGGCACACTTAAAAATCTAAACCAAATACATAACCACATATCTTGTTTGATACTAGACATTTGCACTTGCAAATAAACGTGTGTGTGTGTGTGCACATGCACACTTAATGTTCACAAACATTGCTTTAATTGTCTCATAAGAACTTAAAGTGGACAGTGCTGTGAAAAAGTACGAATTTCTTCCGTTTCACACAAAAGTCAGCGTGAACAGATGCTTTTTTAAACAGACCACTGAGTCCACTAATCTCGGGGGCCATGACTGTTGTATAAAGTGCTTTGGAGTCCTCTTGACTAAAAAAGGCGAGGTAAGTGCAGGTCACTTACATTAAAGTTAATTTTAGTGCATACAAAATACAGTTTTCTAATGTCACGTATTCAGACAAAGTTATCTGAACCAACCTGGATAAACACTGTTTTTCCATGTTTGGAGGAGATATAATGCCAGTAGATAACCCATTTGGTACTTTAAAAGTGGAGTTTACTGAAAAAACATTTTTTGATGATTATTTCTGATCATAATCATTCATTCTGAGTTTTTCATGCAGGCTGAACATGAAATAGTCTCCTACACCTATCTCCTGCATTAGCCTCTGATAGAAAATAGATGGTGAAACAAGGAATTGAAGATCCTGACCAGTCTAAGTCACTCTCACCAACATTCATGGACTCACCCATCTTGACTCACAATGGGGACGGCTGTTGTTGATTTAGCATCCAGAAAGCAGCAGAAAATGCCTCGGCTAATAGAAGCCAACCGTTAGCATTAGCAACTACACTTCAGGTGTGTGTTATTTGTAGAGATGAATCTTAATGTTACAGAACAAACAGCTATAGAGTCACACTGCTGCAATTTTATTCAGTTTTAGCCCTTTTTAACTGACTTTGTTATTTGATTCCATGCTGTCGTTCTTTTTAATACACAGAAACCGTTTTCGTTACCTGTTTTCCCGCTACGTTTCATCTGCGGCTGCAGGCTTCCTCAGGCTGATGCTGATGGTGGCGTCACTTCCTTCTCCGTTTATCCGCGGGCAGCAGAGGACGTTGTCACCCTCTGCTGCCCGCTTTCCCCTCTCCGATGATGCAGTCCCATGCGCGGTCCAACGTGTAAACTCCATCGCCTCTGTTCATGGTCCCACATCCACGTCTCCTTCTCTCGATAGCTTCTTTAATCCATCTGTTGTATTTCTGTTGCTCGGTGTTTATGATCCTTGTGTTGTCCTAGTCCATTATATGGTTTTCTCTTGTGCAGTGATCTGTTACAGCTGACTTCTTTATTGTACTTTCTGCTTCTTCTTTTGCTGCTCTCGTGTGTTTTCTGCTTGTTTCTTTCTCACACTCCTTTCTATGTTCTATTGTTCGTGTGTTGAGTTGGCGTCCGGTTTCTCCTATGTATGTTTTATTGCAGAGTTTGCATGGGATTTCGTAAATGACTCCACATTTAAGTCCAGCTGGTATCTTGTCTTTTGGGTGCACTAGTCTGTTTCTAACGGTTGTGTATGGTTTTGTTGGTGTGTTTATGTTGTGTTTTTTCATTGTTGCTCTTATTTTTTCTGTTATGCCTTTGATGTATGGTAGGGTTATCACTGGCTTTGGTTCTTGTCTTTCTGGGTTTCTGGTTCTTTGCTTTGGTTGTTCTTTTCTTTCTGTTGTTGTTTGTTGTTTTCCTTTGCTTATCGCCCATGTCGACTATCCGCAGGTCTTTAAAGCATGTTGTATGTGTTTGTCCTCTTGTTTACGGTCTCTCTCTTCTGTTATCATGTTTGCTCGGTGATATAATGTTCTGATTACTGACATTTTGTGTATGGTGGGGTGTTCTGATGTCCATAATAGATATTGGTCTGTGTGTGTTGGTTTCCTGTATGTGTTTATGTTTAGGGTCCCGTCGGTCTGCCTGGTGATTTTCATGTCCATAAATGCTTTGCTGCCTTCTGTTTCTGACTCATAAGTGAATTTTATGCTGCCTGTGTCGTCAATGTTATTTAAGTGTTGTGTTAGTGTTTCTGTTTGTCCTTTTGGTATGATTTCCAGTATGTCGTCTATGTAGCGTTTCCATAGTTTTATTTTGCAGTTTGGGGGGGCGGTGGCTATGGCTTTTTGTTCTAGGTCTTCCATGAAAAATTCGCACAGGGTGGCTGATAACGGGTTACCCATGGCGAAGCCTTCCAGTTGTTTGTATGTTGTGTTATCGTATGTGAAGTAAGTGGCGTTAGCTACCAGTCCTATCAGTTGTGCTATGTCATCTGCTGTGAGGTTTGTTCTTTTGTGTAAAGTCTTGTCCTGTCTGATTCTGTTAACTACTATGTCTATGGTTTTTTGGGTTGGTGTCTTTGTGAACAGGGATGTGATGTCATGTGACATGAGTATGTCGTTATCTTCTGTTGTAATCTTTTTTAGTTCTTTTGCCAGTTCTATGCTGTTTTTGCAGTGTTGATCTGTGTTTCCTAATAACGGGCAGATGATTTTGCTAATATCTTTTGCCATGTTGTATGTTGGTGTACCTATGCTGTCTACTATTGTTCTAAGTGGAGTGTTTTGTTCGTGTATTTTTGGCTTTCCATATATTCTTGGTGTTATGTTTGCAGTAGGAATCCAGTGTTTGTACGTTTTTTCTGTTATTTTGCCTTTGTCTTGTAGTGGCTTCAGTAATTGTTTTATGTTTTTCTTAATGTTTTCTTTTGGGTCTTTTTGAAGTATTTTGTATGTATTTTTGTCCTCTAACATCTGTTTCACCTGTTGTTTATATTTTTCTTTGTCCACTACTACTGTGGTTCTTCCTTTATCTGCCGGTAGAATAATTATCTGTTCATTTTTGGATAAAGCTGTCATGGCTGATTGGTCTTCTTTTGTAATATTGCTGTGTTGAATTTAGCTGTTCCTTAATATCCCAACAACATTATTTCTAAGTTTTGCTTTCTTTCCCTCATCTGTGATCTGTTGACATGCTAGTTCTGTTGCTATGATAAATTCATCATATGGTATTTCTTTTGGTGTGACTGCAAAGTTTAAACCTTTCTTTAATATGCTCTCTTCTGCTTCTGTTAGTTCGTATTGTGAAATGTTACATACCCATGAGTTTGGTGTGGAGTTGCCTTGTATTTCCTCCTTCTTTTTCTTGTTTATGAGTTTGTTTAACTTCTTTATGTCTTTCTTTTACTTTTGTGAACTCTTTTTCCTGTTTTTCTATCATGTGTCCTTTAATTAGTTCCTCCATTTTTTTCATCAAGTTTGTAATTCCTTTTTAAGTCCAGGTCTCTTCTTTCCAGTTCGTCTTCTACTTGCTTCTGTTTGGTTATGACGTTTCTTATCCTCTCCTTGAGCCATGCTCTTTGTGCTCTTTCTATTATATTTTGTGCTGTCTTGGTCCAGATCGGTGTTTTCAGCTGTAAGCTTGTGGGTGTGATGTTTTCGTCCCGGCATCTTAAACAGAAGCGAAGGTGGTTTCTTAGACGTGCGCGTTTCTGGTGTAATCGCTCCAAACGGTGGAAGTCCTTCGTTCCTTGTTGTCCGTATTTCTCTTTGAACATCTTAGGTGTGTTCATGCTGTGTTGTGGTTCTAATTCCATGCTGTCGTTCTTTTTAAAACACAGAAACAGTTTTGTTACCTGTTTTGTCGCTACGTTTCGTCTGCGGCTGCAGACTTCCTCAGGCTGACGCTGACGGATAAACGGAGAAGGAAGTGACGCCACCATCAGCGTCAGCCTGAGGAAGTCTGCAGCCACAGACGAAACGTAGCGACAAAACAGGTAACAAAACTGTTTCTGTGTTTTAAAAAGAACAACAGCATGGAATTAGAACCACGACACAGCATGAACACACCTAAATTGTTATTTGATTGTTCTTTTATATTTTTATGCTATGTTATGTTCAGTGCCCTGGGCTCCTGCAAAAGCAGTGGAAGGCATTGTATAAATAAAATTTGATTGGTTTAAGTAGTCCAGGTCCTGAAGTAGGCCCAGACCAGCACACTACCTCCACCAGGGGCGGCGTTAGGCCCGGCTACTTGGGCTGAAGCCCCGGATCTTTCATGATAAGCCCCGGATCTAAATCGCGGAAGTAACATGCAGTACCAAAGTCACACAGAGAGGGCGCAGCTGGCAGTAGTTTGTAAAGTCCCATTTAGTCGTCACACACACAGGTGTGTGGTGAAATTTATTCTCCGATTTTGACCCATCCCCTGAGTTGCAGACACGCCGCGCTCGGGAACTATTTGGTGGTTTAATCCCCCAATCCAACCCCAATCCAATGCTGAGTGTCAAGCAGGGAGGCATTGGGTCCCATTTTTCTCAAAATCTTTGGTATGACCCGACCAGGAGTCGAACCCCTGATCTCCCGATCTCAGGGCAGACACTCTACCACTAGGCTACTTAGTCAGTATACAGTTTACCTTAGACTGAAGAGAAGCCCTTCAGCAGCTGGCTTCTGCAGTCTCTGTCTGAAACGCATGAGTGAAGATGGATATAAGGACGTTTTTTTAGACCAAAAGTACAACGACAGAACCCCAGCTCTGATGAGACTGGTGTTGACTCAGGTTTGTGAGTCTTATTTGAAAATATTTGTTGTACTGCTGGTTTGCCTAAAGTTAGCTTACTATCAGGTAAAGTTGTTGGAGAAAGAAAGGGAATATTCACTATCATCTCACACTAAACACTAACAGGAACAATACTCTGCCCTGAATATGCTGAATATGTAGCTTCAGATTAAACATTATGTGGTACAAGACAAATATATATGATGTTGACTAGTGCGTGTCACGTGTGTGCACGCATGCGTGTGTGTGCGCGCGCGTGTGTGTGCGCGCGCGTGTGTGTTAAGCCCCGGATCTTCTTCAGTCCTAAATCCGCCCCTGACCTCCACCATGTTTAACTGATTGTATGATATTTTCTGAAAGGTGTTTTACACCAGATGGAATGGGACACACTACCTTCAGAAAGTTCAATTTTTGTCAGTTCACTCAATATTTTCCCCAAATTCAACATCCATCCATCTTTTATACCCCTTTTTTCATGCAAGGTCACAGGGGGCTGGTGCCTATCTCCATCGGTCTCTATGCAAACAGTCAGAGTACACCCTGTACATGTTTCCAGTCCACCACAGGGTAACAGAGACACAAGACAAACAGCAAGGCGTGCACACTCACACCTGAAGATAATTTAGAGAGGCCAATCAACCTGACAGTCACATTTTTGGACTGTGGGAAGAAGCCGGGTTACCCAGAGAGACCCCAGACCAGGATTCAAACCTAGGACCTTCTTGCTGCAAGGCTACGGTGCTTTGCACTGTGTAGTCCCTCTTGGAGAACATTCATTGTTTTTTGTGCCTCTGACCTTAACTAAGTGAGACTTGTTAAGATGTTCTACCAGTTCTTCTTTGGAACAGAGCCTGATGTGTTGCTTTCAAACCCTCAAGGACCTGTGGTGACACTGGTGTCACAACCCATTTCAAACATCTGCAAAATTGCTTCTTGAGTCAAATATTCAAGTTTGAAAACCCAAAGTGGCATTCTATCCATACATTTATGGAAATTTATTTTACTTCTTTATTTCATTTAATTTTTTTCTACATTTCGATGTATTTATTCCTATCTTTGAAATTTCTAATTCAAATGGGTTTGTGCTCTAAAGGGTTAAAGTTGTTAAGCCAACTTCATGACATTTTCTACTGAAGTGATTCCTTATTGCTATCGCTCTGGTAGTAATCAGGCCTGGGTGTGGCTGGTAGAACTGAACCCAGCTTTACCAGTCATGTGGTTAACCACAGCTGATTCATGACTTACCACAAGGGGTAATTACTTTATCACACAGGGCCAGATTGGTTTGGATAGCTTAGTTCCCTTATTAATTTATCATCTGAGAATTGGATTTTGTATTTACTGATTATTTTTATCTGATGTTAAACATTTTTGACTAGTCTGAAACATTTAATTCTGACATAAAAGCAAAAACTATACATTTATCATCTCGCCATTTAAGTCTAAACATGGTTTCTTGTAGAAATGTTCCTTTGGTTGGATTGTAGAAGTAACAGAAGAAGCACCTTCTAAGCTGATCCACGTATCACTTTCAGCATCCTTAAGTTTGTCAGATAGAGGTTTTGACTGAGCTGACTCCAGTTTCAAGGAGTCCCCTGGTGTGGGGCTGGTTGCTAAGGACTCAGTGCTCCCTAGCAACACCAGGACATTACTGTGATAGGATGACTGGGCATTAGACTGGAACATTCAGCCAGGAAGGTGAGATGGTGTCTGGAAAACAAGGTAAACTTTTTCTTTAATTCTTTTGAATTTTTTACCAAAATGTTTCTGAACTTGTTTTTTGTTGATTTTTATTTTTATTTTTTATTTTTTAGAAATTCATCCGAGATTCGGTCCTTCGAAAAGGTGCTGTTATTTTATTTTTATTGAGATTTTCAGGCTTACTTTTTAAGATCATACCAGTACTATAAAGGTACTTTTTGTAATTGATTTTGATGTAGATTAACATTATCAAAATAAACATGAAATCCTATCAGTGTTTTCTGAGCAGCGTAGCTCAGAAACTATGCTGCTGTGTTTTTTGAAGCTGTTTTTGATGTTTCATGAATTTTGTGTGATTTTGCAGAATCTTGGAGCTGGCACAGCATAAAATCTCAAAAACAGTTTGGGAAACGACTCCTTGGTGGGTAGCTCAAATGTAAACTTTTTTAAAATGTTCTGATTTTTAAAAATCTGGTTAAAATCCTCAAATTGTGGGTTTTTAGCTCCAAGTTTCTAAAAATATTAGATGTTTGGTCATCCATCCAGCATGAAGCTGAGTCCCAAGACTACTGGAGCCAGTGTGGTTTAGCAGTTTCACCAAACTGTACAGAAACAAGAATGCATGTCTGGCTTCCTCTGAATGTGTATTTCAAAGAAAAAAACTCTAGGGTGAAATAAACAAAAATGCTTGTAAGACTGGTGTTATGTGATCCCTGCACCTCCTACCTGTCAGCAAGCGGGCTGCCGCATTCTGAGTCACCTGCAAGCGGTGAATTGACGACTGCTCCAGTCCTTGCAGTAGTTGAGTCTCGACATGATTAGCAAGTGTATAACCTTTTCAAAGTTGCTGAGTGGTAAATAGGGCTTGACTTTACTAAGAACACGCAAATGCAAGAACACGCTCTGGACCACAGAACTTATCTGTTTATCAAGTTTAAAATGGCCTTCAATGAAAAAACCCAGATTTCTTGCCTGAGACACACAAAAGGATTCGAAAGGGCCAAATACACTGTTTACCCCGTGCAACAGCCCAGGGTCCCCGAAAACAACAATTTCCGTCTTTTTATCATTTAAAGTGAGAAGGTTCAATTGTAGCCAGTTTTTTAAACATATTTTAAACAACTCAGTAATTTGTCAGATGATGGCCTTTGAGAATGTAGTGGGACATATATCTGCACATTGTCCGCAAAGAAGTGATACGCGATGCCCAAGCCCCCACAATGCGGGTGAAAAATTGAAGCAATCCCGGAAGTGAAATAAATTGCAGTTCCACCCTCATCTGCTGGGGGCTGGTGTCAGAAGCGAGCAAATCCTCATTGACTCCCATGTTAAAAATACCAATTTCACAGCAGAAATAAACATGATTACAGCCTGGTACCAAAACATGTTTTTTGTTTAAATTATCTAGTTTACACTCATGACAACTCTGAGGGGGGTGAATTTTTTTCTCACTCTTCTGTTTAAGTGTATTAAAAGCCTAAAATTCTGTATAATTAATGAGCATCAGACCCACATGACCACAGAGCTAGCTCCGGGGAAAGGCCTCAGTCTGAACCTCGGCCTCGCCTGAAAACTGTTCGGTCATTTTCAGTCTCTCAACTTAGACCATTAGTTGTAGCGTTTGTGCATCCTTTTTTGGATATTATTTGTGCAATTGTTGGACAAAATGACTTGCTGTGGCATTAATTGCACTAATAGAGCGTCCAAGGAGTCTCTACTTCATTTTTTTTTCGGTAAGTAAAATTATATTTGTGTATTTTAGGTCACTGTCGAGCTGAGCTTAGATTTTTACATGTACTGTTTAACCATGAAATTTAAATGTAATAGGGTAAAACCCAGTGCATTTAACATAATGCTGCACTTTAGAAAATGGGTTGAAATATAACATGTTGGTGGAGCTGGGTTCCGACTATTGGCTTGTGGAGCTCTCGGGAGGCCGATGTTTTCCCACCCGTTCTCACCTCCCGCAGTTTGGCGCATCTCTGTCTGATCACGGCTTCTGTCTGCTGCGCGGGCTGCCAGCTTGTGGAGCTCTGGATGGAAACCTTTCCACCCGGTTCTCCCCTCCCCGCAGCTCGGCGCATCTCTGTGTGATTGCGGCTTCTGTCTGCTGTGCGGGCTGCCAGCTTATGGAGCTCTGGGATGGTAACCTTTCCACCCGGTTCTCCCCAGCGGCAGCTCTGCGCATCTCAGATCGCAGCAGCGCTTGTCTGCTGTGCGTCTGCCGGCTTGTGGAGGTCTCGGAGACCTCTGTGTTCCACCCGGTTTTACCCAGCGGTCAGCCCGGCGTGTCTCTGACTCAGAAGCTCTGGTGTTGTGCTCAGTTAACTCCGGTTGTAGCTAGGTTGCTACCTCCGTTAGCTTAGCTCCCACCTTTGGGTTAGCTTCAGGTTAGCTTGTAGCTAGTTCGACCGCGTGTCGTCAGTTGATCCCAGCCTTGCAGCCCCACCCTCAGCTCCACCTCTCTTCCCTTTTGTGGAATTGTCTGGGCTTGACAGAACTTGTGACATGGTCAAAATGGCGGTGGTGGCCTCCTCTCATTTTAGCTCAAAAACTTATTATTGGAAACCCATTGTCCAATATTTATATGTCTATGGTGATGCCATGTTTATGAAAGATTGCACCAAGAGGCAACATATACAGCGAGAACAAGAGCGGGCCCAAAACTGAACCTTGAGGGACACCACAACTAAGTTTTGCTGGAGACGAACAACACTGCCCCATATTTACTGTAAAAGTCCTGTCTGACAGGTAGGACTTAAACCACTGCAACACTGATGACTAATGGGACTTTAATTCCTGAAACCAAACTCTGACAGATGATGGATGGACATTTATTTTCAAGTTTGCAGTGATTATAAAGACATTACGGACCTTGATAGCAGTAAACAGATGCAAAAGGTGAGTTTGTGTACAAAGACCCATTTAAAATAATTTAAAATCTGTTTATTAACCAGTGAGTGGCTGATATGGGGCAACCAGGAGCCCATTCGGCCCATCTCCTCATCAGCTCTCAGAACCACTCCGAGTGCAAGAATCCAATACCTGTCCAGACACAAAAGAGACATCTCAGCAAGAGAGGACCACTGGAGGTGAGCGTGGCCCAGCTGCACCAGCAACATTATTGATGACTTTATCAAAAAGGCATGAGAGGAGTTTGAGCTTATGCTTTTAAAAGAGCACACTGAAGCATTTTGTTTTGTGATGCATCAACATGTTTGTGTTTGCAGAGCTCTTTGATACAAAGTCAATTTAAGACGCTGCAAAGTGAGGTACAGGACTGGTGCCAGGTGCATGATGGGAGGTGCTGTCCCCCTGAGAACCCTCAGTTATAGGTTGAGAAGAGAGGATTGTAGTTTTATATTGTTTCCTTCATCAGCTGGTAGAGCTACAGCACAGCAACATTCAGTGTAATAAAATCAAGCATACAGGAAGGATGCTGATAAAAAAGTCACAGATGAAGAAGACAACAGCAGCTAAAACATGCATGAATATTATTTACCCTCGGTAAGCTGCATTTATGTATGAAACATTTACTGGCATTCGTCATGGAAAATATACTAAAGTTATTTATTCTCAGTTATTTGGATTAGCAATAGAAAATCATTAAATCACATTTCATGAATCAGTGGAAGGGCTAAAGTGAGATCATTATCAAATTTGATGATTAGAAATGGAAATTATGTAAAAAGCCTTTGATAGAATAACCTTTTGGTAGAAAAATTTCAAAGTATTGACAAAAATTTGGATCTATTCTGATTTCAAATAGTTTAATGAAGATAAATAAAATGTATTTATTTTGTGTGCATCTGAAATTGATCATTTTCAATTTCGTAATACTTGACATTAAACAGATTTGAAATTTTAGACTGAATAAATCCAAATGTATGTAAAGTTCATGGTAATTAGAGTCTTAATTATAAGAATAACATAAACATCTGGATGATATTTCACTTGTCCGTAACATGAGGAAGTCTGAGTATAACTTTGTTTTCTTTAGTTCTTCGTTGTACACAGTGTGATGAGGGTTTGCTTTTATCTTTGCCGACATGTTTCAACCTCACTGCCGTCTTCGTCAGGGTAACCACCGGATGTTAGTGGCATCACTTCCTTTTATCTGCAGGCAGCAGAGGATGATATCGCCCTGTAACGATTAAATGTACATATTATTTAATGAACCATAAGACATGAGATTCCATAGAAAATATGAAATCAATCTTATGGATCTTTGGGTACTTTTAACCAGAAGATTGGAACTTTTTATTGCAGGGATTATGTAACCACTTCATATTAACTCAGAGACAAAAGAAAGAGGGTCAAGTTTTAAAAGTTTAAAGATTTATTACTAAACAAACTAAAACTAGACTAACTATAAACATTACATGTATGGTGTAACTAAGGTGAAGTGAAACGGAGAATGGTGTAGTGTGGAATGTTGTTCAGAACCAGCAAATCCAGAGAAACAATTAGTTCTATTGGGAGTGAAGGTGATGTCTTCGCGCTAAGCTTTGATTTGGAGGTTTATAACACACATTGAGACGCCATTCTGTCGGCCTACGTACCCTTTCGGAAGTCCCCGTTAGATCAGGAATGTCGAGGTCCAGCTTGACCCTCTCTGGAACTGAAGCCGTTAGGAAAAGCAGCGGTTGCTGACTCAAACCAGTCTTGAGATACTTCCTTCTGCTGCCCGCGCCCTCTCTGTTGATCACAGTGTCCCATGGATGCAAGGCCGGATTAACCATATGGGCAACTGGGCAATTGCCCAGGGCCCAAAAACTCTAAAGGACCCAGGGCAGCAAGAGCACGAGCAAAATACTGTATCTGTAATTTCCCGCTTTATGCTGACTATGGTGACCGTACGTCCTGTTTTCCCCGGACATGTCCACTTTTCACTCTCTGTCCGGGGCGTCCGGACTGGGGGTTCTTGTATTGATGAAAATGTCCGGCTTTTCATCCAGGAGCTGGGATCGAATTATGGGGGAGTTGGATGTCCTACACATCCAGGGGAGCCGGAAAAAAGTTTTCTACCTATATTACATCACTTGTGGACTCGTTTGAGCAGAGAGCACAGAGAGCGGCACAGCGCGTTGTTGCGCAGCAATCCAGGCTGCTGCTTCCAGCGCACGGTCCATTCTCAAAGTGGCGCAACCAAAAAACTAATTAGCACACGATCGTTCATGTCCGCACATGTTCTCTACTTTCTGTCTTATTTGCGCCTGAAGCGCGCTGCCACTGCGGAGCTCATCACCTGTGCTGCGGTGATTTCACCTCACTGACGCATCATCGAAACCGCTTTGCTGTCAGGAGATCCCTTTGGTCTGCTCAGAAGTAACTGATGTGGTGAAAAAGTAAGAATCCAGGCAGCAGTTTTTCTGGAGAGTTTAGAGGAGATGCAGGAAGATGAGAGACGGACAGGACAGGAAAATACCGTAGTTCAATAAAAACAAGAAAACAAAACAAAAAGTAAAATATAGGTAGATTCATCTCCACTACACGTTTTTACCTGTATAAAGCAACAAGTTATACACGTCATATTTATACATCTGATACAATTCAGATCACCTTCAAAACTCAGTCACACAGCCAGGGCCGTTTCAAGACATTTTGGGGGCCAAGGCAAAATGACCCCCCCCCCCCCCCCCCCCAAATGGGCTCCCCAGAAGCCTCTGTGTAATTCATACCCTCTCAGTATTGTTAGTTAAACTGTGTTTATAAAAGCTCCTCAGACATCACTGACATGTTATCAGATGAAAAACTAAATTATCAAACATGCTGTCTCATCTGCTGCTTTTCTAAACTTGCAAAAAGTAACAAAACTATTTGAAAGCCACTATTTGTGGATTCTCTGAAAGTTTCCATGGAGTGTGTGACAACTTATTTTTTCATTGATCCTATCGTCTAATCTCACAGCTGAAACAAGCACCCTTAATAATCTGTGCACAGGAAGCTTACCGATGCTGTAGTAAAACAAAAGGTATAATAATTTATTATTAATAAAACCTTGTTGCAGCATTAAAGCAGAAAAATGAGATTTTGCAATAAATATACAAAATATTTACATATGAAGTGTTTTAGAGCCCTTTAATTGGCAGAATCTGATATTAATTTAGTTCTTACAAAAAAAGGATCCCAACGTGGTTTGTGTGACGTTGCCATAGTGTGACGTCATAGGCACAGATCCCCTGTCCTCTTGTTTGGAAATGGAAATATGATCACCCTACATTAAACAAACTGTCCAGCCGGGCTTTTGCGCTGCACAGAGACGCTTCGCTGCCTATGACTTTGAACGTCAGTTGAGAGTCAGTCTCATGCAGACTGACCAATGAAGAGAGGGCCTCAAGTTAAGACCCTCTCCTCATTGGTCAGTCCACACGAGGTGGGTCAAAGGTTACCCTGAGCGGGTTACGTGATGTCAGGCATTCAAGTATTGAGTGTATTTACTGCATATTACAATAAAATATTCTGTATGTGACCACATTATGGTGATCCTTGGGTCGTGATGATGGGGCCTTTGAATATTGTTGCCCAGGGTACAACAAAGTGTTAATCTGGCCCTGCCATCATCAATGCAAGATCCTGGTGAGAAATTAATGCAACACTGGATGAAAATAAATCTTGTGACATGGCTGAAGCTTACAGTGAATGTGTGTCAAAATCAAAGTTAAAGGTGGACCTACAAAATATTAGTGTGTGACCTTTTTTTGGCCAGGCCGTGTATTTAAAGCTGAATAGGACTGTCTACTGGGGTTTCTGTTTTTCTTGCTAAAGAGACAAACAGATCTGAGAATGTCACTTTGTGTGTCTCTAATGATTTTTTCCACTCAAAACCTCTGTCATCAGCTGACGTTGTCTCGCCCTCCACTCTAGACAGTCTTTTGTCTCAGACACATATAATAACAGCACCATCTTCCTGTAGGAAAGGGGAGGAGGTGAGCTTCTTCAGGAAGACCCTGCATCCTTCCTCTGAGACGTCTCAATACAAAAACACTCTGCGCTTGTCGACGCCCAAAACCAGGAGCCGTTTTCTCCAGGAAGCAGGGTAACAAACTCCATCCAGACATGAGTTAAGGGATTGTTATGATGAGTTGAGACCATACGGAGGTCATATTCTCAGTTTACAGACAGACATTCATCCAGTCCAAACCGTTAAAACAAATATTTCATTCTCTCTGATGCTATAACAATGTCTATTGGAGTTGTTATTGCAACATTACAAACAATAATCACCATATCTATCAGTGCCTCACTGAAGAAACGTGTAGTTCTAGCAGCATAATCTGTGTCCACATCCCCAGGAAACTTTATATATCCTAGAGAGTTTTTCTTTTAATCGCTGCATAATGTAATATGATGTTAAATATGAAAATGGCATTTAAACATCTGTTATTTCAGTGTCAGACTGCAGGAACAGATACAATAGAGCTTATTGTTCAAAGTTCAGGACCCCCGGGAAGCTGGTGGAGAACCGCAGAAGTCTTTTTATAAATTCTGAACTCAGCAGCTGAACACGTTGTTGAGCACAGAGAGAAATCCTTTTATTTAGAGTTCAAACCAATGAGCCGACGACTGCACTCATAATTTAACTAACAGATGAAGTATCTGTTATGCTGCAGTGATAATGTCCTGAACAATAAAAGGTCACCTGTTGTGTATTTAATCCTCTCAGAGACCAAACACACACCAGCAGCAAATCATTAGTGAACATGAGATTTTAAAAGCAGTGATGGAACATGTTCAGCAGGGATACTCACTAACGTGATGAAGAAATAAAAAGGCAAAAGACAAAATAACTAATGAGACAAATGACTGAAAACAGCCTGCTGTTAGGAATTTCATGTGAACTCTTCATTTGTCTAAATGAGACACGTTTTATAACCGAGTCAAACTGAAGAGAACTGTCAGGTTTTACTTATTAAATGTATCCTCTGTGTCCCTCAGGTCCCTTCACACTCCTCACTGCGACAATAATTGTCCTATTTGGCACATTGATCCCAGAGTGAAAAGCGCCGTCATCACTCCTCGACTGCTGCAGCTGTCAGAACCTAAACAGAACCACCCGGACTACCAGAACAACAGGGAGGTGGGATGTAAACCTGACCTTATGTTGGCGAGTCATTCCTATCTACACCAGTGATTTTAATTAGTCCTTCTGTGAATTTTCAGATCATCATCACAGAAAACTCCTCTGTAAGTTAGACTTACTCAATTTACCCGCGACTCAACCCCAGATGAAAATAGATGGATGACAGCTTGATTATATGTATTGAAATGAAAATCTTTATTTTTATCTGCATTTATGCATCCTCTTTCAGAACAGTAAACCTTATAAGGTAGTGTACGGTAATGATAATGATCATTTAAAATGAAAGAAGTTAATATTAAAGCAGTAATGAGGTCTATATTTTATTGAAGGAGTTTTTTAGTGTGGTGGTTAGTTTAGAGTGTGCTTCGGTGAGACACCTGGACTAAAATATCCTCTGCTAAGTGGTTCATCTGCCTTTAAAAGGGTTAATGACAGAAGAACCATCCAAGTAATCCGTCAGTAATCCTCAGGTTGTAAATGAACAAATTGTATAAAATGTGTTTTTTATTCATTGTAATGAAATAAATCAGGCATCTAAAAATGGAAAGTTAAAATGTGGAAACTTTCTAAGCCACTGAGGATTTTGAAAGATGCATTTGAATAAGATCAGCTCCAGTTTGATGTCACTTTGTTTCATTCAATCATTCATTCATTCTGCAGAGGAAGCTGAAGATACTTCTTAATCGACATTATTTTTGACACCGTCTTTTTTTCTGTCTCTCTTTGATCCTGCCATCCTGATAGGTTTTTGCATTTAAACGTTAATCTGATGCATGTTTTAAATGCTCATCTTCCTCACGGATCATCTGAAAGTCTTTGAGGCTGCAAAGCTGAAAAGAAACTCCCATTTTTCCACAGTGTGCTGCTTCCATCATTTCCTCGGCTTCCAGAACGGCTCGAATTTCTCAGAGACTAGTCCAGCTGTCCCTGCCCAAGCTGAGGGAGAGCAATGTCTGCCACCAGCTGGGACGCCTCGAGGAACCCATCTGGACTGTAAGAAAACCTGCACCCATGCATCACTGGATAACGTTTAATAAATTACTTCAGCTTCAGGGTTAGCAATCCTGGGGTGGAGAAAAGTTATGGATGTAGAACTAAGAGGAAACCCGATTTTGGGTTTGTCTTATTCCTCCTGTTCCTCTTGTGTTCTGTTATTAATCAGAACTGAACCTCTAATACCCAATCAGGTTTCAAGAGCAGCAAAGAGAGCTAAAGGAACGGCTCGTACCGAGATACTAGCAGCACCAAAGCAGCTTCACAAAGACTACATCCCTCCAGGAAAAGCAGAGTGGAGCCGCAAAAAGTCCTTCTGAGCATCTGTTATGACGACCACATCAGTAATTTTTAATTAGTACCTAAAGTAAGCTAGATTTGTACCATGTGGGAGGTAGAAATGTAGTACAAAACTCAGTATTTTGAGTTATTTAGATAAAAAAAATACAATCTTTGTTTGATTTGTATTGCAGGAACTTTTAATCACTCAAATAAACTTCATATTTACTGTAAATCCTCTAATAAAGGCCCAGGCCTGTATTTGACTCAAGCTCATCAAGCTCCAGGCCTTTATTGGAAGGAGGACCAGAATTAGAGGCAGGCCTCAATTTCTATTTGAGCAAAATGAACTAATGGTTCGCTGGAGTTTTTGACAATTAAAATTGCGCCCACATTTTCAAAGTTAAACACATTTCTTTTAACAACGGTAGTTCCTGCTTCAGCCCTCTCCCCCCTCCCCCTGCACAGCGGCCGCAAACTCACTGATGCGCCTACAGCCTCTCGGAGTTCCTGCTGCTCTAAACATTAAAATAATTATTTCATTTTCTGTTCCTCACTTCTGATTACCTTCAATGGTGTATGTTTGTTGCAACCACCAGGTACAAAAACTAACTTGTTTTTATTTGACTATTTTTCTGTCCTGCCTGTTTATTATCTTCCTGCATCTCCTCTCAATCCTAAAGAAAAACTGCTACCTGGGTTCATATATATTCACCTTATGAGTTACCTTTGAACTACAGTTCTAAAAGATCTACCGACCGCAAAAACAGCGGAGTGCGCGCTGCTTGGCGGCCGCATCAGGTAGGTGCGTCACCGGAGGACAAAACAGGTGATGTGCCCCGCTCCACAGCAGCGAAACGCATCAGGCACAAATAAAAGACCGAAAACATAAAAGGAAATGAGCCGACATGAACGATCACGTGTTAAATTTGTTTTTGAGGTGGTGACACCTGATTTGATAATGTTACTGTGGCCATGCTCAGGACACAGATGTCTGGAGCGCGTCAACAATCAGAGCTTTGCATGTGCACGCTGGTTAAGATTAGGATGGGGGTGAGGGGAAGGTTAAATTGCAAGAGGGAAACGTCACAATTTGGTTAAATGTCCGTTTTACGGCGGGTGTCAGTACCGACGCTCTGGCACAGTGCGTTGCCCCCCCGAGCGCAGGAGCTTGTCACCTGCTGACAGCAGGCTGCTGTCTTTTCCGAGGACTGCATCTTGCCAGTCATTATCACCTGACAGCGACTAGTCGATGACAGGCATAAAAAGTCACTATAGAGCAGTGAAGTCGACTAGTGACTAGTTCATACAACCCCTACTGCTCCCCAGAGTGTTCTGCAGCATAATCAGCACGTTCTCTTTGAACTTGATATCAAATTTTTGCCTCCTCTTCGTCTCCACACGGTTAAAGTTACCCTCGCGGTCTATCACTGGCAAATCAAAAGTGAGACGATGACACAACCGCCCCCCGTACTTGCTTGTTACCACATTCCACCCGGCCACAATAAAAAAACGGCCATTATTCACCTCCGCCGACTCCGACACCGGCCAAAATATGGTACCCGGCAGTTAATTAAATACAGGCTATTATTAGAGGATTTACGGTAGTTGTTTATGAGATTTTAAAAAATGATGCACCGACTGATACACTGATTCTAGCTTGGAGAGCTGATACCGATTTCTGATTTTTTTTTTTAGCAATTTCTAATTTATCTCAAAGAGTAATAATTAACATAATGTCTATATTTGTCATTCCTGATTAGATTAAGAAGATAATTCTGGAAGTAAATACTTTGATGTGAACCATCTATGATTGTTAGGGTTAGTAGGGAAAAATGCTGGATTTTCAGTGCTGCTTGGCAGTGGTGCATTCATGAACCCAAAACATTAAGAAATAAAAACTGAGTTTCAGATTGGTCAGCCACTGGTCAACCTGGCTTCCTTCCTTCCTTCCTTCCTTCCTTCCTTCCTTCATTCATTCATTCATTCATTCATTCATTCATTCATATTTTAATGTGCATCTCTAAAATACTGGCAAATATTTCTGGGAGATCTGAGGAAACACAACATGGAAAAAGAAAATGTTAACATGAAAACCCTTTAATAAAAGCAGCACACCTGGAGTGAGCTGGTTATTTAGAGCTGAGAAACGTCTGTTTCCGGGTTTCTGTGTGTAACTGTAGTTGCTGTTGTTTCATTTATTACTTATCCGTTTCTTTTCTTGTGTCTGTGTTCAGAAATTCAAGCTGGTTTATGTTATGCTTTTATTTTGAAAGTCATAGTGTGCTTCCAAGCCAGCCACACCTTCATTAGTGATTTGACCCACCTGTGTAACTGAGGCCCTGTCCACACGTAGCCGGAGATCTGCCAAAACATAGATATTTTTCTACGTTTTGGCCTGTCATCCACACGAAAACGGAGTTTTTTCACACGAAAATGGATCTTTTTAAAAACTCCGGCCAAAGTGAAGATCTGCGTTTTCTCTGTTTTGGGTGTCTGCGTGTGGACAGACAAAACCGGACTTTTAAGGTCCGCAACGTCACTTTCCGCGACAAAAAAATGCTGACATCACGTGTGCGACCTGTGTTTACACTAGCCGACAGCATGGATGCCCTCAGAGCTGCGCTCGCTTTATCACTTGTCCAAGCGCTTTTTGCTTGTTTGTTTTTGCAAGCGGAATTACTGCTCCTTGCGGAAGACCACAGACAAAGGACGAGGTTAAGAACGGGGGAAGTACTGCCGCCTACAGGTCTGGCATGTCCTTAACAACGTATTTATCCGGGTATGTGTGGACAGAGTTTTACTTTTAAACGAGGTGGTGTGGATGCAAGTTTTTGGAGGGGTGGATATTCGTTTTTTTAAAAAAACCGGCTACGTGTGGACTAGGCCTGAGAAACATGGATGAGGTGCTGGCACACTGACAGGAGAATTCTGTAACAAAGCAGAAAGAAAAGACTTGCAAAAGGACTAAAAAGTATGTTAAAAGATTAAAAGGATGCTTGGAGTCCCTTCCTAAAGCTTACAACCAACGAGGTGTTTATTTGTCTTTATTTTATTCACATTTTGAATTCATTGTAAATCTTGTGTACACAGTTTCATGGTTTGAAGGAGGTCTTTGGAAGGTCAGAGAAAAGACGAAAGGCCAACAATAAATCTGTTTAAAGGAACAACTTGCATCTGGTCTGCTTGGAAGGCTCCAACACTGAAGATTAAACTTCATATTTTTATGGTTTTAAAGGTATTTTTGATATAAATCTATCATCCTTTTGCAAAGAAAGTAAATCTAGTTGGGAATAAACTCTGAGCTTTGCCGTGCTGAAATGGATTCTCCATTTTATTACAAACGTGTATTTGAACTTTTGCACAGTAGCTCTGAGTTCGCTGTAAAAGAGTAAAATAGTTTTCTCCGTCTCTAAACTGCTCTACAAGCTGCTTTTTGGTACCAGTTGTTGGCAGTTTTAGTTTTAAATGCCAGTTGGATTTCAGTTCTGAATTTTACACCAACAGGAAAAGTGGCTGCCAGATTAGTTTAATCATAGAAGATTTTATAGACTTCTGCTGTCAATCTGGGATTAATCTGATATGAAAACGTGAAGCTACAGTCGAGCAAAAATAAGTGTGCCACCACTGCGAGTTCTCCTGCTTAAAAACATGAGGCCTGTAATTTTCATCATAGGTGTGCCTCAACTATGAAAGACAAAATGAGGGGAAAAAATAAAAAAAATCACATCTTATGGATTTTAAAGAATTGATTAGCTAGTTATGGTGGAAAACGAGTATTTGGCCTCCTACAAACAAGCAATAATTCTGGTTCTCTTCTGTAGGAGGCTCCTCTGTCCTTCACTTGTTACCTGAACTAGTGGCACCTGTTAGAAATTGTTATCAGTATAAAAGACACCTGTCCACAGCCGGTCAAGACCAAAGAGCTGTCACAGGACACCAGAAACAAAAATGTAAACCTGCACCAGGCTGGGAAGACTGAATCTGAGAAACTTCAGACTCAGAAGGGTTTTATTGCCATATATGCGAGAAATCACAACAATAGGACATTACTGTGGTACTTGGTGCAAGAAAAAATAAAAGATACATTTGAATTAGGAAATAAACCCAATGAAATGATTATAGTACAGGGAGGCAATAACTGCTGAAGCAGCTACTTCATACAAGTCCGTGTAGGTACTGGTCAAAGCGGGTCAGCTGAGCTGCTTTGTCACTTGTCAGTATTTCTTAACAAATATTCTCTAAAGAGTTGAGAGTTGTTTGGTTTCATTTCTTCATGTTTCTACTTTACAAATAGAGCTTTCGCCTTATTTTGTTTGTTTTGCATGGTTTCATCGTGAGCTTGTAGCCTCACACAGGAAGTTGTCCAACACCTTCAGTTAAAGACAGGAAACCGTTAGACCGAGACTGTTGAGTCTATCACAAATATATCTTATCATTAATTCAGTTTAATGTTGATGACAAACGTGATGTAACCTTTATTAAATAATTAGTACAAGTATCTTCTGCATCAGTCACTGCCAGTTAGTGATCCCTGACATGTCTGATGCTGCCACCAGGTGCTTTAATCCACTCTCTGCTGTCTCAGACCTCCTTGTTGCCAATTTCCGATCGTATCATTCGGTTGGAGGGCACATGTTCCACTCTAGGATGTTCTGATAGCCCTCAGATTGCATAGAATAGTACAGATTAAGGTTCCCTGATCCAGATGCAACAAAGAGGGTCCAAAACAAACCTGAGCCTCCATGTTTCACTGTAGGTATGTGAAGCTTCAGCTGATGTGACTTGCCAAAAAAAAAAAGCTCCAGTTTTGTCTCATCAGCCCAAAAACGTTTTTCTTTTTCTCTCCAAGAAACTTTGGAGTTCGTCAACATGCATGCTGGTGGTTTGGCAGTAGATGATCCCTGCTGGGTTTTCTTCTGTGATGTAGAGGATGAGCGGAAGGGACCTTGGAGATCAGCTTGAATGGTTTAGGATGGTTTCCTTGGCTTTTGTTTTCTACCTTTCACACAATTCATCTGATCAACCTGGAGTTCTCCCTGATCCCTGTTGCCTCCTGCTTTTCTTTCCTCTATCCGCTGCTCAAGACATGCAGGTAAACATTAGACGGTACATTTTCACCCAATTTTCACCCAATCACCTTTCAGTAGAAGTGTTCCAAAGGGAACATCTAATTAGTCTGTAGAAAACTGCATTAGTTCTCACTTATTAAATTAGGAACACTACTTGGTTTTATATTTATCCATTTAAGCCGTCCTAATGTACACTTAAGTAGAGAATAATGTTTAATACTTTTCAGAATATTTTTGTTTGCAGGGTATAAACCACACATTAGGGTGGAGTAACAGGAACTTTCTCCACACAAAAGACCTTCAGTCAGTGTTCTCTGAGGGGTGAGAACCTGGCAGCAGCTCTGCACGATGCTGCTGTGGTTTTGAGCTAATAAATCTGCAAAACTTCACTTTGCAAACTGTGTTTTCCTCCACTTACCACTGAAACCAGAGCTCCTGCATGGTTTTACTTTGGCTTATTCCTTTTGGTAAATGGTGCAGAACAGAGGAAACAGAGGAATGCCTCTTTATTTTTTCTTCTGGCCATCAGAGTTCATCCTGAGGGGATGGGAAGTCTTTTAGTTTTCATTTTGAATGACGTTCAAAGAGTTGTTTGATCAACAATATTAAATTTTGAAAAAGCAATTTGAGGGTGGTGCTTTAGCTAAAATAAAACTGGTCGTGTGCTTATAAATAAGCTTTGGTATGAATAGACTAAGCATTTAGTATGACATCCGGTTGACCTCAAAACAAAAGTGAGTCAGCCTGAAGTTTTATGTTTAGATCAAAGAAGAGCAATACTCAGGCCCTGTCCACACGTAGCCGGGGATCTGCCAAAACGTAGATATCTTTCTACGTTTTGGCCTGTCATCCACACGAAAACGGAGTTTTTTCACACGAAAACGGATCTTTTTAAAAACTCCGGCCAAAGTGAAGATCTGCGTTTTCTCCGTTTTGGGTGTCTGCGTGTGGACGGACAAAACCGAAGTTTTAAGCTCTGCAACGTCACTTTCCGCGACAAAAAAATGCTGACATCACGTGTGCGACCTGTGTTTACACTAGCCGACAGCATGGATGCCCTCAGAGCTGTGCTCCCTTTATCAATTGCCCAAGCACTTTCTGCTTGTTTGTTTTTGCAAGCAGAATTACTGCTCCTTGCGGAAGACCACAGACGAAGGATGAGGTTAAGAACGGAGGAAGTACTGCCGCCTACAGGTCTGGCATGTCCTTAACAACGTATTTATCCGGGTACGTGTGGACAGTTTTTTTTTAAACGAGGTGGTGTGGATGCAAGTTTTTGGAGGGGCGGATATTCGTTTTAAAAAAAACCCGGCTACGTGTGGACTAAACCTTAGTGTTAGTCTTTTGTAATTCCACTTCTTTGCTTTGTTCAAACGTTTGAACAAAGTTTGAGTCTAAAGTAAAAATGATTATCCTTTAATCCCCCAGTTCTTCCAAGTCATTTAACAAAAGGTCCTTTTAAACTGACACATATGAAAACATATTGTATTGGTTTAAATGTGTTACAACTTTATTTTTCTTTAATTCTCAAATAATTTGGTGGAATCAGGAGAATGAGATTAAAATTAAATCTGTGAGGTCAAGTGATCACATCAGTGGAACAAAAAGTCAGTGGAGACTGATTCAGACGGCGTTTGGAGGATTCCTCGCTGCTCTGCAGGCTTCTCTTAGCAACTAGCAACACCAGACTCCATTCACATTCTGAACACACGCTAATCTGGTCAGATCTGAATCTGACTGAAGTTACTGTCACTGCCATGCTCCAGCAGACCTGTCTCACCATCATGGAGCTCTGAGCTTTTACCTCAGTAATAGTCAGATCAAATCTGGGAGATGAGACTCTGCTTATTTATGGTGGTTTCAAGTTTGGAAAAGAGTGATCCAGACTAAAAGTGCTGCACCATACATTTTATGGACCATAATGGATGTAAGAGAGAGGCTAATCTGTGTGGATGATGATAATCTGATTGCCTTAATGAGTTTTTTTTTCAGGTTGGAGCATCTATGACACGGTCAAAGCTATTTTTGAATCAACTGGTTCTTATGTAAACTAAATAATTATTATTCACCTGTTCATTATCTATACCCACTTATCCTTGCAGGGTTGCAGGGGGCTGGTACCTGTCTCCAGCAGTCGTTGGACAACAGGCAGGTTACACCTAGCCTGGCCTGCCAGACTCCTCCTGTTTAATTCTGTACAGAGAAAGGGGCCAGGAACTCTCGTTCAAATAGCCCCACCCCCTGAGAATTCTAACCGAGCCAATCAGCACTGAGTAGCACATGTCACACACCATAACGCTGTGTTTGTCAAACATGGTGACTGAATTGGAGTTCGCTGCAGCTCTTTCCTCTGTTTAAATTACTTGGACACGTCTTAAAAACAAGTAGAATCGCTGAAAGACTTTCTTCTAAAGAAAGATGTTTGCGCTGTCATCGGGTGCCATTTTTGACTACAGCTAAAAAACTACAGCGTCGCGCGGTACAGTCGGAATTTCCATCTTTCTTTGGATTGGTTATTTTTGAGCTGCCTAGTCCCGCCCCTCAAGTGTCTCTCTGCCTATGAGTTCCTGGACTCTTTCTCTGTGCAGAATTAAACAGAGGAGGGGTCTGGCAGGCCAGGTTAGGGTACACTCAGGACACTCAGACATTGCTCTTCCAAGTTTTTACTGGGGAATCCCAAGATGTTCCCATACCAGAGAGGATAGAAACATTACAGCGAGTTCTGGGTTTGTCTTGGGTTCTCCTTTTAGTCCGCATGACTGGACAAGGACCAGGATGCAAACCAGCCAGATGCTTGGACCGCCTCAGTTGGCTCCTGATGAGGAGCGGTAACTGCTTCATGGACCTCCTCACAGGCTGAGTTCGACCACCCTATGGATGAAACTTATTCCAGCTGCATGTATCTGAGATATTGTTCTTTGCTCCAGAGGAAGCATGAGATCTCCTCCTTTGTTCTAATCTCTAAAGTTATAATGAAGTAACCAGACAGCGGGGAACACAGAGGCCAATGTGCTGTTGGAGGAACATTTATTCAGAATGCAGCAGATCTTACTCAGCAGAAGTGCAGCACAGCAGAAAATCCCTTAATGAATAAAAGGCTGGAGACAGAATCATTGCTCTGAAAGTACACCTGTCCTGCAACACTGCGGTTTAGGATAATGTGCATATTCAAATGCATAGAAAACACATGAAGTAGCTTCACCACATCCAGCATTTCTTCTGAAATAATTTAAAACCAAATCTAACGACACCTGTAAAATAAGTATGTTCGGGGGGTTTAGCATTTAAACTGAGATTAAATCGACTCATGAGCTAGCAGAGGAAGCTAGTGCTGAGGTATAAAGTGTGTTTTCAGCAGGGAATATAAAAAATGTGTTTGTTTTTACACAGTGGGTGTGACTTTTTTCACACTAGGTTGAACAGAGGAAACACCCCCGGGCTCTGGGCTCACACACCACCTCTGTGTGTGTTCTGTGTTTAAACTGAAGGGTTTCTGTAGCATTAATGCAGAAGTTCTCATGGGGAGTGAACACAGAGAACACGTTAATAATTCATGAATGCAGCAGAGTTACCTGTCAGCTAGGTGCTGATTTCTGTTGAGCTCAACAGTTTCCCACGATCAGAGTGTATTTTTTTCTTTTTTTAACCAGCTTGTTGGCAGAAAACATCCTCAGACCCCCTTCAGGCTTTTTCAGACAGCAGCATGGAAACCAGGGGGTTTAGTTTTCTACACCTTTGCTGAGCTCGGAAAACATTTTCTATATAAAAGTCAGAAATAATCATTACTGAACATTCTCTGTTCAGAGATATAAAGTTTGCTCTCTTCAGGAATGATGAGCTAACGGCTAGTCTGAGCACATCCAAGACTAAAGTATTTCGCTGATGTCTTAAAACAGCTCCAGTCTCCGTAGTTCCACTGCAGTTCATGCAAACGTTATTTTGGACTAAAAGTTCCAGTCATGGGTTTCTGCTGTTTTTAAGGTGGAAACAGACTCGTTCAAGCTTTCCTCATAGGCCCACTGTTTGTGTGTGTCTCTGAATACCAGTTCTTCTCTACAGCAGGCTCCACATTTCTCATGACAACTTAACAGGTAGAGATAATTAGCTGATGAAGGAGAAATTGGTTTGAGCAATCGGGAATTTGTTAGGTTTCATGTTATGTAGTTGCTGATTCTTTATCCAGAAGTTGCGAACAAGTCTTCTGAACCCTGGTTCACACGGCAGGATTTAGAAGATGTTGGCCAATTATCAAAGTATGAGAGATTACACGTGTTGTTGGAAAACTCTGGATATACCAGTTTGGGTCCTACAGTAAGTGGTGTGCAGCAACCCAGCAAGTGCTACAAATGAACTGCATTCACTCACGAACATCCCGCTCAGATGGGAAATCTTACAAGATAAAAGGAGTCTCTGAAATAAACAAACATGGCAGAAGAGGAGCATGCTGCGTGCTTCCAGCAGCTCGCTTTCTTGGCTAAACGTAACAATCAACAGGCAGCACTTCGTTTGTCCCTGGATATCAGACCAAGACGTTTTATTAGGTCTGAAACCCTGGATTTATGATCAGAGTGGTCCCAGCGTTCTTTCATTTAGATCAGAGTGCTCATAACACACCACAAAAGGTAGGATTATCTGATAAGATTCTCTTTAGAGCTGTTATGGTAATCGAGCACAACTCTTAAGATTGTCTGAGATGGTGGATGTTGTCAACAGTTGGCTTGATTATCCTGCTGTGTGAACCAGGTTTAACTGAATATTTCCCTTAAATAAGAGGCAAGGTTGTTCTTTCTTTTGTCTTTTAACTGTAGCTCCTCCACTTTAGAGGGAATAGGAGGGGTACTGAAACACACAGTCAACAATGCCACAAATATTCCCTAGCTGCATGTTTGTCTGAGGCAACACTGTGGCAGGCAGGTACAACGATGGCCTTTGTTTCATTACCAACATGGAAATTATGAAAAAGTATGTTTCTACCCTGATTAACTCACCACGCCCACAATATATGTAGTTCTTGGTTTCTCACTTCATCAGATCCTTTTTATTTCACTCATCACCACGTCTGTCATTACCACACCTAGTTCTGTGAATGCCTGCTTCATTTTTTGGCTACTCCATTCAGAGGCGGTTTTACCATTAGGCATAGGTAGGCGGCCGCCTGGGGCCCCCTTGTGTTGGGGGGCCTCCTAGTCCTGACCGCCGGCACCCCTCTATTAATGCCACAATATTCTTATTACCAACCTGTGGCCGCAGACGGGATTGGACATGCTTCTCGTTACCATAATTCCTGAACCGTTCAAGATATCATTAAAATTCCAAAAGTGCTGAAAAGATTAAAAATGGGACTTTTCGTGCATATACAATACATTACGGTAGCCACCGGGATTCCCTGTCTTGAGCGCAACGAATCACAACACAGATTCAGAGACGTGCTGAGTTTGTCATCCAAAATGCTCCGTTGTATAACTTTTGAATGGGGGATCAAATTGAAAAAATTCCAACGGTTCCTAAAAGTACATAAAAGCAGCTTTCCAACGATCTATAGCATGAAGCAATCAGAGTTAGGGAAAATGTCGCTACGAGGGGAAATCCTGCTGTACAGCCTGATTGAAACGGAGCGCAGCGCCGCGGTGAAAGCGGATAACGGAACGGGGAAGCTAATCAGCGTAAAAAGCCAGCATGAAATTATGGAAATGCCTCGAAGAAAATCAACACGATCTATTAGGTGTCCCAGAAGGCTTATTTTTGAAGACAGTGACCATGAAGGGCAGATCTCCAGTGAACCAGGATATGAATGTTTGTTCCGTCTTTATATTTTATTTTTTTATTTGAACAACCCTCAACTATTTGCTAATTGTAAGATTCAGCTTCATTCCAGCATTATTTATCTTTTTACAATAAATAATTACATTTGCTAAAACTAAAGTTTTTGGTATAGCAGTGCACGTGTGCCAGAGAAGCACCCCATGGCAGTGTGAGGTGTGCAGGACTCTGTCTGCAGCTGGAGAGAAACTGCTTCAAGGTCTACCACATCAAATAAAAACGCCTGAAAGTTTACAAAAATAAATGGTCTTAAAAACTGCTAAAAAAGATACCAAGGTTCACACTTTTTTAAGAATAGATGCATTACAGTTCAACGTTTAAATTGTTTGCCCAGTCATTTTGAAGTTTCTGTTCAGTAATAACTGTAAAAAATTCAAATCCGTTTTTTGCTTTTTTCAATTTCAAGCTGTTTTTTAAAGGCTGTAATAGAAATAAATTCTAAATACAAACCATACACTGAAAGCTGAGGTTGTTCTGAAAAAAGGAGAAGAGTTACACGCACTTTGCACTTTTTATTACAATTTTACAGCCATAAGATTAAAAAATACCAGGCGGCCCTGTTATAATTATGGTCATAAGAGGGTTATTAAGACGGTGATGCACAAACAGGAAGTGATTGGTAGTCATTCCACTCCAATCCAGTTGGTGGCGGTAATGCACCAAATTTTTGTTTGCCAGGTGCCATAAGACCACAAATAAGAAGAAGAAGAGAGGCGGGAGCATTCGTAACAAACTCAAAGCGATAGTCAAAACATTTAGCATGAAATGGAGTTATCCTAGTGGCCCCAATCAGAGAAAGAAGCAGCATGTTTTATTAAAGCTTTTATTTTCACTTCTGAAAGTGACGTTGTTTTTCGATGTAAACATCAAAAGGAAGCAGAAAGGAAAGACAATGGAAAAAGTTTAAAGGGAGGAAAACAGAGACCAAAATGGAAAATGGAAGAAAAAAATAACTAATGCAAAACACAGGAGCACTAACAGGAAGAAGAAAGCAGAGCAAATATTGAAGGCACTCAAAAGGAGGGAAATACAGGAAAAAAGAGGAGGACTAATAAAAAGGGAAAACAACTCATGTCAGAAGAGGGGGGAGTTTCACAAATCCAGTTAAAAGTAAGATTGTCGAAAATTTAGTGTAAGGGGCCCCATGTCTGTGTTAGCCTGGGGCCCCCAAATTGCTAAATCCGCCTCTGACTCCATTTAAAACCTTTCATTTGATTTTGATTCTGCACCCTTGGGTCCTACATTGCATTAAAGCAGGGGTCTCCAACTACATTTGCTCAAGGGCCGGAGTCGTTTTCCAGCATGGGGTACAGATGCTTTTCTAAAAATAAAGTTCAAGGATTATTGTATCTTAATTTATTAATATTGAAAGTGGTTTTGTTTTCCATATAAACTGTTTTGATTGTAGTTTTTGTTTTGTTTGGAGAACATAAACAAATATTTATATCTGGGAAATTATTTTTGCTGCTAAACTAAGTCCCCCAATTAGTGGGTGTTAGGGCCCCAAGGGTGGGGGGGGGGGGGGGGGCTGCACTTATATAGCGCTTTTCTGAGTCAGAGGACTCCAAAGCACTTTAACCTATTCATTCACACACTAATGGTGATGATCTACTTCTGAGCAACAGCCACCCTGGGGCGCAAATACAGAGGTGAGGCTGTGGAGCACAGGCTGTACTGGTCCCTCGGACCACCACCAACGGGCAAGGATGACATGTCTTGCCCAAGAACACAATTGTTCTTAACTCCTCTGTCCCTGTCGCCCCATTACACAATGACTTCAGCTGAAATGTTACAAAAATTGCTGCAGGACTTAGCAGGCTCAGTAAGTGCTCCATTTCCCTGCTGTTGGTGGTATTTTAACTTGTAAATAACCACATTACACTTACATACACACAAAACTAATGGGAAATGAAATGTTTACGAAATGTCTACATGATAATGTGTAAAATGTAACAGTTTGGAGGTTTTTTAACTAAAGCAGCAAAACACTTTGGTTTTTTTCTGCACTCAGGCTAGCCTTTAGCTTATGAGTCCTGTACAATATAAAGCTATTTATCCAAACAAAGGCTGTTCAAGAAGCTAGCTACACTATAAGGTGGTAAACATGTTTAACTTTTACACAAACTGGTCTAAATATCCCAATTGTCTGTATTTTCCCAAGTTGCTCTACAGCACATCTCGGGCTTTGTGAAACAAAAAACACTCGGTTTGTTGAAGACAAAAGTGCTGAATATCTGCAGTCTACGCTGAAAATGGACCCTTTTTGTGGTTTAAAGTTTTAAATTTCTGGTGAGATCATTTCCCTTTTCCGGTACTCTGTCACAAGAGATTAAAACAGAAGAATAAAATTACATCACCTGCCTTCAGTGCAGGCCACAACACCATTCCTCCCATTTCAGCTCCAGTGGAATATTCCAGATTCAACCACAGAAGTTCCTGGTCAGAGTTAGCTGATTCCAGCAACATCTATTGTAATCCTGGTGCTTCTTTACATCTTTTATAGTCATGGAAACAACGAGAAGTCTAGCTCTGCTCATTCCTGACAGACCCACATGCAAACAAAGCCATGGAAACAAAGCGTTCCCCCTCCAGCCTCTCCATAAAAAAACCAAACTATTGTGTGACCCTGCATCCTGTGTGAATCGCTAAAGTACAGAAGCTGCACAACCATTTCCAGGTTCCTTTACAATAACAATATATTTATTTCTGTAAACACAGTGGTTACATTGGCAACAACACACAAACACCTTCACATTCTGCAAGACAAAATAGCTTCATAGATACAAAAGCGCGATTCGCAGATGGAGAGGAAACGGGGAGGAGAGGTTAGTCCATTGTGGAGATGTAGAGTCAGCAAACAGATCCATGCAGCATGAAGAAGCTCAGAAAGTCTTAGTCCAACACTGATCCCAGTTTAGCGGGAAGACCCTCGGCCTTCCTCCACTTGGCATTACGTTGCTTGAACCATTCCTGCAGGAGGCAAACACAAATGAGTGGTTATAAACCAGCGGAAGGTTTTATATAAGGGTGCGGAGCCTGAAACACAAAAGTGGTGACATACGTGCTTCATGTAGCTTAAATATAAGGAAATGATACGAATATCCATGAGAACCCAAACTGGTGAACCTTCTCTGGTGCCTTTAAAGGAGGCATCATACGAAGCAGGTCTACCTGCAGGTGTCATGCTGTGTTTAATTCAATTCAATTCAAGTTTATTTATATAGCGCCAAATCACGACAAGAGTCGTCTCAAGGCACTTCACATAATAAACATTCCAATTCAGGACAGTTCATTAAGCCAATCAGAAATAATGTTTCCTATATAAGGAACCCAGCAAATTGCATCAAGTCACTGACAAGTGTCAGTGACTATACAGCAATCCTCATACTAAGCAAGCATAAAGCGACAGTGGAGAGGAAAACTCCCTTTTAACGGGAAGAAACCTCCAGAAGATCCTGGCTCAGTATAAACAGCCATCCTCCACAACTCACTGGGGATCGAGAAGTCAGAGCGCGCGCGCACGCACACACACACACACACACACACACACACACACACACACACACACACACACACACAAGATTGATAGATGCAAAAATCATATGAGAACAGAGTTACTGTAAATGGGAAACCTTGGACTGTTTGTGTAACCGATACAGGTGTTGTGAAGACAAATGAGCTGATTGCAGCATGTACAGGAAACACAATGTTTAATTTCTTTGGTCAGAAGTGGATTTAAAACCTGGGGCTAATTTTAACACGCCTGTAGACTTATCATACAGCCCTCATTTGTGTTAGAGTCAGACTACAGATACACAGCTGTTCATCCTCACATACGACTAATGTTATCGAGTCATCTGATGAGTTTAAAACAACCAATTCAAAATCTTTAAAGTTGCTTCATAAATGTAGTATTTTGTAACTGGAATATGAAAACGGCAATATCTGATTTTCACACTCGTTAGTGCTGAAATGGCAGAAAAAATACAATCAGGCGCTTGCTGGTTGTTGTTTTTTTTTTTGTTGTTGTTGTTTTTTATGATCTCTCTTCACTCAGCCAGTAACTGCCACAGTAAACTCCAATCACAAGATGATGTTGCAGAGGTCTCCACACACACACACACACCCTTGACCTTTTGCATTGCTGTTGTGTAGTTCATGTTGTCAAGGGATTCACAACATCGCTGACGCAATCTTCAGAATGTCAAGGGGAGAGGGAGGAATTCAGAGTCTCACAGGAGAAACATTTTCCACATTTTTTACTGAAAACGCATGAGAATCTCATCAGGACTCTTCTGGGGTTGAACTTGAAAAATGCAGATGCTAAATGAGATCAGGAAAGGTCTTTTACAGACTTAAATCCTCTCTATTCTTTTATTTGAGTTATTTGTAGCTTTGCATGATAGTGCTGGTTTTATGTCCCGCTGAATTACGTGAATAAGGTCTTTCAGACGCTGCTGTGCTGAAAGCAAAATAAATCGTGCCAGAGTTTAAGTGCTGTGTACAGAGACCGGCACACACAGTAAGTGTTATTAATGTGAAACGGGGAGTGGTTGTTGGGTTGGGTTCCTTCAGCTAAACCTTCTCCAGTGAGAGCTTTGTTAGCAAACACAAAACACTCAACAAGAGGGGCGGTGGGAGGAAAGAGGAGTTAAAGTCAGCTCTTTTGATGAAGGGCCAGAACTTTACCTCACCCCGCCAGGACCGGGCTTCCCCATCAGCCCGGCCCAACTTCTCCCACCTTCGTATGGAAATACAGAACAGGTTGGATTACAAGCCTCTGTGGCCAGATAATAAAATGGTTCTGACCTCACAGACGATAGATTAAGTTTGACAGGCGTAGAAGAGGGAAAGGGTTTGCAGACAATCCGAAGATCGTCTAAAGAAGAATTTAAAAAATGAATTATTGTTTAATTTGTTATTAAAACACATCCTACATGTTAGATTAAAGACATCTAATCGGTGTGGCTAACTTTTAAAGGGCCAATCTGTCAAATTTGATCTTAAAACTTTAACGTCCACACAAAGAAAAAAAATTCATTAAACATTTTATTCTGTGCACTTTTTATTCAATTTGGGCAACAAAAGTTATATTATAATGCAAATTACTAACAATATATAGAAAAATAATATTAGGGAGTTGTTTTGTTTAGCTTTTTTTTTCAGTTTTTCGGGGGAACTTTCTTAGTTTAATCAGTTTTATTTTCTAGGTTAAGCTTAGTAGAAGCTTCAAAAACATAAGGACCAAATTGAACTCTGACCTGCCGGTCAAAGGAAATCCACCTTTAGGCCATATTAGGACTGAATTTTATTTAGTCAAACTACTTGAAGCAAGAGTATTGAAAGTTTAAATGAAGTGACAGTTTGTATTTTCCCTGGCGATGGGGGCAGTACATAGCTAAATCACTGCAAGCAGGTTTTTTTTTTTTTGTGTTTGAGTAAGACTTTACCAACGGATGGCCATTAGGGTCAAAGGGTCCCAATCCCTGGGAGCACAACCGCCAGCTTAACGACAAGTACATCAGACTCCTTTCATCACTGGCAGCGAGTGAAGAGCTAAATGTGTAAAACAACAAATGGTGATTGTATTGTAACCATTTGTTACAAATCAGTAAACATGTTTTGTCCTCACGGGCTCCCGTAGAAGGAAACATGGCGGGTGTTTCTCAATGCCAAGGAACCTCGCCTTGATGTCTTGGCTCCACTCCAGTTGCCTAGGAGATACGTCATCAGGAACCGCCAAGGAGTGTTCCAATGTTCATGTTCTACCGAGGCATGTGTTCTCCATTTGTTAGCCGTTTAGCTAGCTGAGCAAGGATACACAGGAGGTGTCTTGTAGCCTAGCCTTGGTTAAAAATTACCCAGAATACACCATGGTATTTTCAAAAGGATGGTGGATCAGAAGCCAGCAGCTACTGCAGGGGCAAATTTCAAGTTTAAAAGTAAGTCAACTAATTTAAAATGTTTTTTTAGATCCAAAGAAGTTATCTGGATGGTTAGTTGCTTATTAGTTGCAGCTTTGATGGCTAGCGGGTAGTAACTCACTTATATATTTCATTTAATAAACATAAAGAATTTAAAAAGTAAAAGTCTTGTTATATATTTATATTAAAACTTCTACGTATAAAATATAACGTTATCTCCCGTGTCACCTGACGTCACGTGACCACCGTGGAAGCCACGGTCACGTGATGCAAGTCTGTTCCATTTAACCGTTTTCTTTGAACAAGGAAGGACAGTGTCCTCACAAGCAAGGCGCCTGGCCTCGCAAGACATCGCCTCGCAAGGCCAGGCGCCTTGACGCTGAAAAACGCCCAGGTGTTTAATATGGCATCAGCCAGAGACCTGATTTTTATGAATATATGTTACAAAGCCGCCGCTGGGCATCGTCTAATTCATTTTCAACAACATTTCGATGGATTTTTCCAGAGATTAATGGTAAAACTACACAATGTCTCTTTAAATGATCCTTTAACTCATCCTGAAAAATCAACTTTTGTTCTCTGCAAACTTACAACCGAAGATAATTTTCCAGTGAATCACATTAAAACCTTTGAGAAGCTTAGAGCTTTACCAACAGTAATGAACCGTGTTTCTGTGCAAGAGTCGTAAGTAATTACTTCACTCAGTGGAACAGTTTTAAAAGTGAAGGGATTTCCTTTTTGTTCTGCTGAAACAATCATGTAGTTTAAACTTGACGACAATGGACAGGACTGTGGAGCCGTTTTAACACAAACTCCCTTTGATCTTGGTCACACTCAGATTAGCTCATCAGTCCTTAATCCTCCCACTGTCTTGAACATGACATGAACATAACATCTATGATTACTTAGTCAGGTTTTCGTAGAGCTCATTCTACTGAAACAGCTCTTCTTAGGGTCTCTAATGACCTTCTGACTCACAGTGATGCAGGGGACTGTTCTGTTCTGGTCCTGCTGGACCTGACTGCAGCCTTTGACACTGTTGACCATCACCTGCGACTGGAGAGGCTCAGAGACTGGGTAGGCCTATCAGGATCTGCTCTGGAGTGGTTCTTCTCTTATCTTTCGGAGTGCTCCTTTTCTGTGGCCGTCTCCAAGTTTAGGTCCTCCACCACCTCCCTTACCCATGGTGTCCCACAAGGTTCTGTGCTGGGGCCTCTGCTCTTCCTCCTCTATCTGCCTCCTCTTCAGCACATCCTGAGCTCTTTCAAAGGAATCTCCCACCATCTTTATGCAGATGACATCCAACTGTACATCTCCTTTAAGCCCCATGAGATGTCTAAGCTACAGCTGTTATACACCTGCTTAGACTCTATCAAAACCTGGATGGCTGGGAGCTTTCTACAGCTGAATGAAGATAAGACTGAGATCCTCATCTGTGCCCCAGACAAGCTGGTTCCCAAAGTCAGAGACTCTCTTGGTCAGCTTGCTTCTCACACCAAACCTTCCGTCAGGAATATTGGTGTGACCTTTGACCCAGCTCTCACCCTGGATTCTCACTTCAGTTCTCTTGTTCGCTCTTCCTTCTTCCATCTCAGGAACATTGCTAAGCTGAGTCCCATTCTGTCCCGCTCTGAACTTGAGACAGTTATCCACACCTTCATCTCCTCACGCTTAGACTACTGTAACTCTCTTTTCACGTGTCTGAGCAGAACCTCACTGAACCGTCTACAGGTGGTTCAGAATGCCTGTGCTCGGCTTCTGACCAAGTCCTCCAAACACACCCACATCACCCCGCTTCTCCTCCAGCTTCACTGGCTGCCAGTCAACTTCGGGGTTCATTTCAAGATCCTGGTTCTGGTCTATAGGGCCTTACATGGACAAGCACCATCTTACATTGGTGATCTTCTTAGTCTCTACACCCCCAGCAGGTCCCTGAGGTCCAGTGATCAAAGCCTACAGGTTGTGCAGCGCCAGGCTAAAGACCAAAGGTGACAGATCATTTGCTGCTGTGGCCCCCAGACTCTGGAACTCTCTCCCCCTGAGCCTGAGATCAGTGGATTCAGTGGTCTCCTTCAAAAAGCAGCTGAGACTCACTTGTTCAAAGTGGCTTTTGTATGACCTTCTTCACCACTCTCTCTTTATTCTGCTCTCCCCACCTATTCCACCTTCCTCAGGATCCACTGATTTCCCTCTTTCTTCTTCTTCTTTATAGGTGACCCCACGAGGAAAGTTGACCATTGAGCAGGATTGATGGTTTATCCCTTGAGGTCCATGTGGCAGGGGTGAGGTGGTACTCACTCCTCACCCCTGCCACATGGACCCATGGGATAAACCATCAACTCTGCTCAATGGTCAACTTTCCTTGTGGGGTCACACCCATTAGGACAGTGGGAGGGTTAAACTCTATTTCTTTGAACAGAAGCTGATCAGAAAGCTCTCTACAAAGGATGAGAGGATCTATTCATAACTCACACAGACACGCTTCAGTATGGCCAAAAATGTCTTTTGTCTGATTAAAATCATTGTGTTGGCAGACAAGATTTGAATATTCTTCACTGTTATTATTTTTATTAAACTTGAATAAAATCAGTTTAAAAACATCCTCCAGGCTTTGGACAGTTTGGATTTTAATTTTAACCTTTAAACTGTGAATAAGACAGATGCGAAACATTAAAAAAGGACATAATTAAGGCTGGTGAGAAGGTCCTTGACCTTTCAGTCACATCTGGTGTTTTAGCTGCTCAGGTCCAATCAACACATCTTGAAAAAGGTGAATATTTCTATTAAACTGTATTTAAAACAGGTGTAAGCCAAACACAGGCTCTGTATGGATCATTACAAACTTCAAAATCTGTGTAGGATTTTGTTTTATTGCTGCTCAGAGAAAATGTGCCAGAACTGGTTGGTTGGGTTGAAGCAGAGAAACATTGTACCAGATGTAGACGAGTGGTTGTTTAGTGAAACCTTTGTTCGGATGTGAGAGCCATATCACTCCAACATTTGCCAGTGAAACCAGTCTGATGGTGGGTCAACTGTCCAATGGCAGGTTGGAGGGGAAAAGCTTCACCTGAGATCCGGTAAACAGACACTCAGCAGGAAGTTTTATAGTGAAATGAAAGATTTAGTAAACGTAAAAATCATCATGGTGGACAGCTGAGAGTTTCAGCGTGTTCACGATGATTCATGTGATGATTCTCTGGCGCTTGCTCAACATCATCAGTGCACTTTGTGCCGCTATCACAGCTGTGAAGCTTCTCATCTGGCCGCTGACCGACGCTCAGGCTGTACAGTAGGAATTCCTCAAATAGAGGAGAGGTGGGAGTGCTAGAGCAAGGGGTGAAAGGGAGTGTCTCTGATTTCTGGAATTAAACATCTATTTTCACAACGGCAGTTTCTTACTGGCAAATAGCTAAATATGTGCTTTCTCTTGTGTTTTAGTGATTGTTTATATGATTTATACTGTGATTTGATTTTTTCTTTTTTTTAAATGAATAAAATCTGACTTCAGGTTAGGGCAGCATAGAAATAATCCCAAAGCCACTCTAATCACATTCATACTTTTTAGATAAATAATCGTGTGATCGATCTTTGCATGGATGAATTTGTGTTTTTGAGTTTTAACAATCAACGCAACTCAACTTTAATGCAGTTGGAGAGCTGCCTTTGGTGTAAACGCAAGCATTAATTAGCTTTGATGCGGTTATCAGAGCTCCGTTTACTAGAAACGTGATGTTTTGTACTCATAGCTGCAGTCAGTATGTGGTTGTATCCTCACAAGTCATCTGACAGCAACACTGATAAGTACTAAAGTACATTCTGGTTACACAAAGCTGCAGTTGGAGGGGTTGGGATCTTATCTGCTGAAGCATGAGATGTTTTTTCATTGCCACCGCTGGAGATCTAAACAGAACGTTAGAACACTGCACAGTACAACATGCTCTTCTCTGTGACGTACGTCTCATTTTAAAACCAAAGTAGATATGATTCTGAACTTTTGACTCACAAATAAAAGTTACAGTGACACATGACCCTGGAAGTTTCTGTTAAAGTCTTCAAATGTTACTAAAGATAAGCATCGTCAGCATTACTGTTTATCCTTTTATGACCATAGATTCCATGTGTTTGTAACAGGTAAGGTTAAAGGAGCCTCTGACTTGAACAGATTTGAATAGCTTCCTAACACCTGGTGTTTCATGAGCCAAAGGCGGGTCCTGAACCCAGATTTAGGAATCAGCATCTAAGCTATAAGTGGAAATGCTTGAATGACAAAAGTAAATATGCAAATATTACCCTCTCAAGTGCAACTGAGCTTGATTGTTTTTAATCTAAACTCAAAATCTTGCATTCTGTGCTTTTTTTTCTACACTGATTCGACTCCAAATTAATTTTTAGTCCATAGATATATGGGGCATCAATTCTAATGAATAAATAAAAACTAACATCTGCATTTTGCAACAATCCACTCTTCAAAACAATGAAAACCAGGTGTGTGTGTGTGTGTGTGTGTGAGAGAGAGAGAGAGAGAGAGAGAGAGAGAGAGAGAGAGAGAGAGAGAGAGAGAGAGAGAGAGAGAGAGCTGTAGTTGAATGTTTGCTAAATATTTAGTATAAAACCATGTTTGTGTATCGATTTTATCGTTTAAATGTAACATTGTGTATTGAAATCTAAAACTTCATTTTAAACATCACATACATAGATTGGAATCTATTAATTTATATGCAATTTTAAATGTTCGTATTTACACAAAATATAGTACAGGCTAAATTACACTTTTAATATATAATTATACCAATACGTGTTTAGGTTTTGTATTTAAATATTGATATGTAAATGTGTAGCCTAGGCCTATTTGAACTAGGTTTTAAATATTTATTTTAAACATATTTGAAGTTTGTTTTTCCCACTGTATTTACAGTCGGCGCCTCATACAGACAGACAGGTTTTTGCCTCAATGGAAACTTTATTGTTAAAAAAAAAGAGAGAAACTCTTTGAAACTCTGACCTGACTGAACTCTGACAGGGGCTCGTTACTCCATACCTGGAGGACATAAATGACGTAAAATGAAAAGTCAGCTGTGTGATTCTCACCTCCGTCTCCTGCTCAGACAGCCCGCACTCCGCAGCGATCAACATCAGCGTCGTGCCGTCCGGATGTTTGGACACTTTGTTGAAGTTTTCCTCCAGAATTTTGATCTGTTCCTCCGACAGCGTCAGGCCACGTCCAGAGGCCATATTCCCACATGTACGTTGGGCCACTGCTGGTCTCCGGTCAGTTTGGCGGGGCTGGGATCTTCAGGCTGCGCGCAGCTGGGTGATGGAGCAGCGTGGATCCTGCGCTCTGACAGCTCGCTGTGTTGAGAGTGGATCATGTGTGCAGTCTCTTTACTACAGAGACCCATCCAGAACCGACCCGCCCACAGGAGGAGGAGGAACAAGATGCTGCAGCTCTGCTCAAGCAGCAACACAGCAGGGTTATTATTAGAGTTCATCAACATTAACGGATCATTTACTCCAGGCTTAAGGTGAGTGAAACGTCCTGAAGCGATGCTTATTTATATTTTTGCACATAAAATAAGTCATTTTTTTATACTAGTGTACTTTATTTACTAACAGACAGACTGTAGAACTAGACAATACATAAGTGAAGTCCTGCATGTGCAACTCCTTGTGATACTTTGGGCTTTGATTAGAACCACAATTATGGGTCTAATAATTATGAGTACACTCTCACTGAAAGGCTTGATTTACAAAGCTGCTGCGTGATCCTCGAGGATCCAATCTACAAACCAAGACATGTCTGAACACACTCCAGCATTTGTGTACTCATTAATACAACCTCATTTTAGCATTAAGGGTTTAAGCAACGAACCTGCCTAAACTCTGGAGTTATGGTGGTTGAAGGAAACATGTTTGAAGTTGTCCATTTTTCCAGATTGTTTTTCTTCCCAATAAATTGGAGGGAGGTGGCACTCCAGGTAGATAAAGAAGAAGAAACTATTTTTATATAGTGCCTCTTAAGATAAAAATCACGAGGCGCTTCACAAGAAAAAAAATAAAAAGCAAAAAATTATTTAAAAAAAACAAAGAGAAAATGAATAAGAAAGCAGTAATCAGTGGATCCTGGGAAAGCCATGTTGCCATTGACTGGTAAGCCCAGACCCCCATCCTGCCTTCCCCTTGGCTGCTAGTGAGCCCATGTGGAGGTGACTTTCTGCCTTTTCTGGCTGATCCCTTTAGGTGCCAAGGCTCAACAACCAGCTCCAAGATGGAGCTCTGCACCCCGTATTTTAGGCAAGATGTGCTTGTTTGGGCCCTATTTCATCAAGGAATATGAGTTGCTTTTGAGGCAAATTTCCATGGGATACCCCAACAGACCACTCTGGAATATAAGTCTCCTGTTCTTCTGGTCAGCTCATGGGTTGCAGCAAAAGGAAAAAAATGAATGCAAGTGAACGGGCTATGAAATCTACTTTCTAACCCGCTTTGCCTTACGCTCTGAATCACACATATGTGGTACTTCAGTTTAATTGAATAGAAATTATGTGAGTTTCGACTACGTCTGTCACATACTTTGAGATTTGTTAGCTTGTAAAAATATGTAAATAATATGACTACAAATCAGATGTTGCACATATGACGTCACCACAGAATCTCACTACATGCCAGATCTGTCTTGGGCAGCAGTAGCTCAACAGGTAGAGCGGGCTGTCCAGTAATCCGAAGGTTGCAGGTTCGATCCCAGCTCCGGACAGAGAATTCTGCTGTTGTGTCCTTGGGCAAGACACTTAACCCACCTTGCCTGCAGGTGGTGGTCAGAGGGACCGATGGCGCCTGTGCTTGGCAGCCTCGCCTCTGTCAGTGTGAATGTGTGTGTGAGTGGATGAATGATACACTGTAGTGTAAAGCGCTTTGGAGTCCTTACTCTGAGAGGCGCTATACAAGTGCGGGTCATTTATCATTTTATCATTCCCTGTGTTCAATGTCGTTCCGGAAGAAGAATTCAAAGCTCGCTAAACTTACAGCCATTTTCTTCTCCGTGTTTGGTTTGGTGACGTCCATATGGTGAAACGCTTTAGTAGTTCTACATGTCTTATCACACCAAACCAATAACTTTGCTGTCATTCCAACATAAGCCCTTCAAAATGCTTCTTTAAAATTCATGGACATCATATGTGAAAACCATGGCACATATCAAACAAGATTAGAAAATAGCTTTTACAGCCCCACTGACTTGCATTCATTTTTCTTTTTTCCGACAGGGACCCATGGTCCGGAAATAGATTTAGGCTCCCAATGCCAGTAACTGGGAAAAAAGATGCAATGCTGGGTTCGAGAATCTTGGTATCTTTTAAAGGAGTGACGGTGAAATAGAGTGAGAGATAGACTGATGGATCTGGGCTTTGTCTACAGGACTGAGTGTTGCTCTTAATTTACTGCTCTGTCTACATTCCAGCACTGGATTTGTTTCATAGCCAAGATACAAGAGGCTGACATGAACTTCCTCTGTATGACAGCTGATTCAGCCTCAGAGGTAAAGTGAGGCGCTCCATCATCAGAGTAGAACTGCATTGGGAGGATCTCCTGACCCATTCTAATATGAAACCCTGGAACTGACCCAGAAGCTCCTTTATATATCCTCATTCAGTCTGGGAACGCACGGGAGGAGCGGGATACCTGTTACCTCGTCAACCTGACCTTGGATAAGCAGTGGAAAATGGATGTATGAATGAACAAAGTCAAGGTAAATTTTATTCACATAACACATTTAAAACAGCTGTCGCTGACCAACATGCTTCATATGGGGAACTAATTATAATACAATAATAAAAATAAAATAAAATATTTAGAAAATGACCAAAAACAAAGTTACAAACCAGTGAGATAAAAATGTTTAGCACACTTCTTGATAAAAACCACTTCCTAAAATATGGTCATCATAAATGATTTTAAAATGACACACAAATAAAAAACTGTTTTTCTTCTGTTCCTGTATTGCCACAGCCATGTTAGCAACAGATAAAACACTTTCATCTGACAGACGAAGGGTGTTGGTAGGTAAAAAAAAAAAGCCTCTCAGGTGAGGTAGCACATGCTGAAGGTGTAACCTTTAAAAAAGGACAATGAAAGATGAAAAGCTCAGTCCCTATCACAGCATATGGTTATGGAGCTGATTACAAGCTGTCGGTTTATGATCCACAAACAGTAAAGAGTTGTGTGGAAAAGTCCTGGTTTCACAGCCGATTGGCTGCTGCCGATGGTTCATGTTTATCCGCAGATAAGAAAGGAAAACGATATCTAAATGACTCAAAGTTCACCTTGTGTGCCTGGGTGGAAATTATGTAAAGGTGGACGCGTTTTTACTCCACGTTTAATCGAGTTTATAAATATAACAGCTGGGTAAAAAAATGACTTTTAAAGCTTTTTCTTTAGTTTATTTTCCATAACTATAATTCTAATTTAGCGGGTTAATGGGTGCAGCAGTAAATCAGGAGGCTGTTCAGTAATTGGAGGGTTGCAGGATTGATCCCAGCTCCCTGTGGTGGTGCGTGTGCACCAGGGCAGCTGTGGCTACATTGTAGCTCATCACCATCACTGTGTGAATGGATGAATGAAATGCTATATTGCAAAGTGCTTTGGATTCATCTGATTCAGAAAAAATAAAATATAAATCAACACTTATTTAAACCCAGTCATTTTTATAGATATTGAGCTTTTTACATGCAGAACAGGCTCTCACTACACACAAACTATCAATAAAAAAGTGGTTTTGTCCTTAAATGTGTTGAATGATTTGCATTCTGATAAGGGTTTAAAGTTAAAGTCCCATAGTCACCACCACACACTGGTGAAATTTATCTCCACATTTGACCCATCCCCATGGAGGGGAGGGAGACGTTGGGTCCCATTTTTAAAGTTAGACTCGGCTCTAACTCGTGTCAACTCAGTGGTTCGGTCTTGCTTTTTCAGTTTTACGTCGCCTCACCAAACGCAAGCCTATGCTTTCCAGAATTCACTTGGAGTGTGTACTCCATATATTTGTGATCTCTAGGCTTGACTATTGTAACTTTCTCTATGCTGGGTTGGGTCAGACTATTGTGCATCACCTGCAATTAGTTCAGAACAGTGCTGCTAGGTTTTTGACTGGAACTAGGAAAAGGGACCATGTTTCTCCAGTGCTGACTTCCCTTCACTGGCTCCCCGTCTCATACCGGGCACAGTTTAATATTCTTCTTTTGTGTTTTTCCAAGGCAGTGCCCCACCTACTTAGTGGAGCTCTTAATAAAGCATGTTACGATAAATGATAAATGACCCGCACTTGTATAGCGCCTCTCAGGGTAAGGACTCCAAAACGCTTTACACTACAGTGTATCATTCATTCATTCACACACACATTCACACACTGGTGGTGATGAGCTACGATGTAGCCACAGCTGCCCTGTGGCCCACAGACAGAGGCAGGGCTGCCGAGCACAGGCGCCACCGGTCCCTCCGACCATCACCTGCAGGCAAGGTGGGTTAAGTGTCTTGCCCAAGGACACAACAGCAGAATTCTCTGTCCGGAGCCGGGATCGAACTTGCAACCTTCTGATTACTGGACAACCCGCTCAGCCTGTTGAGCTACTGCTGCCTAAGAAAAAAAACCTATGCCATATCTGTCTATGACCTATGTTCCCTCAAGGTCATTGCGGTCGGCTGACCAGAAATTGCTTATCGTCCCTCGCACCCGATTTAAGACTCGTGGTGATCGAGCTTTTCAAGTCCTTCACCCTCTCTCTGGAACCAGCTCCTGCTCACAATCAAACAGTTTCCATCACTGGCAGTCTTTAAGACTAATTTTTATAGGATGGCTTTCTCCTAAAGCTTTTGGTTTATGGTTTTTATTCTTTGTTTCGCTTTCATTTTTGTCAATTTGCGTTTTATTGTTCTCAGTAATGTCTATGTTCTTAATGTTTTTATGACTTGCTACCACTTTTTACCTTTGTAACTTCTCCTGTTCAGTGCCTTGGGCCCCCTTTGAGGGTGGTGGAAAGCGCTATATAAATAAAGCATGATGGTGATAATGATAAAGTCTTTGGTATGACCCAACCAGGAATCAAACTCCAAACTCTCAGTCCCAGGGAGGACACTCTACCACCAGGCTACTGAGCCAGCTGTTTTAAATGCCTTTATTATGTGTTACAGGTCTAAGAATGAGTGAATTTAGCTTTAAAACATGTTTTCTTCAGGCAACGTCTCACAAGCAGGATGTTTGGGCACCAACCTGACCACTGAAGAGGGAGATCTGGAGTAAAGCCAAAAATATCACTGGGTTAAATGTTCTGAAATGAGCCCGATCCTCCCCTGTAGATCCACAAAGGATCAGAAATGTGCAGTTGGTTTCTATTTATAAATCTCTGAATCCTGTGGGAAACAAGGAAAACTGATCTGAGGTTTTCTCAGCAGCCAGAAGCTTCTGTCTCCATTGTTTTACTCCGAGAGTCTTGTTTTCATTAGAGAGGCGCTGCAGGTCGTTACTGGCGCCCAGAGGACACCGTTCACGCTCGGCACACGGCCCTCACATAAGTCAGCTCCCTACCACTCCCAAATCCAACCAAAACATCTGGAGATGAAGAATCCAGTTTCCTCTGATCTGAAACGTGACTGTCGGCTCATTGTGAGGTTCCCATGAATCACTAAACAAACACCAGCAGTTTGAAGCTTCCTGGGACAAAATAATCTCATTTCACTTATAATGAGAACATTTAAGACACACTAACACCAGTTCAGACAGCAGATCTGAAAATATTTGAATGGCTGTAGCTTCAGACTTCAGACTACAATAAAACCAGTGTTAAAGGGCTCAGCCTGAAACAGGAGGCCAGATGGATTCAATAACAGGACAGAAGTTACCACCTATATTTCTTTTTTGTGCAGATTCACACATTTGGATAAGATTACGTCTAGGCGTGCTGGTTTACAGCGGCATGCGAGGATACATATTTAACACTTAAAATACTTAAGACTGTAAAGGTGATCAATGTTTGTGTAAGAACCACTGGGCCCATCCAGGAACTAAGATTTATACCAGGATGGTTTCAGTTTGGGTCTTTCTCATGGTCGTGTGTGTGTGTGTGTGTGTGTGTGTGTGTGTGTGTGTGTGTGTGTGTGTGTGTGTGTGTGTGTGTGTGTGTGTGTGTGTGTGTGTGTGTGTGTGTGTGTGTGTGTGTGTGTGTGTGTGTGTGTGTGTGTGTGTGTCTTTTAGGATGTGTTAAAGGCATGCAGACAGGCATGCAGCAAGGAGGAAAACAACATTACAGATGGAAACAACTTCCTCTCTCAGTCTGGAGGTCCACAGGAGTTAAGTGCCCGCCCCATAATCGGAAGGTTGCAGGTTCGAACCCCGCTCAGTCTGTCGCTGTTGTTGTGTCCTTGGGCAAGACACTTAACCTACCATACCTGCTGGTGGTGGTCGGAGGGACCGGTGGAGCCTGTGCACGGCAGATTTGCGTCTGTCAGTGTGTTCCAGGGCAGCTGTGGTTACAGTGAAGCTCATCACCACCAGTGTGTGAATGGGCGATTGACTGATTATGTTGTTAAGTGCCTTGGGGGGTTCCAAGACACTAGAAAGTGCTCTATCAAATGCAGGTACTTTACCATTTAACACATACAAAGGAAATAGAAACCTCTGAGAAAATGCTCATGAAGAACGAATCTCAAATGTCAGAATGTGTTGTTTCAATATTCTTCATGACTCACCAGGAGCCTTCAGGAAGATCTGAAACTCCACTGATGCTCAAGTTCAACAAGACATCTGAACTTTGTTAGTGTCTACACCCAATCAGCCAATCACACAGCTTGGTGCATTCAGGCACCTATATGTGGTGAAGATGACTTGCTGGAGTTCAAACGCATCAGAATGAAGAAAGGAGCTTGAAAGGACTTTGAACAGATCATGGTTATTGTGTGAAGGATATCTGAACCACAACACGTCCCTCCAGATAGACCCCAGCAGCAGAAGACCACACCAGCTTTCACTTCTGTAAGCTAAAAACAGGAAACCAAGCCTACAATTCACATAAGAACACCAGAACTGGGCCATTACACTTATTATTTCTATAGGTGTACCTCAGGGCTCCCTCTCGGGCTCAACTCAATTCTCTTTTAACATTAGTGACGCTGCCAAAGCTGCTGGTTATTTCCAGATTCACGTATATGCTGGTGAGACATACCATCTACTCAGTAGGTTCTTCTCCCACATCTGGGCATCTGTCTGGATTCATCTTTATTTTTCACCACTCATGTCAACAATCTGCAATCAAAAGCCAAAGCACAACTTTTCTTTTTTTATAATAAAGTTTCTTTTACTCATGCTGCCAAACATGCTTATTAAAATGACAATACTTCCAATTCTGGACTTCCTCCATCTTCTCATCTTCTGCCTCGCAGCAGCATATGGCTGGGTCATTTTACAAACCCAAACTTAAACTTGCAACCCAAACATCCATCACAACATTCTAATTTAACCTTCATCAGGTTATAGTTGACTGCTGCACCTAGATCACTCTTATTTCTATAATTTTACATGAATATTCATTCCTTTTTACACTGGTTTGTCTGCATTCCTGTATGCATGTGCATATGCGCTCACATGCCTGCCATAGCTTTTACTTGCTATGATATGTTCTCTGTTTTCTTTTCTTTTATATGTGCAAATGTAATTGTTGTTTTTGTTGCTTTACCTACAAGGTATCTCAACCAGGTCTTGTTTGGAAATGAGAACAGGCTGTCAAACATTTTACCAGGTAAAATAAAGGCTGGGAAGAAAGTCAAGGACTTTGCAGGATTTCTTTTCACTTTAGTTAAGGATACATTTAAAAAGAAATGTTGCAAAAAAAATTATGTTTTGTGATTGAGATGTTGTTGTTGTTGGTGGTGGAACGAATCGATAAAACCATTAAAAAGCTGAGCATTGTGCAGTCCAAAGCATCCAGTCTGACACACAGCAGATCTTGTTCTGAGCTTATCTTCATGGAGTAAACTGCTCTACAGACGCCGTAATCTTGGCTTCTCTAAAAAGCAGCTTCTGTGTTCGTCCTGTAAGCAAACAATGGGCTATTGTAGCACCGGATATACCTCAGATGGCTGCGGCCATAAGTCAAAATAAGGAGAAAAGTTCTTTTTGTGGTTGCAGGGAGAAAAAAGTTGAGTCTGGGTCCAGATAAGAAGCTGGTGTAGCTTGTTTGTATCCGTGCGGTCCTCCTGCTGAGCCAAGAGCCAGCTAAGCTGGATGAGGGTCTGTGTTTTGTCTCCAGGAGATTTAATTAGCAGAGCTCATTATTCATGGTTGAAGCCCAGAGTTTGACATTTCCATGAGCACAAAAGCCTGGCTTCCTACCACCTGTCTGTGAAGGCATCATTAATGCGTTCAGCTGTCAACACATCTCTTTTACTGCTGCAGCGAACAAACAGCCATGTTTGTTCAGCTTGATGCAGCAACTTGATGCTCATGAGCAGGACAACGGTCTGGCTTCTCCAACCTCAGAACTTGTGCAAGTAAAAAGGGTCCAGCTGAGTTTATTTTGATGAGATTTTCCTTCATAAATAAAAATTCAACTTGAGCTGTATAAAGAATATTTTGCCAGTGTCAGTTTGAACTTGTTAGAACTTTTTGAGAAGAAATTACACATCAGAATTAATGTCAATACAACTACAACAACTGATAATATTATATATACACATATAATTTGGCCGAAGGGCCTGAGTTTGCCACCTGTGGTGTAAAGAGGTGAAATTTGCATTCTTCTCACTCTTCTCTTTCATAAACACAAAAATTAAAAACTATTCTAAAGTGATGGTAAATTCACCAGAAAAATTACAACTAAATCTAGTTCAGCTCAGCTCTTTCTGGTTGTGTTTGCCGTGTTAGTGACTGTAGATCAGGGAAACAGTGACTTCATGGTTCTGAATGAATCCCAGAAAAGTTTGGGTGTGTGCATGTGTGTTTGGAGGAGAAGGGCTCTTTTAAACCTCATTTCACAAGTTCAGCTCTAGATCCCACTTGTTGTTAATGTAGAATCGTTGACATTGATGCATTTAAACTCAGCGCTCAATGTTTTTATCATCTCGCACAGCAAACATCTGGCATCACATGAGAAACAGCTTTCAGATTTAAGAATGTGTGTGAAAATCAGCTTTAAAAAGCCTGATGTGACTTTTCTAATGCCCCTCTCAGCTGCCTGTGGCCTGTTTCCCCCTCCAACGTGTTTATGAGCTGAACTTTCTAAAACAGGAAATAAATAAAATAAACAGATAAATGAATATGCCACTTTAGAAAGCATGCTGACTTGGCAGAGCTGGCACTGAAAATGTGACCGGACGAGGGGGGGTCAGAGTTCCACGAAGCAGTTTTCCATGTCAACGGCAGCAGTCGGACCATCTGGGACCCAGATCTGTTAGTGTGTTTACTGCAGATCTTTTTACAGATCATTCAGGGCTAGAAATGACTCAGTTAAAGAAAAACAGCACACATTCTCAAAGAGATGTTCTCTGAAATCAGAAAAATTACTAAAATGTTCCTGAATAAGTGGAAGAACCAAGTCAAGTCTGTGCAAGATTAGTTAAATTATCACACAGATGTTTCTCATTAGGTTAACTGTACATTACTTTACTAAAAATAAACATCCGGAAAGAGAAAAACATGTCCATCAAGAACTTTCTTCATTTTTTACTTTGTTTAAAGGTGCAACATGTAAGAATAAAGTAGGAATGACACCCTGTGGTTAAATGTTGTTACTGCAGTCCATTTTTCTCAACAAAAACTCACTACCTCACTACCGTTTAGTGGCTGTTGCCAGTTACGGATCAGTGTCAGAAGATTCTAGCTGATAAATGAAGAGTCATACACACTGAGTTGATAAGTAGATAAATTCATAATTATATCTGGTGTTATACTCTTGGGTGTTTTATGGTAGGGAGCTCTTACTACACTTATTACGGTAGTTTGCCTCTGGCATCATAGACAGTGCAGTTGTTTGCAGTCTTGCTGTGATAGCTCTAAACGACTCATTAAAGAAATTAAATTATTTTTCAGAAATCCCTAAAAGTGACCGTCTTATCATGTACTGTGATATAAAGTAAGCAATACGTGCTAAGCACGCCCCCTGCCCCGCAGAGCTCCGTGCAATAGGAAACTGAGCGCCGACCAGAACTAACCAATAGCGTTACTTTCCACGGAGTCGCTAGAATATAAATATATGAGAACACAACATGACATGAGAATAATACTTGTAAAACAACATATTTTAGCTCTGTTTGTTGCCTACAGAAGCTTGTTAATAAACAAGAAACATGAAGTCGCCATCTTAACTCATTCGCTGCCAGCCATTTCCTGATCGCTAAAGTCCTTCGCTGCCAGTGTTTCTCGCCATTTTTACTGTTTTTTTAAGAGTCACAGAACGTTGTGCGCTAGCATGATGTCGACGCCAAAACAACCAAAACAAAGAGTAGACTCACTTATTACATCAGGAAGAATCCGCGTGTTTCAAGCGCTATCCGTTCTTTCATAATACGTTGTTGAATTTTGATCGGCAGACACTTTTCCGGTTCGCGCCTCCCTTTTTTTATTACAGGAACGGCTCAAAACGATCTCCTAACACATGGATGTTCTGCTTCCTGATCACGTGACGTGTGACGTATGCGGATGAAGATCGGCTTCAGAGCTGAGATGTTTGTTCTCTCAGTGCGGGGGCTCATTCCGATGCCCAAACAGTAAAAAAAAAAAAAAAAAATGCAAACGCAGTGAACGGTTGGATTTAAAAAAACGACTTTAGTCGTCAATGGCAGTGAATGAGTTAAAAAAAACGGAGCAAGAGACTATTTGTGTGAAATGCTTGTTAGCCTTTAGATGGTGCCATCGGATAAAAGAAATACTCCAGAAGGAGACTTAAGGATCCTCGATGGTTTTTAAGCCACCAGACAGAACAGCATATTTCTCTGTAAATATTTTAGAAAGCAAGCTCAGCTACCTTTACATAAAAAAATAAGGGAATGTTTTATGTCAGAGCAATGATATATTCGCACAAACTCTGACCACCATTGACGTCACGTTTTTTGTTTTTTTGTTTCTACATATTTCCTCAAAGATGATAAATTCTCATATTTTAAATCTACTTTCATGTTAGAGTACAAACAGTTCAGAATATTTCAAGTCCTTGTTATAATTGTGCTGATTATAATTTATAGCTTATGAAAAACACAAATTGTAAATCTCAACTAGAACGTTGTGAATGGTTCAATATTCTAGACACAAAGTGTCCCATTCTAATAAGCTAATGAGTCCAGAACACCTGCAAAGGGCTTCTGAGCCTTTAGATCACGGGTCCCCAACCTCTGTAAAGCTGAATGCTGATTCATGGGTACTGAGCCACCCAAAGACCTACGAGGTTGATAGAATAGTGACTATGGTACCAGAATAAAAATAATTTATAAAAAACATATTTTGATGTTTATTAAGAAAATAAATTTTTGAAATCTATATTAATGCATTTGGCTGCAGATTTTTCTTTCTTTTTTTCATTTTAAACTTGTGCTACTTGAAGAGGCCTGTAGGCACCTTAAATGGTTCATTGGGGCACCAGGTTGGTGACCCCTGCTTTAAATGGTGTCTCAGTCTAAGCTAAATTACTGAAATTAATGGACTTTTGCACCATATTCTCATTTTTCTAGTTTCCCCTGTAACATCAAGAGCCTTAGGGCTGGACCAAGTTGTGATTATAGGTGCAAAATTCAATAAAACACAGAATAGTTTTACAAAATGAACTAAAACGATCATAATACGTCATATTAACATTACATACAACTTGCCTGTTTGATCGTTGTTCATTCTTAGATACAGGAATAATTGAGTATTTTCTATGTCCTCTTTCTTATTCAGACCGGGTAAAGAATAAAGTAAATTCTGTAATTTTCCTTATTTTTATAGACTGTGAGCAAAGCCAAACTTGGACTTATTCAGGAACTGAAAACTTAACCGATTTTACTCAGCAAAAGTTGTGACCCTTGCAAACCTTCAGTACATAAGTCTTTCTGTATAAAGCCACGCGTGTTAACAGTTTTCTTCAGACGTGTTTGAAAAAAATATTTTTTTTTTGCTGTGATTGTGCAGCTGCAGCAAAAACAGAATGTTCCAGTTACTGAAGAACGCACCAGCAGAGCTAATCTAACGGTTGGATCAGATAATTCATCATAAATAATAAATGTGCAGCAGGTCAGTTCCCTGACAGAGAAAGCATCTTATTTACTGAAAGCAGAATCTCTGATAACCTTAAGATGCACTTGAATAATTAAAATAACAGCACACTCAATAAAATCAGTTGTTTTTGTTTTTATTTAATAAGCTGGTTCATAAATTATCGCACATTAAAGATTCTTTTCAGTAGTTACAAAGTGGACAGAGATTTTATTCAGCACCTGGAAAAATAAACAAGATTGCAGAGAAGTGACAGTTTATAACAGATGAGGAGTTACCTCTGCCGAACCGACCCGAGTCAGCGTTTTACATCCAGACATGCTGTTTGTTTCTGTTCAAAGCACATGCCCAATTCTTGATCCTGATCTCCAGTGTCTTAAAAATGTAGAAATAAAAACAGAAAACATTTATCCTCCCAAAATGACAAAAACTCACAAGTTGACTCAGACAAACAAACTAAACGCAGTGAAGTGGCATCTTCTTGGCTCGTGGCTCCTCTCTTCTCTGTAGCGACGGATCAGATAAGATCCAGGTTCGATGGAGGCTGAGAGGCTGTTTCTGTGTAACAAAATCCCAGATTCTTCATTCATTTAAATCTTTATTACCACCTAAAAGCTACCTCCTCCTCCTCCGATGGTGGCGCAGCAGTGGACGTGATGAGACTGAGGATCGGGGACCAAACTCTCCTCTCTAAACTCTTCTGGAGGGCCGGTGGCGGCGACCCATCACTGACTAACGCTAGCTTCCATTCCATGAGGACCGAGTCGCTTCTCGCTCTGTTGTCAGAATTGTGGTGGCGGGTTTTCCATCGGCATGTTAGGAGCCTACTTGGACATCTGCTGCTGAATGTGCTGCAGGAATTCAGAGTAGGAGGAGGCGGAGTCACACCGGTCCTCCACCAGGTGCTGAAAGAACGTCGCTTTGGCCGAAGCATCGTCTCTGTGGCAGAAACAGAAAAAGGCTTCATGTCACAGACATTAAAGCTGCAAAACTACCAGAAACATTTTGAGGGGAAAAAAAACCCAAATACCGTGACTGAACGTTGGTTCTAACAATCAGTAATTTGGAATAGAAGCATCATTTTCTTTTGTTTCTTTTGCATTGCTAACTAAGATAAAAAGTATTTATTAGCCAGAAATAAGATTTTCTTGCTTTTATTTTAAAGGTGCGGTATGTAAGAATAGAGTGAGAATTTTACAGTGAGAAAATTCCAAGAGTCTAATGTTCCAGTCATTTAGGAAGGAAGGGTATACTGAAACATATTTCATATCCAGCTGGCTGCGGGGATTGTCAGTTTTTCTCCTTTCAAAACAAAGGAAGGAGGGACGTAACTACTGTTTACCATCAGTGAGTGTGGGGGTGCCGTGCCTCCTGTGAACTAAAACTGCAGCGCAGACAATTGTAATTTGACGACAGCCGGCAAAACCCTCCAGAGTTGTTTAAAGTGACTGCAGTAACCAAATTTTACCACAGGATGTAATTTTTACTTAAATTTCTACATAATGCTCCTTTAAACAATCATATGTATGTTGTCATTTTCTGTGATGCTGAAACTTCATGTGAGCATATTTCGTTGCTCGAGTAGAGACGTTTAAATATCCTTGATGAAGCAATTTCACAAAAACAAAAGTCCTCAGACATTTCTCTGGAGTAAACATGAGCTTTTATTCACCTGGAATTAAACCTTTCTATTCTAAATTTGCTCTTTTGAAAATAACTTATTTACTCCAGCAACACAACTAAAGTTAAAGAGATAATTTTAAACAAAAAGATCAAATTTGAAAAGTATTCACTATATCTGTTAAAACTTTACATTTTTAGCCATTTCTGACTTTACTAAACAAACAAAAAACAGGACCCATCAGCTAATTATGTGCTAATGCTGAGAGCAGCAGTTAATGAGGTGCATGAAGCCACTTTTAGCCTGGCTGTTGTTTCACCTTACCACACAAACAAATACCAGTCAGTCCATTGGTAGTGACATCAGCAACGGCACAATGGTGAAAACATGTGGTTGAGCAACAATGCTGCACCACAAACGGCAGAGGAAGCTGAAACAATGAGCTCCCTGTAGATGTTTTTACTCCTCGGATCACGCCGTGTTTAACTGGAAATACATTTCAGTCTCTGGCATGAAAGTGTCCACGCCCTGTTTGTGTCTGGCTTCAGATGAGGACAGCAGCTTGTTAGTCTGGTGCTCAGAACACAGATGGTCTAACACCTGACGCTGTCATTTAGCACTGGTTATCAGATTCATCTTCAGATTGATCCGGTCCCTCCTGCTCAGTTTGCAATAATGAAAAAGAAACAGAAGAAGAAGAGATGACCTTGAAGCTAAAGCTGGAACTAATAGAAGTCCCACTGAGATAATAACAGAGCAGATGTGTAGGGATATTTGATCCACATCAAAAATAAAAATAGTAAAACCACTGGGCTGACTGCTGGTGAGGGTTTGGAGACACAACATTGTGAGACAGTATCCACATTTACAGCTGGAATCAGAGTGAGTTTACGTTTGGCCGGGTCACGTGGGACACATGAAGACGACGATAACTGATAATTATCTTGTTGTTTAGCGGAAACTATGTTTCTATGAAAAAAATACAGTCTCAACAGAATAAGGGAGGGAACTGATTGGTTTTTATCAACATCAATGCCATTGTAGATTATATCAATGAATCCAATTCATGATCAATTAAGAGTAGTTCTAAAGATTAATTGCACAGTCTCGTGCATTATAACTGTCAGTTTACTTATGATAAATAATCAGTTGTACCTGCTATTGTTTGGAAAGATATTTCCAAATGTTCTCTTTCATGCTCCTTGTGAAGTCATCTTCTTGTACGGTGTAGTGTTGCAGTAGCTTTTGCAGAATAAGCTAAACCTCTCCATAGGTACGGCTTTAGTCGCTGGAGTCTGCCAGTGTGGACGTGTGCATGAAAGGCAAATTATGCTAACATGATAGCAGTGTTAGTTGATTAGTTACCTGTAGTATAAACAGGAGAGGACGTGCAAACGCCGCTGATGTGTTGAAATCCACCAGTCCAGAGCAGGTCAAAAACATGACATTCACTTTATCGTCAATTTTGTGCACAAATGCTTTTGCATATTCAAAGTGTTTCCTCCCTTTGATGAAATATCTACTTTGCAAGAATTGCAAGTTTCCATGTTGTCATCGTTTCTTTTAAAGTATAACCAACGTTCTAGTGTTTGAGCAGCGTAGGCGCCATGTTTCCTAATGAGTAAATGCGTAAGCTACGCAACGTGCATCATTCACACTGATCGGAATTGATAAGAGAATTGTTTGCAAAACTGGCAAATGATTCCTAGGAACTGGTTTTCGATTCCAAACCCAACACCAGAATGTGGCTTTTTTTTTTAGATATTAGAATATTTTTTCTGTGAAATTATGTAGTTTAAATTTTTTTTTTACTTAAAATACACCAGCAAAAAGAAATATTCAACAGCAAAAATTCTACTACTAAGGAGGTGACCTCCTAGCGACCCAAGTCAAAGCTATCTTGACTGGTATCACATGACACTGCAACGAGACTGCAACACATTGTGCGCCCAGCCGAGAAGGTGACTGGCTGCAGTCTTCCATCTCTCCATGACCTGTATGCCGCAAGGACCCGAGTGAGAGCAGGCCGAATTGCAGGTCACGGACTGTGTGAGACACTTCCATCTGGCAGGAGGGTATGATCCATCAGGACCAAAACCTCTCGTCACAAAAACAGTTTCTTCCTCTCTGCCGTCTGTCTCATGAACACTCGGTGATACCTACATTAACCTGCACGTTAAATACCAGTCACTGTAATAATATGTTTGCACTGTTTATCCTGCAGCTAATTATACATATTATCCATCATTTATTACCTTCTATGTGTTTTTTTTTGTGTGTTCATGTTGCACTTTATCACTGAAACAAGTTCCTAGTCAGGGAGCTGCGTTCAATGACAATGACAATAAAAAATCTTCTGATTCTGATGATTTGTAATTTGATTGGTTAATAGCTACTTGACTTGATCAAACAATGATTACTTTGGCTTGGGTCACCAGAGGGTCATTTCATTTGCTGAAAATTTGTTGTAGAATTTCTACAGATTTTTGCTTGTGTATTTTATGTTGAAAAAAAATTCAAATACCTAATTTCAAAGAATGAAAATTCAATGTCTAAAATAATCATCTACTCGTGAAACTGCATTTCTTCCAGTAGTTCCAGTTGTCTGAATTTACTCTCTTTCTATAGGAGGATCTTTTTTTACATTACGTTTATGTTTTTTTACATTGCGTCACGGGACTGGGTGGCACTGGGTGTTTCAAATGTTAGAAGCACAAACATGAGGCCCAGCAACCCAGAACAGGAAAATGGAAAATGTGTTGACTTATTTTAGAAATTCACTCTTGAATGTCATTCACAACCAACAGATGCTGGCCTTCCATATGAACCTGGACATCTGTCCTCGGCTCCAGACCCTGTAGCATTTTCTGTTTACTTTAATCTACATGACTCTCTCTCAATAGAGGCCAACGACTCATCAAGGGGTTGCGAGGAGGAGTAATCAGAGTAGTTTCTGCTCGTTAAACAACAACAGACAGCTACAGCTTATAAACGTGACTCTCCCATGTTCCTGTTAGAAGAAGAAGAAAATGTATTTTCTATAGCGCCTCTCAAGATAAAAATCACGAGGTGCTACACAAAAACAAAATTGTAAAAATATAACAAATAATTTAGAAAATGATTAAAAATATATTTAAAATGAGCAAAAAATAGACGTTTGTGATTAAAAAATGTAAAGAAAGAGAAAGAGTGAATAGGAAAGAGGGAAATCAGTGGATCCTGAGGAAGGTGGAATAGGAAGGGAGAGCAGAACAAGGAGAGGGTGATAAAGGTCACACCAAAACCAGCCTGAACAGGTGAGTTTCTGCTGCGTTTTAAAGGAGTCCACTGATCTCAGGCTCAGGGGGAGAGAGGTCCAGAGTCTGGGGGCCACAGCAGCAAATGATCTGTCACCATTGGTCTTTAGCCTGGTGCTGCACAACCAGTAGGCTTTGATCACTGGACCTCAGGGACCTGCTGGGGTGTAGGGACTGAGAAGATCACCAATGTAAGATGGTGCTCGTCCATGTAAGGCCCTATAGACCAGAACCAGGATCTTGAAATGAACCCTGAAGTTGACTGGCAGCCAATGAAGCTGGAGAAGAAGCGGGGTGATGTGGGTGTGTTTGGAGGACTTGGTCAGAAGCCGAGCACAGGCATTCTGAACCACCTGTAGACGGTTCAGGGAGGTTCTGCTCAGACACGTGAAAAGAGAGTTACAGTAGTCTAAGCGTGAGGAGATGAAGGTGTGGAGAACTGTCTCAAGTTCAGAGCGGGACAGAATGGGACTCAGCTTAGCAATGTTCCTGAGATGGAAGAAGGAAGAGCGAACAAGAGAACTGACATGAGAATCCAGGGCGAGCGCTAGGTCAAAGGTCACGCCAAGATTCCTGACGGAAGGTTTGGTGTGAGAAGCAAGCTGACCAAGAGAGTCTCTGACTTTGGGAACCAGCTTGTCTGGGGCACAGATGAGGATCTCAGTCTTATCTTCATTCAGCTGTAGAAAGCTCCCAGCCATCCAGGTTTTAATAGAGTCTAAGCAGGTGTATAACAGCTGTAGCTTAGACATCTCATGGGGCTTAAAGGAGATGTACAGTTGGATGTCATCTGCATAAAGATGGTGGGAGATTCCTTTGAAAGAGCTCAGGATGTGCTGAAGAGGAGGCAGATATAGGAGGAAGAGCAGAGGCCCCAGCACAGAACCTTGTGGGACACCATGGGTAAGAGAGGTGGTGGAGGACCTAAACTTGGAGATGGCCACAGAATTGACAAAGCTCCTCGGAAGAGAAGCAAAACGTCTTCAAGAGACCAAAGAAGTCCAGTTGCCTTCATTTGAACCCTTTTGGATTACCATGACCTGGACGACTGAGAACCTTCAGCAGCATAATTTACTTAAAATTAGAAATCTGCATAAAAAATTGAAACTTCCACAAGTAATTTCCTAATGACTTCATCTTCACCTTGTGAGAACATTCAGATTTATGAGATTAATGTTGTGCAACAAGCACCCAGTTAGACACTAAAACTAAACTGTGACGCAGCTCCACAAACTAGCCTCAACATCTGAAGCAAGGACCTCCAGCAGGTAGTTTATATCTGCTTGTGTGTGTAAAGAAAACAAGCCTAAAATGTAATTTTAGGTGCAAATTATCTTAGTTGATATCAGAAATGCATCTCAAACTGTTTTTAATGATAATCTGAGGTCCCTGATAGAAAACTCATAAATGGTTTACCAAATTTCATAAATGTTTCAGGGGAAAATGCCCAAAATGTCTGCATATGTCCCCGTCTGACACTGAAAACCTGAACTGGAGGAGATAAACTTGTTCACACACAGAGTCAGGCAGACGTGGGTCCAGATGTGCTTACTTGACGACGTGGATGGAGGCGCTGAAGGCTCGGTTGTCCTGCAGCCAGTCAAGGAATGCTCGAAGCCTCTCAGACAGAGGAGTCTGCAGCTCAGGAATGTGACTCTGCGTTTAACAGGGAGAATAAGAGCAGAGGCAAAAACATCAGCCAACACAGTTCTGCAGACATCATGGATTCACGCCATCATCACGCAGTCGTCAGCAGAAGCAGGCACTCGGCTGGGAGGGAGGCTGTGGGAGTCCACCCTCTTTCTTTGGGTGTCACACACAGCGTTGATGACACAACTTTCTTAGTCAATGCAGTTTGTTAAAAAGCAGAACATGGTTTAAAAATTGAGCCATTTTCAGGGAAATGATGCAACATTCACAAGAAAGCAGGAAGGCGTTTGTTTGGAATCTGATTTCCTCTGAAATGTCCTGATTTACTGGTTTTAGATGAAAGCTGGATGTTTATTCTACTCATACAGCCCACTGACCATGTTGGGGGGTATTGAGGCGTAGCTGGGGCAGCCTAGAACGTCTCTGATGAACATTTCATTGCAGCTTTTGCCGATCCACAGAAAGAACACCTGGAAGGGCAGAGGGGGACACAACAACACATGTACATGAGTCATCAAAACTCAACACGATCCCACTTTAAACAGAGGTCACTACTAAACCCACTTCTAAATAAATCTGAAGCCTGTGAGGACATTGTCCTACATGGTTCAAAGATGTCCTGCGAGAGACCCTCTCACTCTGCTAGCTTGACAGGAATGACTCAAAAGATTTCACAAACACTTTATTTATACAGTGTTGGGAACAGGTTGAGCGGGTCGTCCAGTAATCGGAAGGTTGCAGGTTCGATCCCGGCTCCGGACAGAGAATTCTGCTGTTGTGTCCTTGGGCAAGACACTTAACCCACCTTGCCTGCTGTTGGTGGTCGGAGGGACCGGTGGCACCTGTGCTCGGCAGCCTCGCCTCTGTCAGTGCGCCCCAGGGCAGCTGTGGCTACATTGTAGCTCATCACCATCAGTGTGTGAATGTGTGTGTGAATGGGTGAATGATAAACTGTAGTGTAAAGCACTTTCGAGTCCTTAAGGCTGATTCATGCTTCTCCGTCTGCGTCAGTGCGGAGACACGCAACGCCATTATCTGTCCTTGCGTAGGGCTCCGGCAGGCACGCAAGTACGTACGCAGTCGAGCCCACTTTTTTAAACATCCGTCGAACGAGATGGACAACGCAAGCTTGTGATTGGTCAGGACGCCGCTGTTGTTTACACCGCCGCCATTGCGCCCTCAAAAACATAAAGAGAGCCGAGGATAACAAGCGGCAGACACGGAGAAGCTTGAAGAATACCTCACGAAAAAACTCTAAAAACATGAACGTTTAATTCCCCCGTGACTGGAGGAGTGAAAAGATGCGCAGCAAGTGTTTTATTTGTGGACAGAAATAACAGGAAACGTGGGTTTAGAGGTGGCGAGCGCATGAAGAGGTGGAGGAGAATGAGAGACAAATATGTCCGTGTTAAAAGTCTCTTATATACACAAAAAAAAACAATATAAACACACTATCTTGGACCGATACATGACAGGATACCACAGAACAGCGCTACGCCCTCTGCTGTCCTGCCGAGGAATTGCTTTGCAACACTCTCCAGGAGACGGAGAAGTATGAGAGCAAAACGCTTCCGTCAATCCGTCATCTCCTTGCGGAGCTGACGGAGAAGCATGAACCAGGCTTTACTCTGAGAGGCGCTATACAAGTGCGGGTCATTAATCATTTAAATATGAACTAGCACAAAGCTCACTTCACACATTTCATAATGAACGAGTTCAGCTCATGGTTCGCATTTCAAATTTTAACCAAGTTCACAGTTCCAAAAATAAACTAGTTTATAGTTTTTTTCTCCAGTATATTGCAGCATGCGGTTACCCGCACTATAACAGCATTTTCCATTTGTTTCCACCCATTCAGTCCATTCTTTGTTTGCCCAAAGAAAAAGAAAATTTATTGAACTTGGGTCATAAAGTGCAATCAGCCCAAATGATTAAGCAGATAAAAAAAGCAAAACTAATAAATAAACGCAAGTGGGACTATGAGGATTCTAGTTCTGAGAGCAGCTACTTTCATCTGAAGGTTCACGTTCTCCTAGATGAAGAACCATCGATGAGATGAGCAGCGATCTCCTACGATGAGAGTTGATGTTGGATCACTGGAGAAGGAAGTGTCTGGCACAACGTTTAAACTCTCTAGCACGTTACTGTTCTCTCAAACATTACGGAGCATTGATGAGCCATATGCTAAGAGCAAAATAAAAGACTCTACACACAGTTGTCATCAACACCAACAGATCCTCTGAAAGGCATAAATAAGTCATATCATGAGTCCTTTGACAATGTTCCAGAAAAGTATGCAAACATATTAAACATTTGTGGGAGCCTCCAGGTTTGTAAAGAGAAGGTGACTATTAGTTTAGCTCTAGACAACCTGAAAGAAAGCAGCTTGATGTCTGCCCACACCTCCACAGCAAGCCTGTGACAGGTGTTATATGTAAGATGGCAGCACAGCGCTGAGCTCGGACGAGTACCCCCCTAATTTGTGTATTTTAGAACCTCCGAATAGATTTAAATCACATTGTTTGAGCTGATTTGGGACAATAGTGGACATTGAATCGAAGAGGGAGCACCACTATAAATATGGTATGAGGAGTGGAGCTAAAACAAAACCATAATCAGATTACAGAAAATAATTTGGAATCTAAACAGAGTAGAAGTCGGTCCTCTGCATCACTAGCTACGTTTACAAGGGCATAAGTAATCAGAATGAATGCCCCATCAGATAACAAGTTCTTCATGTAAACATGTCAATCAGAATATTCCGATCTGATACGGCCCGATCAGAATGAAATTCCATTCCGATTGAAAGAGGTGGTTTTGTCCGATCACCATTCCGATTGATGTCCGTGTACACACCCATTTGGATTGCTGGAGTAGAATAACGCCCATTGCGCATGTGTGGAACTTCAGCGTGACGTCTTTCCACCTTTGCCGACGCTCAGGACAAGTCGAAAAAACAAAGGTAAACAGAAGTGGTCTGCTGCAGACACTTTCTTTTACTATAGAAGCTCAATATCATTGAACACCTCGATGGCCGAAAGGCTAGAAATGCTTAGTTATACACTGGATAGTATCTAAAGATGCAGGAAGCGTGGATTCACCGAAGTATCGACCAAATCAAAAACAGCTGGAGAAGTGTGAAAGCGGCGCATTACAAGGCAAAAACTCTAAATGGCTAAAGTGGATCTGACCCCGCCAGCTTTGAATTCTACGAGCAGATGGACGAGATGATTGGGAATAGGCTGCCGTCTAACTTGTCCACACGGCGTGGATGTTGGTCTGGAGAATGACGAAGACTCCAACTTGTAGTTTCTTGGAGAAGATCCGGGAATGACCACTCTGCCCATGCTCAACCTATTTAATCGGATTGAATTCCTGATGTGCGTATGCTCACGGCATGATCGTATCATTCCAGTTAGTGTGAATCGGAGAGGGGAAATTTGGCGCATGTAAACATTGCTACCGTGAGTCAGAAGGTCATTAGAGACCCTAAGAAGAGCTGTTTCAGTAGAATGAGCTCTACGGAAAACTGACTGGAAACAATCATAGATGTTAAGTTCATCAAGTGCAGCTGTGAGTTGTTTAGCCACAACCTTTTCCAAGATCTTGTAGGTGAACGGAAGTTTAGAGATGGGTCTGAAGCTGCTATGGAGAGATGGGTTGATTAAGGCATTTTTAAAATAAGCAGGACGTGACCAGAAATGAGAGAAGCATTAATTATAGAGAGCACGCTGGGACCGATGGGTTGAAATGCACTTTTAAACAAAGATGAGGGTAAGATGTTGAGGGGACATGCAGAGGTCTTCATAGAGTTAACTAGTTTGGTTAATTCAGGCAAAGAAACAGGAGCAAAATGATGTAAGATAACGGGCCGGGTTGGAGTCAGAACAGGCAGAGATACGGCTGATGGTCAGGCTAGCTAGATCTATCCTTATTGAATTTATCCAAAAAGAAAAACAGGAAGTTTTTTTCTACTAGTCTAGCCGTTTCCTGGATGCTAAATCAACAACAGCCTTCCCCGTCACGAGTTAAGATGGGTGAGTCCATGAATGTTAAGTGACAGTGTGACGTAGGTCTGTCAGGCGTTTCTTGACTTTCACCGTCTAATTTCTATCAGAAGCTAATGCAGGAGACGAGGTGTAGGAGCCTATTTTCATGTTCAAACTGCATGATAAAACTCTGAATGACGGATTATAACCAGAAATAATTAAAAGATGTTTTATTTAGTTAAGCTGATCTTTAAATTGCAAACAAAATGACAAGAGTTACTACAGCGGACATATTAGAAAACTCTCAACAGACTTGGTCCCCGGAAGCACCAAAAGTGTTGATGAAATTTCTGTTTGTTAAGAGAATTTGTGAAAAATATAAACAATAAATAAATGAATGAATGAATGAATGAATGAATGAATGAATAATCCCCAGACTATCATCTAAAGGATGTTTACTCTATTCTCTCAAAAAGAAGCTGCTCAAAAGGCATCTACAGTAACTAAGGTAGAACCTGTTTTAACACAGACGTGACAAAAAGCCACAAATTCTGCTTTAAACAAGGTTCCCTTCATGGGAACTTGGGTTCAAAGGTACAAAGAAATCCTTACGTTGCCGCAGTCCATGAGGAAAGCTCCATCTCGGCTAAGCCGCTCAGCAGAAAGGTGCAGCAGATGAGGCTGAGGGACGATGGAGTCGTTCAGATGGAGCGCCCCCTGCAGGTCAAGCAGCAAGTGAGCTCTAAGTGCATCAGAGAGCTAATTTATGGTCACACTGACAAAAAATAGAATTAAAATGACCAATAATACAGACACTGACGCTTCATACACGACTATACAATTACCGCAGCTCAGGCGGTAGAGAGGGTTTAACAGTGACTGGAGGATTGGAGGACCCCTTGGGGGTTCTCCAATATTAGAAGGCTCTGTATCAAATACAGGCCATTTACGATTTCACACATCTAACTATAGCAGTTACGGATGTAGGAGTGTTCAGGTAAACAGATTCAACACATCAACTTCCCTCCATTTCACCCTGTGTGTGTCCCACCTGGTCAGACATGTTGTCCAGCCTGTAGAGGTCAGGATGGACCATTCTCATCAGCTGCTGCAGCGGCTGCGTCTTAAACTCACACATGGCGAAGACGCGCTCATCCAGACGTGTGCTGGTGCCCGTCCGCAGCGCTTTCTGCATGGAAACATAATTACATTTTAAAGGAGGCCAGTAAAATTATAACAGCTAAAATCATTTATAAAAAGCTTTTGTTACTTAAAACTAACTAAAAATGTTTATTTAATAACAGAGATTACATCATCTGGTCAACACTGAAGTTATTTGTTTCAGAAGACTGTGCTTGAACGTGGACACACCTTGTGTGTGTGTGTGTGTGTGTGTGTGTGTGTGTGTGTGTGTGTGTGTGTGTGTGTGTGTGTGTGTGTGTGTGTGTGTGTGTGTGTGTGTTACTACTGGTTTAATGAGTCTGCTGCTTTTAAACTTTGTTGTGATTTGGCGCTGTATAAAAAAGCTGAATTGAATTGAAAAACAAAGTCTTTAACAATGAATGTGTGCATATTTTGGTGTTTTTCTGTGACTAAAACTTTGCAGTAGAGCTATAATTAGACTAAAATATCTAGTTGTGATGATAAAGTTCACTTTAAGGTAATCAGGAACACATTCAGATTAGGGAGTGTTCCCATGAGGAAAACAAAGCTGTGTGTTTTGAGATTTTGTAGTTCAGCTCGGGGCCATTTTCAGGGTGTGTGACGAAGCAAATGAGTCACACTGTTGTAGCTTAAAAGTCGATAACACAACACTCAGGCTCATGTGTTAGGTGCACAAGAAATCCTCAGTAAGAGGCTGTGTTATGAAGGCAAAGCCACAGCAAACATATTCTCAGTTCATTTCTGACTGCTGCATGTCTAAAGCTAGTGATTAAGCTGAATGTGTGTTTCTGCAGCTGCACCTGTTTGAGGAGAGCAAGGATGTAGAGGGGGAAGAGGCGCATGACAGCAGGAACCACCAATCCAGACTGCTGCAGGTTCGACACGCTGCTCTTATAGGCGCTCACAAAGTCCACGACAGCGTTGACCAGCGCATCACGGGCATCAGACAGGCTGGAGGATATGGAGCGATCGATGGCTGCAGCACAAGAATAAAAATAAAACAAGAGGGCTTTGATTTCATCGTCCAGCTTACTCGGTAGTAATAAGCTAAGATGTGCAGGAAATATGTGGCAACTGAACACAGAAAACCCCAAGACCTCATGTTGGACTAATCATAATAAAACAATGAACATAAACCCAGATAAACCGGAAGATTTGATGGATTTTTACATCAGACTCACCCATGTTGGCAAGCAGACATGTGACAGCTTGGACATCTGCTCCGATGTAAACGTCAGTCAGCTGACTGACCACCGGCAGACACAGTGTGTGAACTCTGATGCGCCTTTTTCCTGCAGCCACAACAAAATTATTCAGCAGTTCAGACACAATTTTTTATTTAAACTAAGGTAAAAATCAGGAGAAAATAAAGAATCAAGTTTTCACTCATTCTTAAAAGTGTGGTTGGCTGAAAACCCCATTTTTAATGATTATTTCTGATTATAATCGGTCGCTGAGCTTTTCATGCGGGCTGAACATGAAAACAGACTCCTACACCCATCTCCGGCATTAGCTTCTGATAGAAAACAGACAGTGAAATGCTAGGATTTGTAAATCCTCACACTGTGATGTCACACTGTGTATTTGCATTGATGGCCTTGCCCATCTTGGCTCCTGCCTGCCCACAGGACGGCTTTTTAAAAATGACTTTGCACCGAGGAGAGAGAGTGGAGAGTGCGAATAAATGAGTAAATCGCATCTTTGAGCAAATTAAAAGTTTAAAGTCATAAATAACAAATAAAGTCTCCTGCTGTAGAACATTTACAAACATGAGAGCAGAGATGATCTGGTGTTTGACCTTTACTGGACGTGTAGAGCAGAGCAGCCTGGAAGCAGGCCAGAGACGAGTCTGCCAGAGAGTTGTCGATGGACATCTGCACAGCGAAGCCCGAGTCCGGGTTCACATTAGCCAGGGACAGCAGGTCGGTGGAGCGCACAAAGAAGTTCCCATGGAACGTATGGATGGATAAACCTGGAAAAGCACAGGAAGGGAGCAGATTACACCAAGAGCAGTGTGCTCTCTTGGAGTATGTAGAGGCTCAGCTATCTGCACAACATGGTCCTTAGAGCTTCTCAAAACAAAACACAAAAAGTCCAGCTGCCTTTAGGCTCATCAGCCCTTACAGAAAAGCTGATCCTAATACCTTTAGTGCATCGTATTCTCATGACCGCCTCGAAGCCGATCTTTCTGGTGAGGTAGCGGTCGAGATCCTTCTGGAACTTCTCCAGCTGGGCCGGGTTGTGGATGTAATGAAAGGACGGGTAGTAGAAGACACTGCCTGCTGAATACTTGGAAATACAAGCTGAAGAACAGAGCAGAGGAGAAGGATTTCCTTTCTTTAGCGGGTTTTTGATGAAACGAGACGTGATCAGAACCCAGAGGATACTAAACTAGTCACCTTGGAAACATAAAATACGGTAGAATGTAATGACAAATTTAATCTTGATTAAGTCAGCAGTACAAAACTGTTCCTACCTAATGAAGCGAGGTCAGAGTACTGGGAGCTGAGCAGGAAAAAGTCCACTCCTATCTGCTGTCCAGAGCAGTCTAGTGCAAGTTTCTTATAGAAATCAGTAGCAGGACCCAGGTGCTGCACCCCCTGAAACGTTATTGGGTTAGAGTTACACAACATTAAAGTTAAAGGCAAAGTCCCTTTAGATGTCACACTGGTGTGTGAAATTTGTTCTCTGCATTTTAACCCAGTGAGCTGCAGACACAGCCGTGCTTGGGACCCAGTTGGTGGTTTAACCCCCCAGTCAAACCCCTTAATGCTGAGTGTCAAGCAAGGAGGCGTTGGATCCCATTTTTAATTCTTTGGTATGAACCGACTGTGGATTTGAGACAACGACCTCCCAGTCTCAGGGCAGACACTCATACCACTAGGCCGCTGCGCTGGTTAACAGAGGGTTTGTTCATTGCTGGGTTTCACATGACGTTGCATCGACGTCACCAAATGCAGACGGGAGTCCGGAAGTAGCCGGCGCTGCACGAAACCCTATAAACTTTGGTGTCTGGGCATTAAAATGCAGAAATACTATGCGGTCTAATGTTATTACAATCACTCTTATATGGACAAGGACAAACATTTTTTTCAAGTCCTCATTGTAGTGCGCCACAAAGGACCTAGTTAGAAAAACATGTACGGAAAGAAGACGGCAGAAGTGGATCACTGCGGCTTAAAACAGGAGCTGAAACGGACCATGCTGGAGTTCACAGCCATCACCTTCTAACAGGTAACAGGTTACTGAGTGTTTTCTTAAACAGTTGCTAAGAAACAGCCATAAAAACAACAGGTTATCAGTTTTATACCGTTTTCACGTGTCCTCACCACAAATAGCTTTCAGAGTGCTAATGCTTTTAGCAGTTAGCTTCGTGTTGAAATCAAACAAACCAAAATTCTGGATTTAAAATGGCTTAAAAAGTTCGTTACAAGTAGATCCTAGCACACACTGATCGCTACTATTAGCGACAGCATTATTATCATGAGTTGATGAAAAAAACTGCACAACTCACCACTTACCCTAGCAAAAACAAGACGATCGTCATTTAAAGCTTCTCCGGATCACTAAAAGGTAAACCAACCTGAAATAAAATAGCTGTTGGCTTCCAGGCTTGTAAAAGGCTTTTGTTTGGTTTGCAGTGTAATATGAGGAAGCCAGCACAAGGCAGTTTGTTACCGATCGCTTCAGTGCTGGGTAAATCCTCCAGTGTATGAAAAGTGCAACTTTTAAAACTATAAGGGTCGTAACCTAAAAGAAGATGTATGTTTTTGTGATATCGCGTCTGTGCCAGCTCATTTAAAGCCTTAGTAACATCACTTTAACCCATCGCGCTGTGTTGTTGCGGAGCAAACCACTTCCTGTCCCCCATTTGAGTTTTGCGCAGCTGCAGACGTCACACGAGTGAAACCCAGCAATAAACTCAAAACAAGAGCTGCAGAAATTGTGGGAATGTTTTTGTTGTTGAGATTTTTTAAGATAAACAAATAACAGCTCTGGGATGAGAATAACAGCTGAAATGTGAGATAAGTGTCACGCTGTTGAACGAGAGAAAGAGTTAATTAGTCCTCATCTGCCACATGTGAGAGAGGATGTGGAGCTTGCTGCTGAACAAAGATAACGACAGTAGGAACCTTAGTGCCGGAACGCTGGTTGGGATCTTCTCTGGACTGTAGCTTCCCGGCTCCCAGGGTTGGCAGCTGAGTCTGGAACACCGTGACTCGTCCGCCAGTGGGCGACATGAGCTTAAAGGCCGCCTGTAAGGCAGAACCCAGGGCGCTGTGCGTCTCTCTGGTCTGACTGAACATGGCAGGAAGTGATGTCAGCAGCTCCTTGACCAGCTGAGAAAAAGAAGAAATAACTTAGCAAAGGTGAAGGTTTCATTTATGCCAGAAACACTGTAAATTGTAGGCTCAGGGCTGATCATCTTTACTTCATATTTACTAAATTCATTCAATCCTGCAGCTATAAACAGGAAAGCCAAAGTTATAAAATCAGGAGCTGGAAGCAAATGTTAAAAGAGAAAAATGACCTCTTTACTCTCCTTCAGGTTGACCATCAGACTGTCATGTGATGGTATGAAGATGTCTGCAGAAAAGACAGTAACATTAAAACCAAACCACATTATTTTTAACAGAACAAGTGACTCTCCTTCATCCTCTCTGGTGCTCTTTATCCCGGAGGCATTTAACTCATCGTTGACCTTTTTCAGAAATATCGACACAAATTCAGTTCCTGCTGCGTCTCCAGACGAACCCACTGAGATTATCCACATAAAAATGTTTTACTAAAAATCCTTTAAAACTCAAACAATGACACAAAAATGCTCAAGGGAGCATTGATTTTTGGCATCATCAAGTGTACAAACTGGAAGGTACCATCAAAAAACACCAAATTCAGACTAAAACTGTGTTTCGTTGTTCCGCTGCAGCTGTAACTAATATTCTGAGGTGATTTTGATCACAACAAACACCAATGCAGAATGCTAAATGCTGTTACTCAGAGCATGTTGTACTTACAGTGAGTAAAACATTAACTACCTACAATTTTTTGTAAGAACTTTGAGTTTTTGCCAGGAAAATAAACACTGAAAAATCTCTGGTAAAAATAAGTCGTCCTTTTGTGTCTCCACTATCGGAATCTGTTATGAAAACCGAATCTTCTCCAAAGGTACCATCAATGTCTGACACCACCAGCATCTGTGGCTGTGACAGTCCTTCCCGGAGGTTGTAGAAGTGGATGGTGCTGTCAAAGGTGAGGAAACCCACTCTGGTGCGTGCATCCCCGGGCATCCTGAAACACACAACACCATCTGTCGGTGCGGTTGTGGCTGGAAAACCCCAGACATCAGACTCTACTCTTTGTTCATTTAGAAAACAACACAAACTCATCACAACTCACTTATCCAGGTTCTCAAGAAGAGCGTCACAGAAGTACTTCAGGTATCCTGCTTCCACGGCGTTGTGAGACACGTCGAGCACGAACAGGTAGACGGCGGGCTGCGGAGGTCGTAGCTGAACACGCAGGAGGCAGAATGATGTGGGAGGAGATACAAATTCATCAGTTTCTAAGCTGAAACAGTAAAATGTCACCATGAATGTTTACGTCCACTTTTATCCTACATAAGCTACACTACAACACCTCCCTCTAGTGGACAGACCATCTCATTGATGTGGAGGAGTTACCATGTAGTCTGAAGAGGCGATGAACTCCACGGTGGAATTTTGGACTTCTGGTCTCTTGTGAGGTTCACCGTAAGACCTCGTTACTGGGTTGTACATGAACTCATCTGGTACTAAAGAAAAACACACACACACACAAAAAAGGAAAACTGTGAGACGTACAAAACTAAATGAAATGAAAACTAGGATCAAAAAGAGATGCTAATATAAAGCTGTGACATTTGACAGTTTCTCACCATCGTTGACCCGATAGCAGAGGTTGCACTTCCACCTGCGTTGGTCCAAAAAGGTGACAAACGGGTTGATGTAGGTCCTACAGGAGCGGCAGCGCACAATCGTGTTGGAAGTGATGACGGGTAACTGCTGCAGAGAGGTGGGAAGAAGTGGGTTAAAGACTCAAGGAAAATGCAGTTAAACAGCTGCTAAAAAGAGAGGAAGGTCATAAACAATGCCAGCTTCTCATAAACATTAGATTAAAAGAAAAAAAGCCTGAAAAACTACCCAACAGGAAGGAAAACAAGTGTTTGTTAGATGTGTGGAGTTTTCTGATGTTTACCTGTAGATCTCTGAATGGGTGGAGGAGGAGGCCAAGCGGGAGTCTGGCCTTGTTGAGTAAAGCCTGTGTTTGTGGGATGCTGCTCAGGGTACATCTGAAAGTTCTGAACAGCAGAAAAGAAACCCAACAGAAACACGGATTAGAAGAGGACGGGTGAAACATCTCCACCACTAAACCACAACTTACTGTGGACTACAGTTGACCTTCTTCAGGTCTGGGCTGAGGTTGGGTTCAGGGGCTTCCAAGGGCCTCGGGGGCAGCAGGTTCCTCTCCTGCAGCAGGTTGACTGGCCTCAAGGCCTCCACCTCCAGCTCCGGCACCCCGCTTAGCCCCCCCAGGGCCGCAGACAGCTGGGAGAAGTTGGGGAAAGGCTGCAGAAGAGCAAGAGGAGTGTTTAGAGACAGTCTCGTTCTACACAGTGTGATTAAAACATTCACAGCTCCATGTAGGAATGAGATTTAAAAATGATTTTCTCCAAACTAAATCATCTGTACTCGCTGTAAGCATCCCAGATTAGTTCCTGATTATCGAGATTTTTTGAGACACAACTTTTATTTACAAGACATCAGATCTCCAGCTGTGTCCTCACCTGGGCGTACTGCTGGTAACCCGGCTGACCGTACAGGTTCTGGGAGGGGGGGGAGTCAGCGTGGGTGTCCAGTCCTGGCTGATATGTTGACTGTGTGTTATGGTAACCATAGTTACCATAGGGCGGAGCTTGGTTGGTCATATCATTGGAGGGAGGCATGGAATCTGTGGAAAAGACATTTCAGCATTAAATGATATTTGTGGAAAAACACAGAATACACATAATTCAAACACAAGACCATCGTGATTGAATCAGTCCTGTGAGATCAGACTTTATATGTAATATAACGGACTCATGTGCACACACCGAAACAAACCAAAGCCCTACAAATCCTAGAATGCAGATGAACCGTGCGTCACTCTGGCCTCACAAGCAGCTCCTCCCACCCTGCTGCAGCCTGCAGCTACAGACAAGAGGATCCCTCGCTGGTCGCTGTGTTTATAAACCTGAGAATATTTAGACCTGAGTGCACATGGCAACTCTGAAGCAGAGAAAACGACGCTCAACTCTTCAAACACTGAGGCAGAGACTAAAACGGTGAGTCTGTGTGCTCCGGAGCTCAAGTGTGCTGCTCTCATGAGCTGCTCAGATGATCACCGGAACGTTTCCATGTGATGTGAGCTCGTCTTTGTGAGGAAAATAATCAAACAATCACACAGGCTCAGGGTTAGCTAATTCATACAAAACACTGGTGTAACTAAAAAAGGGATTCATTTCATCTGTGTTTTATTCTATACGGATGTCTACAGCTGTAGGGTCCGATGGTTTGTCATGGAAATTCTTCAATAGAAATAATAAAGCTACAAATAAATTGGAATATTATAAATATTGATGTATTTTATTCAAAGCATTCCAAGTAAAGCATACTGTACAAATGTTTTTTGTTGATTCAACATTTTTTATTATTTTACTAAAAACATCTAAAAATCCATGCAGTAAAAACACTGACTGAAGCAGGCGTCCTCTTTCAGAGCTCAAACATCACAGGTTAGCTGTGAATTCAGCTTAGGAATATGTTATGTCTGAAAATTTCAAAACACCAGTAATTTACTATTTCTAATTTGCTAAACATCCAAATTCAGCAAAAAAAAAAAAAAAAAAGTGTCATTCCCTTCTTTAATACAACCCCTCCATTTTTGCAGCTTATACAGGATAAAGCTGCAGATCGACAGTATGGCAGACTTAAGTCCTTCACCTAGAGGTCTGTATCCACCTTTACCTATGACCTTTGGTCTGGAAAGGTTGATTCTCATCTGACTGACTTGAACACACAAGATCAGCTGTGATGCCTGTGGAGTGTTTGTGTGCCGTGAAGCACCTGTTACCGTGTTTCTGGGATGGTTTCCCGGACGGGCTTTAATAAAAAGCAGGATGTCACATTTTTGGCGTTTCTGTTTGTTTAAAACAAGAAATCCTTTAACTAGGAACACTGTGTCTGTGATTAGAAACAGACCTGGGTAACTGCCGCCTTCCAGGGAATCGTAGTTGTTGGGAAGCGGAGAAGCGCTGCCGGTACTGGAGGAGGAAGTGTCGCCGCCTGAGAGAAACACAGGAAAAATTAAAACAAGAGACTGCCCAAGAGCACTGGAAGAAAGAAGCAGGAGATTAATGGGACGGATCAAGATACAACTCAATAAAAAGTGCAAAAAACCACACAAAGCATGACGATGAGGAACAAATAAAGAGATGAAGTTGGAGAAAACCTGAGAAAAGACTTTAAAACAATGTTTATGAAGAGACAGGAGTGTAAAGGCTAACTGGGTTCGACAGAACAGAACATGTTTTTGTCAGACTAATGAAATGCTGGAGCCTCTCAGGGGAGCCTGGGGGCCATTTAGCATAAAGCATAAAAGAACAAACGAATCCTGAAGAAGTAAAACTACTAATGTTGGTTTGTGGGGAGCGGAGGCCTCTGAGGCTTTAACAAAGTACAGGGGAAAACGGACATGGAGGAAAAACAGAAAAAGACGTGTAAACTTTCTCATAAAATCTGACCAGTTAAGTTATTCTACTTTTAGAAAATGTATTCAGTTTTCCTAAATATATTTCTACACCTGAAATACGGAAAAAAGCGTGTGTTCTTGTGCAAAAAACCGATTTCCCTACTCTGAGTGAAACAGAAGCAGTTTCAAATAAACAAAAAGTTTCCAATTTTAAATGATGTCCAATAAATGTATTGGAATGAAACGTTTTACTGCTGCAGCTAAACATGACAGAGACGTGGTAAACTCCCAGCAGACCGGCTGATCTGTTATGTAACAGCAACATGAAAGATGTTTCTGCAATAATAGGATAAATGTTGCATTACCAGGACCATGAATGTGATACTATGGGTGGAAAGTTCCAGAAAAACATTGAACGATGGGCGGATTGGATGGATTTCTACACAACAGGAAACATCTCTTCTGAGAGGAATCTGGAATAGTTTCAATACGAGTCATTTTTATTATTTACCATTTATTTTACCTCCTCGGGTGAGCATTTAAACCTTTTTCATGAGCAAAACTATTTAATCTCTACATATAAAATGAAAATAAGTAAACATCAACAACAATAGCTCCAGGCTGCCATGGCTCCAAGCCCCTGCTACCATCTAACAACCTCTCTTTAGTTTTTACCAGTGCCTTACAGAAATGATCTTCAGCACCAACCAAAGCCACGCTTTGGTTCAACATATCAGATTCCAGTCTGGTTTTCCAGAAGGATTGTATAGGCAGAATATTTGAATGAAGCCATTAATCCATGTGGGTCAAAGCGAGGGATGAACAGCAACATGTAGCAAGCTTCAAGCAGAGAGCTCATTGGACAGAATGCGATCCAATTATCTCCAACTAAATCTGAGAAAGGCTGCTGGATTACGTCCTCTGGAAGTAGAAGGAAGCCAGGAGGACTAAGCCTTCCTCCCTCTTGTGACTCCTCATCTCCCCCTTCTTTCTTCAGCTTGGTCATTACTAAAAACTATTTTACAAAAAACAAGATATTTTTGCTCGTAGCTTCATTCTGCTTCGTCTCAAGCTGGTTACAAACCAGATTACTGATAATTAAGTCGTTGTGTGTTTGTTGCAGTCGACACTAATCTGATTACCTGAAGCAAACAGGAGCTTCATGGGTCTGAGTGCGACATGTGCTTAAATAATGCCAGACTGAGAAACGGAACAGGAACATACAACTAACAAATATAACTGGTTTGTTCACAAACGATGTAAAGAGCTAGTGAAGATCATTTTGAGTTAGGGAAATGCTAATGATGGTGAGAGGTCTCTGGTGAGCAGTCAAACAGAGGACCTGTCCACAGGGGAGGGACTATATTTAAACACCTGTTAACCTTCGGATGATGAAAGCGCTCCAGAGGGATGGTCCCAGGCTGAACGCCACCACTACATCAGTTTAACAGTAAAGTTTCTTTCCAACACCCAGGAGTAGAAATAAATATAACAGGAAACTAACATAATTTGTCCTTACAGATGCAAATTTATTATGAATCACTTTTTATTAAATTAACTACTACTGTACTGGAATGAAATCACAATAGGAAACATTTTACTTTTCCATTGGTTCCAACTGATCTGTTTTACATAACAATGCAAATAATTGGTATTATGAAAATCCCAGGAAAAACCACTGAGTCACTTCTAATAATAAATAGCAGATGATTTGAATTTCAAAAACAACCGGGAGGCAGCCGAGCTCAAATGATCTGCTCTAAAATAATTATTTTCACGGCAGAAAGACTATTCAAAGCAGCGTTTTCAGTCAATGAAATATGATTCAGTTACTTTTGTACCATGTTTGGTCAGAGTGTCAGAGGCTAGAGAGGCGATTAAAGTTGCATTATAACAAAAAATAGAAGAAAAAGAATATCATTTCTATAGCGCCTCTCAAGATAAAAATCAGGAGGCGCTTCACAAAAACAAACAAATATAAAAAAGAATTTAGAAAATGGTTAAAATATATTTAAAAAGAGCAAAAATAGACAATTGTGATTAAAAAAATGTTAAGAAAGAGAGAGTAAATAGGAAAGAGGGAAATCAGTGGATCCTGAGGAAGGTGGAATAGGTGGGGAGAGCAGAATAAAGAGAGAGTGGTGAAGAAGGTCATACAAAAGCCATCTTGAACAAGTGAATCTTCAGCTGCTTTTTGAAGGAGACCACTGAGTCCACTGATCTCAGGCTCAGGGGGAGAGAGTTCCAGAGTCTGGGGGCCACAGCAGCAAATGATCTGTCACCTTTGGTCTTTAGCCTGGTGCTGCACAACCAGTAGGCTTTGATCACTGGACCTCAGGGACCTGCTGGGGGTGTAGGGACTAAGAAGATCACCAATGTAAGATGGCGCTTGTCCATGTAAGGCCCTATAGACCAGAACCAGGATCTTGAAATGAACCCTGAAGTTGACTGGCAGCCAGTGAAGCTGGAGGAGAAGCGTGGTGATGTGGGTGTGTTTGGAGGACTTGGTCAGAAGCCGAGCACAGGCATTCTGAACCACCTGTAGACGGTTCAGGGAGGTTCTGCTCAGACACGTGAAAAGAGAGTTACAGTAGTCTAAGCGTGAGGAGATGAAGGTGTGGAGAACTGTCTCAAGTTCAGAGCGAGACAGAATGGGACTCAGCTTAGCAATGTTCCTGAGATGGAAGAAGGAAGAGTGAACAAGAGAACTGACAAGAGAATCCAGGGCGAGCGCTGGGTCAAAGGTCACACCAAGATTCCACGTGTG